GCGATCTTTGAGCGTAGAAATCAAAGGAGCCTCAGCGTTGCCTTTCATTAGTGTCTTAGAATTTGAAATGCACGTTTAAAGGGACGCGCGAAGCGTCGCGCTCGTCGTCGAAAGTGTTTCCTCGTTTCGCGGTGCATACGTGCGTCCCCAGCCATTCTTGTTTACATACAGAGAGTCCCAGTTACATTCTGGAGATCCTTGTTAACCCTGCCACAAAGCCACGCACTGATAATACTTTGTCTACCATCATTGACAGATCTTAAGTATTGGTAAACTGGCAAAAGAGTAATGGCGACGGTAACAGGTGTACATCCTGCCGAAGACTTTGCACCTGCAAATATATTAAGTTGTGTCGTTAATCAGGCATACTTGTCACGTTGATCATAGTACTAAGGAGCTGACCAATACGGTTGTCGTTTATCAGAGACACACATTTTCTCGAGTTTCCACATATTTCAGGATATCCCTGCTACGTCGTGTTATCGCGTTTTCTCGTGTCGCTTCTGGACGCAAACGGACTGCAAATGCTATTTCGTAGCCGAAGGCCTCTCAAACTCCTGGCTCATTAATCATTCGCGCGCTCGGCCGAACATCGAAGACTTCTTGAACATTCGACTTTTTCTTCCCTCGTTTACTTTTCTTATCATTCCGCTCGGCTCTCCCGTATCACCCACGCGGCTCTCCCTTTTGGCATTTGCCAGCACTGTTATTGCCAACAGGTTGCTCACCGGGCACACCCATGATACGTCCACTCGTCTCCGTTCCTCTCTCGTATGACTCTGCTACATCAGAACGCATTAATCAAGTTGCCATTACGCGAGCTCACGTAACGGCGCATTGGCCCAGTGTCTTTTTCTTTCGAAGTGGGAAAACAAAATGAATCTGTCGACCAAGTGAAAATTCTACTCGAGAGCTTCAACAGATATTCAGAGCTGTATTGGCTTGATTTCTCATTCAACAGTCGGGTCCTTCAGCTTGGAGTATCTTGACGGTATTTTTTCTCTTTAAGATTCTTAAACGGCTACGATAAAGAGTACCCACGAAATCTGGTTATCCAGTCTGTCGTGTCTTGTGTACACAAGAGACCTGCTGTCCTCTCGTCGCGTAAAACGAGCAAGCGGCGAAAGCGAACGAAGCGAGCAGGTCCCATGGGTTTTGAAGTAGAATCGCGCCGAATGAAAGAGAGATAATTAAATAAACAAGTAACAGAGGAAACCTCTGGATACGTATGTTAAGATGCAACAGGCAGTGGCGCCGCACGTCCTCGCACCCACGCTCATTCGACTCGTTATGTATTGTAATATAATGTACCGACTATCTTGTCGTCTTATTATTCCTGGCACAGATCAAATAAACCCGACGATCGTTTGCCGTGGCGATATCATGGAAAGACACGAGGGAACGTCATCGCACGTGAGGGAAGAATCTACAGATAATCAATTGACTTAGGATGATCGTGATTAGGGTCGCATTATTTATCGAAATATTTTTCAAACTTATCTAAACAATCATTTAGTCTCTCAACCTGCGCCATTCGGGCTCTCTTCCTTTATCCCGAGGTCCTTTCAGAATGGAACCGTAATCCTCGCGAAGCATTCAGTAGTCCAGCTGTACGTTAACCTTACCGATGAATTCTTAGCTTTGGTGACACTTTGGCAACGTTGGCTGTCTCGTGCGTGGGTGTCCCGTCCTGATGATAACGAGGATTGTGGGCAGGCTAACCGAAAAATTTATGACAACGACTGATTCGCCAGTCAGGACGGACATTTTCATTGTTTTCGTAAAGTACAAGGAGAGGGCTTGGACAACAATTTTATTTGACATCTTGGACATCGACTCTTGGCGTTGGATACCGACTTTTTGTTTGTTTCACTTCGTTGTTTGGTACTTTAAGGAATTTCGTGGGTCGTATAAGTTCTGGGTTAAATTCTAGGCGCGTCGAATGGTAACCAGAGCCTCGTAGATGACGCCCGGATAATTCGAGCATCTACTGTAGTATCTATAGAAAAAGATTTAATGGCCGCTTGATGTAAACATCCTTTCTGACAGTATACAATTGCTCTTTCTATATCGTGTATATTGTATATTATGCAAGACTGTAGTTCGATCACTCTCCTTGGTACGCATTCCTATACAGACAGGCTCACCGGTCCTGACTATATCGTATGACAGTATAACGGGGAGTATATCTATAGCGGTTTTAAATATCGAAAAAAAAAAGTAACACGAAATGCCATTCTCGCTCTAACAGAGCCGCCATTCGCGACACGTTTCTCCCTCGAGGCCAAGGCTCAATTGCGTTTAAAAATATCGTCAACGTTATTTCCCGAGGCGAAGTCGCTCATCGAAAGCAAAAGTTTTTGACGAATTATACTTATATACTTATTGTTTCTCATTGTCTAACGGTCAGTCGATTCGGCCGCTATTATTTCCTTACGATCAACTTTATCTTTCGTCCCTTACCCCACGTGTGTGCCTATCTACGTAGTCGATGAAATTTCATGGACAGAACATTTTGCTGGACAGTCACTCGCATTGACTGTAGAAGGCACAATACGAAGCTCCCGATAAACGCTGTTTACATCGTGGAAGAGCGTATACATCGGTTTCAGGGTCCGCATCAAGTTAATTCTTTCGCACAGTGGAACCGCGGTCGGTCATTACAAACAGGCCTGGCGTATGTTTGGATAGATGGCTATAGGCCAGCGACTCTCAACTGCATAACAGTTCGATGGGAAAGTGTGTAAAACTGTACCGTGTATACATATATATTGCGTGCATACGTGTTTCAGATTCGATACGTAATATTTCGCTGTTTATAGAATGTTGAAAGTGACTCTTTGGCGCGAGATTTGATTTTCTTAAGGTTACTGGGGCGATCCGGATCGGATCTCGTGGATTGAAAAAGATGCGAGGAAAGATGATGGGAAAAACGGTTGGATTATAATGTCGTTGAAGAAGCTTCTTTCATAGGCGATGAAGAAAAGCGCGATGAAGAGGGGAGCGTGTCGTAAATAGCTTGGAAAGTCTGTATCAGCTGTTAGGTTTATCGGCGCAGGGTCACGGTGCCGAGAAACATGGCGTCGAGACGTCTACGGGGTGACGTAAAAGTGCGTTATTTTATGCGTAACCTAGAGGCTCGTCTCGCAGCGTTACGTGCGCCAAGTAATTGAGAATAACTGTGTTTAGGAGTATAGACTGCGAAGCTCTTGCTCATTATCGCGTTGAGCAATGTTAATTCGAATTATCGATTGGACGTCTCTCTGGAAAACCTCTTGACTCTTGGAGTCCTGGCTATTCGAATTCTCAAGGTCGATTCTCAGCGAAGAAACGGCTGGCAATCTTCAGATGAGATCAATCCTCGAATATCCTAATATCAGGATAAATCCTTTCCGCGTGTCTTCTGATTAATCTTCTGATTAATCATACACCTCTGTCGTTTCCGTCTGTATCGCCGCTGTTTCACAGTCAGGCTCCACGTTTCCCATAATCCCAAAGATCACGAATTGTCGGCTTTGATTGTGATAAATGCGTCGGAAAAAGATTTCATGGAATTTTCAATGGCTGCCTATGGTCAACCATAGCCTTTCGATGCCTCAAAGAAGAGGCTAAGAAAAATATATCTCGGCAAATTATGCTCGATCAAATTTTGCGATGTTTATCTCTGCTCTCGGTGGCTGCGCTCTCAAGGCCAGCATATTGCCGAATTTAACTACCTCCTAGCCTCCCGATCGTCCCTAGTACGTCCTGACGGATTCGCTCTTACTAATTCCGTCTCTTGGCGCCACCATCTTTATTTATTTATTTTTCTCTCGTCTGCCTCTCTCATCCGTATCCCTGGGTTCCTGAAGCAGCTTGGTACAGTAATTGCCCCTTGGTTCTTAATAAGGAAACTCATCGAGCGTCACGCAAAATAACGCGAAGTCTTCCTGGCTGACGCTCTTCTTAAAGCATCGTTACACCGACTGCCAGGCGGAACTTTATTTGCCAGTGGATTAGTTTATTTCAATTAATATTCGCATTGTCTAAGGAAATCCACAGCTCGATTGACATTGTCGTTTGAACTTTTTAATGTCGACGGGTGATCATCCTGATCCTTGCGATCGCCGGGTATCAATGTCCACTACACGTGTTTCAGGCTCATTTCTTTTGCTGCTCGCATGACTGTCATTCGCAAACTGACGTAAAATGTGCTTCATACGCTGTCTGCTCATTTCCATGTGCAATTACTTCTTGTACACCTGAGACAAGAAGGTGCACGGACGTTTACACGTGGTTAACCGTAATCCTGACGGACCGACCAGGATGATGATCCGAGTCTACGTTAACTGTGCCGTGCGTTCGCGAGATTGAATTCTCGCGTATTGATTGCTCCCATCAATTGGGGTCCAGGTGTTCGATCAGTCCTTGTGGAAGTGTTACACAAACAGTGCGACGAGATAAAAATGTTGTTTCGACGGCAAGTCAGTGAACCGGCTGGTGGAAGCGCTACGGCGAATTCAGACATTTCGGCAGCCACGACTACCACTTCCGGTTCCAGTGCTGGGATCTTGACACAATGGTACACGAAGATCGCAACCAACGTGAAGAGACGACAAGCGTTTAGTCCAAAATCGCTACTGAAAAAAGCATTGGTATTATATACTTGTTGATTGTAAATCCTCTAAAACAAGTTAAGGGGATGATAAACGATTTTTGAATTTTTCTATCTTTAAGGACGGGAACGAATCTGCTGATAAAAAGAGAAAATTTATTAAACGCGCCTATTGCCTATGCGAATAACGAAATTTTCAGGAATAATTGAAAGTACAAATCAACCACCAATATTTCGACGCTCCCTCGAGTACGAATAAAATATTTAAGAAACGGGGCGAATATTTTACAACTACTTACGGCCGATTATCCTGAAACGTGTCTCATTAACGTTAATTCGCTCCATCGTTTAACTTTTCCCAAGGCGTCGCTTACTTTAATAATTTTCTCGTCTTTTTCTTTTCCAGCTACCCGTGGTGGATCCCTTCCTGGAGAAAGTTTCACTCTCCGATCTCGGTAAGTCCTTTGTGCCTAGTTGCTTTAATAACCGCGAGTCTCGGCGCATATAATAGATACGTAATTGCAAGCAATGAGTCAGGATGTCACACTGTAATAATACCGTAAGAAAGAAACTCGTCCGGGACTTATCGAGTTCAGCTCCCAATGTATATTCATTACCAAGGGAAATCCGAAGTCCCTGCCGTATATTTTCAGTGCATATAAGTAACCGTTGATTCGAGTGCAATATCAATTAAATAGATTGCATTCTGCAGCTGACCGAGAATATCGGCCGATCGATACTTCTAAATGCATAGGTCGTGCACATTTCAGATTAATTGTCCATAATCTGTCCAAACGAATAATCAATAGATTCCTCCTACTTTTTTCCGTACGTAAGACTAAAATGAAAAAAAAAAAAAAAAAAACATGATTAAGCAATCCGAAAAAAAAAACGGTAAGGAAAGTCGGTAGATAAGTAGGTAGGCAAGTACGCACATCGCCTGGCAAAAACAAAGTCGCACGGGGTTCTCTGATGGCAGAAGGCCAAGGCATCAACAAGTTGTGTAAATAAAGTGGGAATCTCTCGAGTCTGCTTGAAGAAAACGTGTTATCTCCTCCTTCGTGTTTTCAACATGCGTAAGAGCGAGACGCACAGGCGCTAGTTATTAACTCCCTAATCGATAGGTATAAGAAAGATTTCATGTAGACGATGAAATAAGCATAGTCACATTTCAATAATTCATATCGCCGTGCCATTCGTGTCCCAGTGGTCGTGTACCGGAAGGTCTCAAACGAGCAGCCAGACAAATCGATACGCTTAGGGCTGGTTAACTTTCATCCAATTCCCCTTTGGTCAGGTGGATCACCCTAATTCGCTATTCATTCTCCTCGCAGTACTATTTGCCAACAGGGACCACGCCTATCCGTGCTTGAATACCTGCAATGAATAAGGACCCGATCGTATACCTATTTGTCGTAGTAACGAGAGCTCAGCCGGAGACCTAGACCCAGATATTCGCCATAGACGTAAGCGTGCTACCTAGCACGCCAAGCCTATGTCATAAAGCTCCCTCTGCGAGCCTGCCTCCCGGGAAGCTCATCGATCGCTCGCTATGTGTATACCATCCAGGGTGGTACGTGCCAGGAGATTTACAAGGGAAATGCACGACAGAGAACCGTCTTATTTCTTTATTCATATACTCAGGGTGCATCGTTTACAGTCTATAAAATATTAAAGTCATTCGCGCACCCTTGATGTCCCATGGACGCTTGTGCTATGTAGGCCATTAGGTATCTCGGGTCAGTACGATTATTTTGTAGGTTAGAATACGTGCTGGGATGTAACCTTGATATTGGTAGAGCGAGTATATTCGCGATAACTCTGTATCACCTGTTGCAGTACAGCGTAGGGTAACTATGTTTGCATCGTGTTAGGGATTTAGAGCTTACCTTTGGATTATTTTTCTTATCTTTGAACTTGGTTGGAGTATATTGTCGGTACGCGTATGCTCGTAACAATGAAAGGGTTTTGCTTACGTACTTAATATGGCTACTATGCGTAATGGGGAATTAAAGCTGTAAAAAATCGTGCGTCACGATTACGCCAAGGAACATTCAGTTTAATCCATAAATAGATAATAACTGGTTGTCCGGATTGTAAACAGACGTCACTTTGCGAAGATCACTGTGTCTATACATTAGTGTATTAAAGTAAAATATTATTATTAGCCGAGTATTGCTTGGTCTAAGGTTTTTTTTTTTTTTTTTAAATTAAATTTTATCTTGGATTCGTTGACAGAGCTGTCAATTATCATACGAAATTAACAGGCTACGTTTTATTTTTTGCTATTGCTTTTATTATTGCCTGCTCATTACCAGATTGACGTGCTATCGATCGGTCACCTGACCTATTTTTCGTTGCAAAAGCGATATGCATTTTTTTTTAAATCCAATAACTGATAATATTACAGTCTTGTTGGTGTTTCGTTAGGGACGCCTGACATTTGCCAGACTCGCTTGATAGGCGGGTTGCCTCAGTCTGGCGTCTTTACTAGAGTCAACCTGACCAATGCTCAGTGATACTGCCAAGTACTGATCGTATCACCAGATCTTCACGATACACTCGAGCCGTTTCAATTACAGTTTTATTATAACCAGTTATAATTATTGCCATTAAATTTTTTAGATCTCTTGAGACTTGAGAATCCTCGACAAGCAAGTCTAACGTATTTCTGATGGCCTCTTGAGCTGGCTTACTTCGTAGGAATCGTTTTTATCGACTGAGACGTTTCGTTATTGACATTTCTCGTGTTACTTCGTATATCCGGTAAAATCAATATTCAACAGTAAAGGGCATTGAACGAAAGTGGGACTGTATTCTGTACTTGGTTTACTTTCCATGTAGGTAATTGAAAATACTATGGATTAATTCATTATTATACCCTTAACAAATCTCACTACACTAATTCATCACGTATATATAATTTTCCGTTCGTTGTAAAAGCCTCGATAACATTTCCACTAGGCTTGCTTTATTTATCGCGGACTAGTATGTACCTAGTATCCCAATCAATATTTGAACTACAGCCTATTGTCTTGTACGTGCATTATTTTTTTTTTTTTTTAGTATCGATACCCATCCAGTGGCAGCCCTATACATTAATTCCGAATGCTTTGTATCTATCAAATGGGATATTGAATTTGTTTCTATTCCAAGAATCCTCTGAACTCTGTATGCATTGAAAACGTTTGAAACCGTCGAAAGAAATATTTGAGTAAGAAACGCCGTATTCATTTAATATGATCCCAGTGGTGACCTGAATTTTCACAGTATAATATCTATGTTCACACTGAAAATCTTCTGACCAGTGTTTGTAAGTACCAGTGTATGTAATTTTGTTAATTTTCGTTGATATCGATACCGATGCAGTTCTTGAAACTTTGGCGATTCAGCACGCAGATGCAGATCTTCTATTAATCTCGTTATGGATAATGTTTATAGTAGCTATGCGAGTATAGCGCAGTTTAACGTTTGCCTCGGGTCCTTGCCAAATGGACGTTCGGGCACGTTGCATAAACTAACCTCTCTAGCCAAACAGATCCCATCTGTTCGGAAGTACGTCATCGCAGAGAAATATCCATTTCTGTAAACCCGTGATAAGTTTGATGTAATGGTTACGTAAGTTTTGACTGAATATTGTTTTTTTTTTGTTCAGCGATATTTCTTACATTACGGATACCTCGTTCTCTTTCTTTGTATTTTTGTTTTCTTGAAACCTTGGCAATTTGGTATATTCACATATTACGTCGTAAGTCCTGGTAATGTTTCGGTTTCGAATAGTCCTCTGGTTAGCTGCTTATTCAAATACTCCTGGGTAGTCGCTTTTGCAAACCCACAGTGCACTCAGATCAGTTACGTGTATAGGACTTTTGGAACGGACTCAAAGAGCGTTTCGTGCTCGTCCATGATTAATACGATTCTCGTAAACGTTAGTTACATACATTTATCGTTTCTTCATTGTAACCATTACTCGGCGATTTTAAATGTTACGCGCAATCACCAGATGCACTTTAGGACGTTAAAAAAAATGTTTGAGGAGTCTTTCAATTTAATACAGAAAGACTTTTGGTCCTCTATATGTGAATCGTTTTGACGATTTTTCATATAAGCTATAAATCGCTATACAAGATCAGTGTAGTCGTTAAACGTCAACAATTACGAGTTAGTCTCGCACAATTTGAATTATACATGAGCAATTTTTCGTTGAAAATTAAATGATTCATTGACATGAAAAAATGACTTGTACCAAAAAAACCGTCCGGGACCTGTCAGTTAGATTTCTGCTCTTCATTTATCGTGCCCGGAGTGACGTTAAATCAATCAGAGTCTGTCGCCTTTGTGAAATTACCAAAAATTTGCAATGACAGTTTCAAAAAAAAAAAACGAAAATGAAGATTTTTCGCAATACAATATTTCAATAGATATCTCCTGGGAGGGAACACTATTTGTGCTAGACTGTCATCGATAATAGGTCACTGACTTTCTGATCGACAGGAGGAATTTCACCAGCTCGTATATCAAGGCTGCTTCATATTTGACACAGAAAATTTACTCTCGATATTGGCAGAGCATAAAAAAAGGACACGCTGATATAACATAAGATTTCGCTTAGGAATTTAACTGATTATGTAATGACGTTTTATGCTTTTCGTACGATGCCCTTTATCACTCGTTTCTTTTGACGTCACATTGAGTTTTTTCAATTTTAATAGGAACCATCTCCTACAGCAAGTAGCTCTGATGTATTTATCGGCAGGTATAGTGGGGGATGAGGATCGTGTTTTTTGGCAGCGGAGCCTGCGTTTCTCGACGATGCTATTCTTGGCGAGCCGACGATGCCCACACGGTCGCTAGAATACACTGGGCTAGACAGTCATTCAGTTTGCTAGCACGTTGGGCCAAGTTCGGGGGCTTGGCGAAATCCGTGAACATCGCCGACGCGTGTCATCGGCTCCCTTCGACTTTTTGACGGCGCCTAACGTATCCGTGAAATCTTTGCCGTTTATCGTTCTCCCTCGACTTTCTGATCCTTGATTATCCTAGGGACAGCTTGATAAAGGCTTTCGAAATTCTTCGGCTTTAGAAACTCATATGCGCCTTGTTATTAATCGTCCTTCTTTGAATAGTGATTGCAGTATACCATGATCTCCGAATATGGTCATTTCAAGTGAATTGTACAGCATCGATCAATGAATTTTAATATGGTGTTATGTAAATTTAATCCTTCCGAAGACGAAGACTTGCTGGGAAAAAGGAAAAAAAAATCATATGAGTTTGTTCACGAAAATTCTTTCATCCTATCTTGTATAAGATCACGCGTGATTTGATTATTAATTTGATAATTCGAAGTTAAAAGCCAAATAGATTCTCGTGTATTAACTGGCCCAGAACAAGTTCATTCTATCGATCGACAGTAAAATGGACAATCGATATACTTTGTCAAATGCATTTTGACTTGGCAAAATGCATTATGATTATTTGCAATTATCAATGTGAAAACTTGCTGTTCGCTTAAACGGGAGTTCTAAATATGTTTGCGCCTATCGCGGTTGCGTTTATCGCTATGCCGTTCACTCATGTTCCCATGTCGAATTTTATCTACAGGAAAAGTCATTTAAACGCGTCATGCTAGCATTGAGAACAAATTTGTAGCTTCGTTTATAATTCACAATTGTTCTTTCGACTTTGTTTGTTCGTTTTATTATCTACTTACATGAGATTAGGTAGATTTTTATTGTGGATTTATAATTACTTAGCGACCCGCTAGAGTTTTATGCAGTCTATTCAGTCGTTATTATTAACTAATTGTAATCGGCCAAATTCTATGTTTCCTTGGATCATGACACGTCTGCAAATCTTATGCCATGTACGATGCCGTTCTAGTGATTTTGAGTTTTATCAGTGATTTCGCTAGCGGAATAATGGAATATTTAATCAATCAGCCTAATTTCCTTCGATCTCTATTCTCATTCCTTTTCTCACAAAGTGTTTACTCATTCTCATGAGTTTATGCCAAAACCACGCTTTCTTGGCAGTATCGTTCAAGAGGCTTCTGGAAACCTCATGAGATGTCACCATCATGGATATTCATTCTTTAGGATCTTGTATTGAATATTGTCGGAATATACTCCAAGACAGACATTTCGTGTTGAAAAGTCGTGAAAGCTGTGATCAGTGATGACTTTTCGCGAAGATGCTGACCCTCCACTACTACTCGAACTCGGAAAGTGTTCGGGCTGTTTTGCGACAGGTCGCTGCTGCTTGGTGCAGCCAGGAAGACGAAGATCCCGTTTATTCGAACGATCTGATCAAGGAGTTCGACGTGAAGGATCCGCCACTCGAGGATGAGCTTGCCTGGATCCTTTCCAAAGGTAACTGTGCAGCTGTTCACAGAGACCAGAGCGACTCAGGAATGCGAGTAACGCCATAAACAACTGACTACTGTAGTTCACGTGAGAGATCAGAGAGGGCGCCACGATCACTTTACTCGATTCCCTCCGACCACGGTCCTCCGACTCTAGGAATCGCCTAGGATCGTTAGACCCTTCGACAGTTCCCAAGTTTCCTTTAGAGATTCTCCGACTCTAAGGATCTTCGCTCTCACGACGTAAATGCTCATCCTTATCAAAAGAAAACTTCAGGACTTCACCTCAACCTTTCTAATTGTCCATGGTCGCTCACTGTATCCGTCAAACTGGTTTCTGTTCATTGCCTATCGAATGGCTGAACCCGTGAGTATTCATAGGTATTGCATATCACGTGTGATATATGTAATATGACACGTGAAATATATGTAATATATATTATAAATATGTATATATTGTCTAAGAATACTCGAATCTCATATAACTCATAACGTATAATCCCTCTTTTTGTCGATATACAATATATTCACGTCACTTCAATATAATCCAGAGTAAAATCCTGGCATTTTTCGAACGACAGAAAATTATTGTGTGAAAAATGTACCTCCCGTAATTTCTCTAACCATCCTGTTCGCTGTCTCTTATCTGAGGAAGCGGCCAGTCGTGATGACGGAGTCCTGGAGTAGATAAAAGTGAACGGTCATGAAGTCTCAGTGAGGTGTCTAGTTGTAGTTAAGCAAATGCATGCGAATATCGTATGATTAATTAATCGTGTTGACGTCGTGCGATTTCGAGCATCCATTACGCAATGATGAAACGGTTCACTAGTCTCTCGGTTCATGAATTTCGAATGAAGGTCACATTAAGGCTGTTTTGTATTACCGTATTGTCGCTTCATAGCACATGGATACATCAATCAAGCAGAGCGAAGCTAATTTGTACCACATGCTTTTTTTTCTTATATCACCAGATTTTTTTACGGGCAATTCCTTATTTGCGTCAGAATTCATCTACGATATTTTTTCATTCTTTGATCTTTTTTTACTCCGTGTACAGACAGAAATCGTAAATTGCTATTAAAATTGTACGGTATTCTTATGTACGTAGCTTGGAGTGAAATTACTATTTCGGATCAGCTTGTAATTTGAATTAAAAAATTTCCAATTCCTACCAAGCCAATCGTGTCATCCGCAAAATAATTTTTTAAAACATTAATATTGCTATAAGGATGGCTAAAGACGATGGTGAAAAAATACGTCTACGGATGATGCAGTCGGCCTTGGGAGGCTTTTGAAAATTGTTTAGTTGGATTAGGAGCTGATCCGAAACACATACTTTACCATACTCGCTTGGCGATTGTTCAGATAGTCTTTAATTTTCATTAGAAGACTCAATCTAGATTCTTTGAATATAATACCAATATTGAATTTCCTGCAATTGTAACATAACGATATTACTCTGCATTAGAAAATATAGAAAAGTAGAGTTTCTTATAAGTGTGTTAAAATACTGTGGAACAAGATACGTACGGATATGTATGTAACGAGTCATTATAAAACGCCAGAAGGCTACAGTGTCGTTATTCGGTTTCGAAGGAATTCTTTCGCTGTTAATAATTACTTGCTCGTATACGCAGTAACATTTTTCAGTCTTGACGCAAGCGAATCTGCAAAACGTTCTGTTCGTTTGCCACTAGTACGTACATAGTTGTAGCAAAAGGTGGATCGCAAAGACGTTCTCTTTCATATCGCTCGTGTTACCATCGTAACTGTGTTTCCTTCGCGTGCGCCCAATGTTATCTATTGATCGCATATCTGCAGTGCTCTTTTAACTCGTGCTATTTATACTACGACGTCTCCTTAGAGTTAATTTTTATGTCGCAGAGAGACATGCGCGAATAACGCTATCCGTAAATTTAAGAAGCAGAGCCATACGTGAATAGGCCTGGCTTGGATTTGTCAAGCTTTCAAATCTTTGGATAATCGATCGAACGTACCAACCTTACTACATTTATTCATTAATACATCTGATCTTTATGTCGGGAAAGATCGATCATGTCGATCGAATTACGATGTAAACCGCGGATAATCTTCGATTATTAATCATCGTTAATTCCACAGAGTTACGCCTTGTAAAAATATTCTTATTTTTGTTAGACTTTTCTTTGTATTATTTAGTAGCGCTTCGTTCAAGAATTTATTCTCCTGTCGTATCAATCAGGAATTCCCGTTCCGATTTTCTTTGTTCCTTTTTTTCTTCCTCGACGTTGCGACTCAGTGAATATAATTTTGTCTTTCGTTCTCAATTCTTGTTCTTTTTCTAATGCTTAATGTTCAGAGCAGCGCTCTCGTAACTTATCATTTATTTCCGCACAGTAACATCCTAGCCAACACGTCCCATATCTAACATTTACGATTAGTTCTCGCTTAAATATATTCAGTACCACAACGTTCTGCCAGATACTTAAATCACTAAACGGATTTAGAATTAATTCGTAAAAATTGTGAAAATGTGTTTCTGAGATTCTACTTTCGTTTGCCATAATGTTTTCTAAAAGAGGTATCTTCCATTACGTGCAAATTTAATTAATTCGTGAAAATCAACGGGCATTTCGTCAGAATCGATCTTCGCGAACAGTGCATTTGCATATCCTGTCAAAATAAGTGTCGTTTTCATAATTTAATGTAACATTTGACCTCGCTGATAAATATATATGTTAATACTTACAAGCGCGCGCAAATTGAATATCATTCATTGTCTTATATCGGCCAATCGATAACTGATCATTCTTTATAACGATATCGTAAATACAATTTTAGGTAGTGAGACTCGTAATTACGTAATACTTCTGTGGTTTTTTTTCCATTTTACGTGATTCAGTGGTGCAAATTATTAAGTGATTGCTGATACAATCGTTCCCGTTTTAAAACGATGCATGTTACACGGTTGCGCACGCATACATTCACTTTCAAATTTTACTGCGTCAGCCAGTGGATATTCTCTATGTACTTCGCAACAGTACAATACAACGGTCATCGTGCTTCGTAGCAAAAAGAAAAATGTGTTTCAATCAATTGTCAGTTAGGTTATTCAGAAGTCAATTGTAATACTTATAATAGTGTCATCACGTGTTATTTGAATTAAATGCTGTCGTGGTGTATTAAATTCTTTGGGATTCCTGGTCCAAACAAATAATTTGTTAATAGAGAAACTCGCGAGTAAACTTCATTCCGAATACTGGTTGGAATATCAAGGAAGGAGAGCTGTCGTAACCGTTTCTTTAAGTCTTCGCATCACTTTTCTTCAACGAGGTGTACTATTTTCAGACACGTTAGTCGGGGCTCAACGATCTCACTCCTAAACCATTCGTTATTCATAGATCGTACATTATTGTATTCTCATCACTTTGATTTTATAGTATTGATATTATAAGAGTTTTATTGCTATATCTCAATTAGTCGTGCCATTCTAATGTATACGGTATCGTGTAGTTGAGGTTATCTAAGCAGTTACATATTACAAACTCTCTCCCCAGTGTGTAGCGGATATCGTGCGATGAACTAATCATAGTTGAACCAGTTAAATTTTAAATTAAGAATGTAATAAGATTTATATACAGTGTGACATCGTGATATTCTAGATTGTACTTACACTCGTACGAACATTTGATTCATTTGTGACGGTTGTGAGTGAGACTCACCGAAAATGTTACGACGCAACAAAGCGCTTCACTATTGTGAACTCTTTGGACTTTCAGAGGAGGACGAGTCCCAGATCTACGTAAAGTTCTTCAAGTTTCATAAGTGTTATGACCTGATACCCACCAGTGCCAAATTAGTCGTATTTGACACTCACCTGCTTGTGAAGAAGGCTTTCTTTGCTCTAGTCTATAACGGTGAGTTTAGGATGAGTTATGGTATGGAATTTACTCATAATTGGATTCGGCTTGGAGTTATTATTTTTTTTTTTATTATGTAGGTGTTAGAGCAGCTCCATTATGGGACAGTTCGCGGCAGCAATTTGTTGGAATGCTGACTATAACGGATTTCATAAAGATCCTACAGATGTACTACACCAGTCCTTCGGTCACTATGGATGAACTAGAAGAGCACGAGTTGGACACTTGGAGAAGTATGTTAAATGATATTAGGCTTACAAAGATTTTACCAAGAACCTCCTTTTTTAATAATAATTGCTATGGTTTAAATAAATTTATTTAATTTTACAGAGGTCTTAAAGGATCAAGTGCATCCTCTGGTCAGCATAGGTCCTGATGCATCCTTGTACGATGCTATTAAAACTCTGATCCATAACAGAATACATCGTTTGCCTGTGATAGATCCTGATACTGGAAATGTGCTATACATTTTGACGCATAAAAGAATACTTAGGTTTCTTTTCCTTTATGTAAGTCTTGTGTAGTAAAATGTGATCTATAGTTGTACCAGTTTCATTCTATATTTTTTCTAATATTCTTATGTGACACTGTTTTTAGATCCATGAATTACCTAAGCCTTCCTTTACTAACAAAACACTAAGAGAGCTAAGGATAGGAACGTTTGACAACATAGAAACCGCCACAGAAGAAACTAGCATAATTTTAGCTCTGAAGAAGTTCGTCGAAAGGCGAGTCTCTGCATTACCAATAATTGACAATGAAGGAAAGTTAGTGAACATCTACTCCAAGTTTGATGTGATTGTACGTATATACTTTATAATTGTTCATATTACTTTTAAATACAAATGTCATCTCGATACTTTATTCGATAATTCCTATTCTAGAATCTAGCTGCAGAAAAAACATATAATAATTTGGATGTGTCGCTGCGAGAAGCTAATGAACATAGAAATGAATGGTTCGAAGGAGTCCAAAGTTGTAAACTGGATGAAACCTTATTTACTGTTATGGAAAAGATTGTAAGAGCAGAGGTAAGGACAAAATTGCATTCATAATTCAAAAGTCAGTATCTTATATTGAAAAATCTAATATCGACTATTTTTTATTTCCATCAGGTTCACAGACTCGTTGTAGTAGATGATGATGATAAAGCAATTGGTATAATTTCGCTATCCGATCTGCTGTTCTATCTCGTTCTCAGGCCTTGTGGTAAGTAATAATACTCTCGTGTAATAAAGGAAGCCCTTATTGTTAACTTTAACATATACATATGATTACTCAGGTGAAGACGGAAGTAGCAATAAGGGTAGTTCTATATCGTTGCGAGCACAAGATTCCATAAACTCAAGAGCTCCAAGTTCTGCCCAGTCGGAAACATCCCTTGTGGACGGAGAAGCGGAACCGGAACAAGAGGTGGCCGATGCAAACCAAACAGAAGAATCACCTACAACTCCAAGTCCACCGCTGAGTCCAGCTGGTTCAGATATTTCGGAGCCACAATCGACGTTGGTAAATCCCTCTCAGGAACCGACGTGGCGGGAAGTCACAGTATCGGGAGGAGAATGAGCGTTGCCGTTACCTAATCTTGCTTGAACATGCAAAGAAATTCTGTAAATCTAGATCAGTGCTGTGCCAGATGCCTCGCATCATAGCAGCATTTAGGAGTCGGCTGAAATTAAAGTATTTCTGATGCCACGTAATTGTCATGTTTATCGCTCCTATCCGTAGACACGAACGAAACTCCATTGCTTTACTCCTATACTTTCGGAGCGTATAACAGGACAGATCTTTCGTGGCATAGTTCCGTGGAAGTCTTACATTGAATATAATTTTCGGTATCTATTTAGAATTGACTCTAAAACTTATACATGGCGTATAACGTTGTACAGTGTATAAATTTATGTTATATTCGACTTTGTACAATGACATATATATCTATATCTATATCTATATATATATATATATATGACGATTTAACGATACTCGGTATAGACATTTACAACCGTTCTTTCGGAGTTTGCTTTCGAAATATCTGTTCTTGTAGCATATACTTTATTTATCATGTTTATTTCTTCTTCTTTTCAAAATTATACTTATTCATACGAGGAAGTCTGTATATAATTATGATGTAGTATATACCATTTTTTGTATTTTGTGAAATTGGGATGTTGGTTTTCAACTTTTATTACACATTTACGATGTTAAATTACAAGGAGGCCCTTCAAGACTTGTATTAATTTCGCCAATGGATATGAAAACGGAATGATTTAATTTGCATAATAGATGAATTAACATTTACGAATTTTTGAAGTAATGTGATACTTTACAGGAGGTGTGGAAGTTAGTTTTTCAGTCTTGCCGAAGGTGATTTTCATGGTGAATCTGAGGTTATGGTCAAGAAACAATAAAAAATTGTAATGAAGATGATGACGCCTGTAAATAGATAACGAAATACCGTGTTATGTAGTACGCAGTATAATCTAGAAGCTTAGTCGGCTGCATCGAGTCGTGAAAAACCTGTATGTTAGAGTCTTAACCAGACGAGTAGATTGAACGCGCAGGAAATAAAATCATGATATGAATTTTTGAATATGGTATTAATCGGCGATTTCATCCCGATCGGACTATTTTTTTAAGCTACAATGCCTTTTCGTTCTGTAAGAATGAGCGTAAAAACCGGTCGAATAATTTGGAGCGCTTGTCAAACCGAAATATAAATCTGTACATTGTGTATGCGAGAAGTAAAGAATTAAAGGCCTATGTGAGAAGTCAAATGGCTATAGAATTTCTAGTACTTAGTATTTATGGTCAAAATTCGTGCACGGGTTCTCTTATGTTATTCTTTCAATATCTTTCAATCTAAAAGAGAAATGCTGATTATAAATGATTCTATCTATTGAATTCAAATGTTCAAGTTGAGACGAACATTGATACTGATAATATCTATGCAGAACGTCTGTACATCAGTTTCGACCATGTCTTTATAGAAATAATTTATACTTAAAGGCATAGAATGTGTATAACATTGAATAGAGTGTTGTAAAGTAGCGATGAATATAAATGAAAGAAAGAGAGAAGCTGCACAGTCTCGCGCGTTTAAATTAATTATGAATGTCAATGCATTAAAGGCATCTTCCGTTGCCTTTGTACTGTTTCTAGCGGGTATAACACGACCCTAAGGTTGTTCCCTATAAGAATTTGGTGTAATTAATGTTCCTTTCATACTAAAAAGTATTTTCCAAATTACTGCGCGTTGTTCAATAACATCAAATTTGCATTCCCATTATAGTGCCAAGCTTCATTTATTCTCGATGTCCATACCGAGAATTGCTTCAATTCCCTACTGTTTGTCTACAGTGTTTTCATCCGGCAATAATAATGCTTGCTTTTACAGCGACAATAATTATTAATATTGATAAAACATCTATTGATAGGCTGACAGCTGAACATTATGGCTCGGGAAATACTATCTATACTTACACTGCAACACCTTGGAGTAATAGGGAACATCCTTTAAATAGAATTCTACCGATCAACGAATAGAGCGCATATACAATTATAAAAGGATTAAGCATATTCCTTGTATATCGCTCCTGTCACTGGTGCAAACATCTTGTAGTTATATCCTCTTCAGAGTAGCGCATAATACTGACATGAATTTCTTTAATATATCTGCAGACATTAGTGGAACTAGATATTACATCTTATACATATTCAAATCAATGAGAAATCCAAGCGATTATTAAACTTTTATATCCTTGGACATTCTTATTTGAGAATACTGAAGCTATAGTTGGTTGTCAGCAAATAATGTAGAGATATTGAATATGAGGATATCAATGACACGTGGCAACAATGAAAACTGATGACTATAACGACTATGATAATTTAATAGATTTTGGGGAATCGTTTATCAACTAGCGATTTTGAGTCTAATGTACTACGTCGGCATACCTCGTACTATCCACTATTATCTTGGCCATTGATTAAGGGTCAATGGCATTGTCTTCGCGCTTAAATTTATTTCACAATCTAGTCTCCGTTTTATGTTCCGTGCAAAACGTTCCGGTTCGATGTAAGTATGAATTATTAAGGGGATGAAAGTGTTGAGAATGGGATATTCTCATGTAAATCCAAAGGCAGAAAGTGTGAAAGATCACGGCTATGCAAGGACGCCATTTATATTCAATAAAAGATAAAGAATGCAATGTATATTGTTGATCGAAGCCTATACAGTGGAGTTGTTTGTACATAAATGATTGCTGTACCTTAACAGTGGGTTTATGTCGTTGTTCGAAATGCATACGTTTATTTCAGAAAGACGTCTGAAGGTAGCTATTGGACATTAGAAAGACAGTGCCTATAATTTAATGTGTTAATCCGTAGCATTATTTTGGTATATATGACTATAGATATCGGCAGCGATATAAACGATGCCAGGATATAAAGGATGCTAGAATAACAATTAAGTGTCAAGGAACGGTCGCGATGATTTTTGTACAGCCGAATGATATATCACTCGGATCAGGATATGTGCCCTCGTTGTGAACATCTTTTCAGTACAAATACGCAACACGTAATAATGTTGTAACGTTTAATTTTCTCTAGTTATTAGATATGCAAAGAATTACTGTAGACCTTATCATTTGCAACATCCATCAATTTCAATGACTTTATGTGGTTTCTGGATTCCCTCAGAAGGCCATACACACAGACGGAAGGCTCTAATATTATGGAATTTTCTGGAAACTCAATAGAAATTGAATTTGAATTATGTTGTGTTTACGAACCAAAATACAATTGAAGAGATGAGGTATTAATAATGATTAAATTGTACGATAAGGATTAACTTAATTTAAGCGGTATAAGTAGAAGCATCCCTAATACCGTACATCCGAGGAAATGACTAGAGTAGTTCTTTAATCTCTTGTACATGTAAGCGGAAAATAAGGAAAATTCCGATTGCTGATTGACAAAATACACTATGGTAGAAAAGTTTCATTTAATTGTTGATTTAACATTCACACCATCTCTTGTATTCTATTATATGATGACAGAAAGAAAAGCTAAATACAAGACTTTTTCTTGCAAATTGTGTCAGAATAAATCTTCATGAGGTTGTACGAAATAATATATTTTAATGACAGTACATAAATAGAAGTATAACTGTCTCTGTACCGTCAGTTACAGCATTGAAATTATAAAGGTACGTAACTAGAGAAAGGTACCGGAAGGACTTGAGGTTTCATACTTGTAATACAAACTGCGATGATGAGCATCATTTTATCGTTCTTGAATTGTATTCTTTTTTGAACTTCGTGGAAGTTTTGTGTTTTATTAATTTGGGCCTCTTCTCTGCCTTTTCGGAATCCTGAGATGCAACAATTTTGGATAAATAACATGTACGTAATTTTTTCCGAATCACGCATGTTTTTTGCATGCGAAAAAATGAATTACTTACAGATGAGTCGTCTACAATTATTGCTTGTTTGGTGGGAAGTTTTCTCTTCTCTTTTGCTAAATATGCGTCATTTTTATCGTGGGCTATCACGTCCATTTTGTCAAATAGTGCATCATATTCCGCCTCACTATCATCAAATTCTTCGTTATCATCCGTGTTTCCATCTCTATTGCTACCATTGAGACTCGTGGAAATACTTTCTTTCGCCTTTATTTTATCATTTTCATCATCATCTTTCATGGTGAAATCAGATCTCAATACCATACAATTTATTTTGGATGTTAGATACACCTACAATAGATACATAATTTCATAATATAGATTTCATTTCGCGAACATAAAGATAGATTTTAATTACCTTTTTTAGGAGTTTCTTTGTCTCTAAATGATGAATACGTAAATGTCGATCCAAACCAGTACTAATAATATATGGTTGTACTGCACTGCATGCTAAAGAAGTTATACTCCCTACAAAATCCTTATAGGTATTCAATATCTTACCAGGTTTTCGTAAATCGATAAGATTCATTCTGCCCTTTCCAGAACCAACCACAATGTGACTAGAAAAGAATTTTGTAGTGTCTGGTATAATCTTTAACACTTACTTTATGCACAGAGAAAATATCATACCACCGTATGGTACTTACTGTTCCTTTGGAGCTATAGCTAAAGTGGTTAAAGCTTCATCCTTAATAGTTAAATTTATTACAGGTCTTCGTTGAGCATCAGGATCATACAAGCGAATCTAAAATATTTTCTGTATAATTACATTATATAATTAAAGTTTTAAAAGAAAGAAATGTGATAATTACAAATCCATATTTGCTTGTTGTAACTACATTAGAACTGTTTGGTAGGAAGCCTATATCAGAAATCGAAATAGGAACTCTCAATTCTAATGAATCATGCCGGACATTTTTTTCAAGGAAAATCCTACTTTGTCTCTCCAAATCAAATAACTTTAACTCATTTTCCTCACCACCAGTAGCTATTATATTTTTATTAATATGCGAATGACGCATTCTATGCAAATTTGCCCCAGCATTTATTAGTAACTGTTCCTTTTTATTAAATTTCCAAAGCTTTACTTCACCTGATTTGACTGCTGTGAGTATTGCCCTGGAACGAAATATAACTTGGAAATAAAACAACTTCTTGGACATACTGAGGTAACATACCCACTGTATCTAGAAATACCATTAATCTTCCCTTCTCCAGTGCTACATACAAAAGAACTTGTAAATGCTGAGTACTCAGTATCATATACCTTCACACTGAAAGAAAACTGGTTCAAATATATGTTTTATTGCAAACCAATTTCAGTTTATTCAATAACAATTTTTATTACCTTCTGACACCTTTTACACCACAACCCATCAAGATTTCCTTTTCATCGTCATCCCCCCATGCCATTGCAGTTACTTCATGATTTTCGGTTATAGATGACAGACTTTGTATGTTCTTAATAATATTACCTTTATCGGTTATTTTTATTCCTAAAATGTAGTCATATTTATAATTATTTAACAAAAAAACATGTAAAATACAACAAATATTTTAAGCAGATAACCTGCACTATGAATGTAAATACACAATGCCATACAATAGGTAGTGTAATTAAGAAGATTAATACTAAAGTACCTTTGAATGCTCCTGAAGTTGCTCCTACGAAAACGTTAAAATCCTGTTTGTAACTCATGATTGATCATTAACAACTATTCTTTCAAAGGAAATTCAAAAACACCAGCACGTGTTTGTCTTGCTTTTAACTAATTTTATTTTGGCGTCGACGCGCCATCTGAGCGAATGGCTATCGAACCATATCCACAAATTTGGTCGAATATACATATACGATATAGTACTCTTAATATTCGTGAGCTCTGTGAGGCGCAAGAATTTATAAAGGGCGGCACTCTAAAGCGTGTGTATTCAGGGAGTGGATTGTGTAACTCAAATGTAGTAAAAATACGAAAAGTAATAGCCGGTAACTAATCGCATGTTAGGGTCAAAAGAAGAGAAGCACAACGATTGGCTAACGGCTATTCACTTTTACCATTTTCACTACATTTTAGTTACATATAATTCTTATTGTTGACACCTGCTGAAAGAGAATGCTTGTGCGCGTGAAAAGGTTAGACGAAGACTATGGAAACCGGTAACTATTTTCCTTTGGGTAATCCTTATATTTATTAATTTACGTTTTTAGTAATCCTGATGGGAAAGAGGACTGGGTTTTAATCGAGTTGCAGGGCGATGTGGATACATCTAATGGCGAGCATATGAAGAGTCAAAACATTGGGGATTTTCATTTTGCCAAAGATGGTACTCCAATCCTTATTATAGGGTACCACATTTTGTACGGGAAAGATACTCCAATGAGTAAACCCATAGCAGTTTTAAAAAAGAAATCTAATAGTGAAGGATGTCTAAATGAAGAACACCCTGCAGAATATACAGTGATAGCAATTGCTAAGAGGAAGATAATATTCAAGACCCGACCAAAACGTATTGTTAATCACTTCATAACACAGTAATTGTATGTATATAAATACTTTGTTGGATTCCTAATAAAATAGACGATTATGAAAAAGAGTGTGATTTACTTTATATGGAATAAATGAGTATGTCTAACTTAAAATACAAACTTTAATACAATTCTTATACAGATAGCTAATCCTTCCTCCCTCTTCGTCTTCTTCTTCGACACCACGATTGTACATCACATTGTTACATCTTATTAACACTTCACCAAGGTTCCCTGTTGAAGTTCCATTTACATGTTCTTCAGTATTTGCTAATTGCAGATTCATGTAGACATCAACCGACACAAGATAGCCTTTGTACTCTTGGCCCCACTTTAGTTTTACCATTACAGGCTTGCCTGTTAGACCATTAAGGAATGGTTTTGGATTTATTGGCATAGTAGCCGCCATAGTTATAGCCATTTATATACCTGCAACAAAATATGTTTTAATCATCGATATATAGTACTGGACTGCTCACTGTAGCCGCAGAAAGTGTAACCGGGAATAGAAAGAGAGAGCAAATCGTTAGGGCCGTTCTGTCCTTTTCTAGTATTTTTCTATTGGTCGAAGATTTTCTGGATGGAAGGAGTTTAGGACTGTAATATGCAAAATGATGCAAAATAAGAACCATGTGAAAAATTACTCCGCACATCTATAATGTACGCTGTTACAGTCGAATCATGCAGACAGAAGTGTTTATAAAAATTCAATATTACTAAAAAAAAATGGTGATTTGCTGTCTTAAGTGTGGGCTATCGCGAGCCTGTATTTTGAGCCCAATAAGATAAGCTTTCACAAGTAAAGTAGAAATATAACGTTAAATTTTATGGTTAACATAAGATTAAATCAATTCTGAAACTTATAAAATATATAAATAAAGTTCATCATGAAACATACATTTTACTGCGCGTGGTTCCCTTATTCCTGATTCCGCTCCTACTTAAAAGAAGGACAGAACGGTCCTAACGATTCGCCCTCTCTTTCTATTCCCGGTTATACACTGGCTCAGTTTGCACCGTGCACGGTTGAAATAGAGTAAACCAATTAAAAACGAGATTTGAGCGGAATAAGTTAACTTGATTGGTTAACTCTATTTCAACCCTGCACGGTGGAAACTAAGGCACTTTCTGCGGCTACAGTGAGCAGTCCAGTACTTATATGTCGATGCATGGACTACGTTTATACTGGTTTATACGACAGCTTAAATCGACGCCCTGCTGGACAGTGGACCCACAAACCATATCCACGTTTCTAATTGGTCGAGTGTATCTACCAATACCTCAAGCAAACTTCAAACTTGAATAATAACGGAATATAAGGTCCGTTCGTGCAAGCATTTTTACGTGCACCGGAGCCTGTGTGTTCAAAAATGAGCGAAGAGTGCATCATTGCTTCTCTGTTTATTGCATGCATTTGATCGCGACACAACATGCTCTTAGCGCTTTTCGCCCATTTTTGAACACACCTATAATGCTTCGGAGCACGCTAAAACGCTTGCACAAACGGACCTAAAAAAGTGTCGGTCAAATTCTCATCAGATTCTGATTTTGATTTTCTGAAAAACTATTCGTTATCGAACGTTTTTACAAGCTTATCAAACACTATTAAACGGCTATCAAACGATTGGAATAAGAAAAATTTAGAAACAAGAAGTTTGCCACCCAACTTCACGCAGGTAAGTTAAAATTGTCTAGCTAACTTCATAGAGGTTGAATATCGTAATCGAACCGATATTTCTTTTGGTTGCAGTCCCTGCTTTCACACATCTCCATATTGTATACACATGATATATTCATACATATTCAATGATTGTATCGCGTTAGGATCAGTTAGGATTTTTATCTTCCTGCAGAGTCTTGTGAAAAGGTACATTTCGTGCTTATCATTGTTGTTAAAATATTAAAAGAATTATTCAGTACGAAGCAATATAACAAATTATTTTTTTAGAAGTTGAGAACTTTGTATGAGGTTAAAGTATGTTTTGCAAACATATTGATTTCTATTCTTATTTATTCTGTAAATGTAGGTTAAGATTATTTTGACAATAGGATATTTCTTTGCATTCTGATTAGTTATTGTATCTGTTGTTAACTTACTGTTACTATTGTACAACCATAATTTAATATAATAAGTTAATATTGCTATTAAATAAAGTTAACTGACATGCAAAATACTTTTGCATATTATATAAATTATAGTGTATCAAATAAACTTTTGCAGCCTTAATTATGGCAGAAAATTTTGGACGCGATACACCTCCCATGTATTCTTCAAATGAGGAACCTAGGACATCTGGACAACCATTATCTGATTTTCTTTTGCAATTGGAAGATTACACACCAACGGTATAAATCTTTTTATTTGTAAAAATTTTAGTTAATCAGTAGCGTAATCAATATTTATGTGTAGGTACCTGATGCTATCAGTGAACATTATTTGCACACAGCAGGATTTAATACTACAGATCCCAGAATGTAAATACCTATCATTAGTTAAATATATAATTATTATTATTATTGATTCATTGTAAATATATTTTATACAATGTTTTAGTGTAAGATTGGTATCGTTGGCTGCTCAAAAGTTTATCTCAGAAATTGCCAATGATGCTCTTCAACATTGCAAAACAAGAGGTGCAAATCAGAACACAAAGACAAAAGGAAAAGATCGACGTTACACATTAACCATGGAAGATTTAACTCCTGCAGTTGCGGAATATGGCATCATAGTAAAAAAGCCTCATTACTTTGTTTAAATTGGAATCACCTTATACATAAATGTAATTATTCTCGTGTTTAAGATACTGTATGAATGATTTTGTGGCTTTCCTCACCTTTTAGTTTTTATTAAGTGTACATGTACGTGATGTAAGTTATTTTGGTATATTGGCACATGAGTAGTTTTCATTATATATTCATCCACCTTGTAGATATAAATAAATGATTACTTTTAATAGTGCATTATAAAGATTTGTGAAATCTTGTTCAGTATCCGCAATTGTTTTAGCGTTTGTCATACCTATGATATATTTCCATGGCTTTTAATACAGGCACATAATTATAAAATTAAGTTATGACATAATTTCATTTCTCTCTGGGAACAGGAAGCAACTATCTCAGCGCCATTTGTCTTTAAAAATTCATCACGTGACATTTAAGTGAATGTTTGCAGGTTAACCAACATTTCAGAAAATTCCCTAAATTCAGATCATCGTTGGGGGGGGGGCAATTTTTATTTTTAAATGAACAATAAGTAATGGGATATTGAGCTACATTTATTAATACGCATAAGTAATTATCTCTTATGAAAATTCTTTATGAAGCATAGTAAGAAGTTGAATTATTGCGTCTTTAGTAACATTCGCAATTGATCCAAACTGATCTAAAAACGCATAATCCAGTGTGAGAAGAGTAGCAACTTCTTTTGTGACAACAAAAAATCATTTGTGCTTCCTAGGAATTTTCTGTGTCCACGATTTACCAATAGTGGTCGCATGCGCTCTATCGTAAAAAATCCATCAGCCATATTGGTGTGTTGTATCGTTCGCCCAGTAATTCCGAACTTAAATAAGGTATTTCTCCTATTTGAATGGCATTTTACTATCTATATTTAGATGGATTAGAGAATTAATAGTTCGCTGTCACATTTATGGCAAATGAAAGGTCCGTACATTGTTGTACTGTGACATCTATAGTCAAAAAAAGTTTGGTTAATATTGCCACCTTGGCTTACGGATTGCACCGTTAAAAAATATGTCGTAAATAAATGCGTGAAAACTCCTGACATGGATAAAATGGATATTCACATTTTTTTTTTCAATTAAAATCAGAAATACTTAACTGCAAATTGCTATAGTAACGGGAATATTGTAGTTTTAGAAAGTATCTTGCTTCAGCAGTCTGTTGCATCTTTGTTGAACTATTCATTTCAGTAGATTATATTTCCTCTTGATATTTTTCCTTTGCTGATTAGTACAATCTGTTATATTAAATGTAATCACTGGAGGTCTGAATTTACCATTGTCAAGTAGTACAAGATATTTTCATATATTTCTGTCAATTGAATGCTAATTTTGCCTTGTGTTATGACATTGAATAATCTAACAGATGGTACTATTGTTATGCAAAGGTTCGTTTTAATATGCTTCAACATAGTAGCACGATTAAATTGTCATACAGACTTTATATTATTTTTTACAATTTTAGTTTTCATAGCCGATACTTAAGCATATAGTACTGTTATAATATAGAACAGTTCTTTAGTTTGCGTAGTCAATATTTGTTATTTTTATATTTTTACATGTATATTAAATTACATCACTTATTGTAAATTTTTAGTATTCATGTATATCCATGTATATAGTTTTTATTAAACAACTTGAATATTCTGATTCAAATGTTATTAAATACTATAAGGCGTTCAATTTATATGGTTGAAGCGAAATATATCAAAATTTATTAATATTATATAATAAGGATAGATGCAATAATAATTTTTTTTTTATAGCAGAAAGTGCGTCATGACGGATTCTATGAAATTTGGTCCAGAATGGTATGTAATATAAACATTTTATGTCAAAATTTATTTTTTGTTTCTTATTTTTACTTTTTTATACATCACACTGTACAAAAGTTACTTGATAATTGTTCACTCTTCCATTTGGTATTTCTTTTTCTCAATATGATGCATAATAATGTTTGAAATTTCATTAGATCTTAAAAATTACCTCATTCTTGATGTGATAATTTTGATATTTAGGTTGCGCAATTTGTCGGGAGACGGTTGCAATACCGGAGGTGGTGGTGGAGGGCCTGTGAGCCTAACTACCCCTCGTTATCAGCTAGCGGAGCATAGGTACGGTCGGGAGGAGATGTTAGCTCTGTTCGATCGCAACTACAAGCCCCCTGAACCTTTAACCATCTTCTCAACGCTGTACGTCGAAAAGACTCAACTACCGTTGGCCCTCATACAAATGACAGAGGATGAAACGGTAATTGCGTTAAAACCAGTTTGTATAGGATAAAATCATTTACCACAATCTCTATCTACTTTGCATATCATATTAACTATTCATTGGTAGTTATTGTCTTGCTGATGTCTACTTTGTCTAGGCTCCTTATTGTCCTCCAATCTTTTAAAAAACAGTTCAAATGTATTTATTTCTTTCTACTGTGGCCTTGAACTTTAAAATTTATTTATAACTGGCACACAGTTTACACGTTATAATAATCATATTGTAATAACCATAAGTCCTTTAAGCGGATTTTGGTGTTGGTAAATGCAGCAGGATAAATCGGCAAGTTTGGCACGCGAGGAATGCGATTCATACCGTGTCATTTGTCATATGTTTGTATCGTATCTTATATTGGGAACTGTGTCATACTTGCTTGCTATCTAAAAATAAATTACTCTGGAGCCCTTGTGCCAGACTTCCTGGCATTGCGCTCTCCGTTTTCCTGCACTTCACTTCGGCACTTCATTCTAGTTTGTGCATCACGTCTAATATGTCGGCTACCGAAATAGATAATCTCTTTTTCAGGAGCAATATCGGTTTCGTAAGTGTAAAGCAGTATCTGATAATAAAAGTTAACTAAAACCATTGGCACAGTTCCCAGATTCTGAAATATACAAAGAGATACAACGTAAAGACGATGAAACATGTTAGATTCAAGAGCAAGGAGTTTCAGAATTCTGCATTCCTCGGTGCACCAGCATCGAGATAAGGTCAAGTCAATTCATGTGGAATTCTTCGTGTTTTTAGCGTATGTGGAATGGCGGAATAACGAGTAGCGGAGGTCGTGGTCGAGGAGGTAGTGTCGATCGTGGAGGGCGTGGTAGAACCGGACGAGGCAGCCTGTATTCGTCTCATTATTCTCGTGGTGTCAGTTTCGATGAAGCGGGAGATGGTCCGAGACTTGATACACAGCCTTTTCCGGTATTATTAAATTACAACTCAATTTTTGGCTCACGAATACGTACGTTAAACAACATTGAGTGGGAATGAATGGTTTACGTCAATAGGTAAGAAGCAGACCCTTTGACAGGTCACAAAGTGAGCGTAGTTGGACAGAAAGAAACGGGGTTCCTGTCCCGGGTGAATGGAACGGGTCAACGAGCCCCAGGAAGGAGTTAGGTCGAGGAACTAGTGGGGGTTCTCTTATGGAAGGTAATTGGCGACGCCATCGAGGTGGCGGGGAAGACGATGAAGGGTGGCGCGTTGCTTCTAATAGTCGAGGAGAAAAATGGGGTAAGTGTCATTCAATATTATTTCAAATATACTGTGTGAACATTAGTGGAAATATCCCATTTCGCGAGTAAAAAAATGTATCTTTGGCACTGTGCGTCGCATATGTATCGATAAATAGCTTTAGCTGTTTTACAAACGTAGGAAGTGTACTCGAATCGCTAAGGAATGGAATGTTTAGTTAGAAGCAGCTGGCGCGACGGTGGTGGCTCAGATCGTGACAGATTGGACAGGGCTGATGGTGATGGAGAGGATGGCAGAGGTAGTGGCGGTCGTTGGGAACATAGAGGAAGTCATAGATCAACCCACGATGTATCCCATCATCCTCCTGCTCGTACTTCGCGAACCTGGGAACCCAATCATCATGACAACCATGATAACCTACCTGAATGGTACTTTTTAAAGAATTTTCATATTTCTGAGCATCATCGTGTCAACTTGAAGTATGTCGGTGATGAGTGTTAGCCAAAACTTAGTATTCGGCGGAGATTACGTTGACCATTAATGATTGTGATGATTCCGCCTTGAGTGCTATGACTATACCATCAAACGAGAGCGATTTATCTTTCCTGAGACATGTGATATCACTGAATTATTTATTACACAAGGCATAACATAATATTTTTTTATAAATTCTATGAACTTTTAGGGCAACCGAGAACCCAAGTGAGAGCGGAGGAAGTTTCGACGCATCGGGTGCATTCCATGGCGGTATGTATTCCGACGACGATGAGGATGGGATTATCAGTGCCGGTGGTTCGCAAGAGCAAAGAGCTCGTAATTTGTCCGAAGGGAATAACTCAAGTACCTCGAAGCCTAGTAAATCCTTGTCTCATAGCAATAGTTTAAATCAGGGGCAGGCAATAAACCGTCATGCGAGTACCGCGACCGGTACAATGAACAGGGAAAGACCGAAATCCCTTCAACCATTCGAGGTTAAAGATGGTTCTAATGAGCAGGAGAGAAACGGTGCTTCTCCTCCAAAACCGTCCGCCAGTACACCTAATAATACTCCAATGAAGGCTCCTCCATCATCGGCAGGTCCTATGCCACGTAAAGTTCAAATTTCTGCTAACGTGGATACGACTCTTGAAAAGAGCCACGTGCAGAATGCACAAAGTGCCAAGATTATATCTGAATCACTGAGCAAGGAAAGTCACATGATGGAGCCTCAGGCTGAAGCTGTGAACACATTGCCCAAAAGTCAACAAAACCAAATGCAATCGGAGCATCAGAATGTGGGGAACAACCTGTCTGTACCGTCTGCGGCTAACGTTAGGCACAAGCCCGACGACGATCTGGACAGAATGAAAGAAGAAGCCGATGCATTAGTTGCAAAATTAATGGCGGATGAAGAGAACCATAGAGAGGAAGCTGCTAATGTATCCTCCTCCGTCGGCACTCAAGGACCGGCAATGGCTGCTGGGCAAGAAAAGTGGTTTTATCGAGATCCGCAGGGTGAAGTCCAAGGACCGTTCCTGGCAAGTGAAATGGCTGAGTGGTTTAAGGCTGGTTACTTTACTGCGGGGTTAATGGTAAGAAGGACTTGCGATAAGAGATATGCGATGCTTGGTGACTTGATGAAGATGTGCGGCCGAGTACCGTTTGCACCTGGTCCACCGATACCCCCGCTCAAAGTACGTCTATATAAATTTTCTTCTTTTATTTCGACATCTAGCTTTTATTTTTAATTTACCAAAATAGGGTTTTCATCGCCATGTTTTTTTACCAGTTAACCGACCCGGTACTACCGTCTGTGCCACCTACTGCAGTACCAACCGGTGTACCTGGTAGTGCCTTACCAAAAGCTGGACTAGAGGATCCGCTACTTTTACTCCAATATCAGCATATACGATTGCTACAGAATCAGCAGTTGCTGCTAAGGCAAATGCGTACGTCGGCTATCGCCAAGCTTTCCCAGTCGGAGCATTGGGCCACTTTAAGTCCAGTCGAACAAAACCAACTTATCGCCCAACATGTTCTCCAGCACTCTGATATACCAGATATACCGATAGCTGCGAATCCTTTTGTACCGCCTATGGCCACTCCGCCGTCGAATCCTGTAATGCAGTTATTTACTCAGATGCAACAGGTAATTTATTATATGATTCTTTAACATATTTTCGTGCGGGTTGTGTAGCTAACGCATTGCTGTTATTTTCCTAGGCGAAAACGCAAACGGAGAATCATCTACCTCCAAGTATTCATTCAACTACTCCTACGCATTCTGGAGTAATCGATCCCATACAACAGCTTATCCAGCAGATGGGTGGTATACAAAATTTGCCGGCAGTTCAACAGCCGAACATAAATCCAGCACCAGCACCAGCACCAACGCCAACGCAGGAAGTCAATCCCATAAAGTCATTATTACGTCAACTTAATGTTAATGTCAATGGACACCCGCAAACACCTCAGATGGATTCAGTCTGGCCGCAACCGTCACCTCAGATGACACCTCAGTTTAATGCACAGAACTGGTTGGCACAGGTACTTTGGAACGTTGTTATGTAAACTGCACGTAATTCCGTATGTCTTTCAGTAGTATACTCATTATGCTCATTAAATTATTATAGGTTGGTCCTATACCCGCTATGCCTCCTGGACAGATACCCAATTCTCTATGGGATTTACATACTAAGGAAATGAAGACTGAACAACAAATTTTAGTAAGTCACATGTTGGTGAATCATTGAAGTTTGGGATTAAATATAGTAACTCATAAAATATTAAATTTGTAGGAAGAGCAAAATCTTAGGTTACAAGAAGAAAGAAAGAAGGAGGATATTAGAAAACAAGCAGAATTGAAGAGACAGGCTGAAGAGGAGAATTTGAAGAGACAGCAAGAGGAACAGCATACAAGACAAGCAGAAGAAGCAAAACGTAAAGAAGAAGAGAAAAAACGCAAAGAGGAGGAGAAGAAGCGAAAGGAAGAGGAGAAACGCAAACAGGAAGAGGAGCAAAAGAAAAAGGAGGAAAAGAAGCGCAAGGATGAAGAGAAGAAACGAGAAGAGAAGAGAAAGCTAGACGAGGAGAATAATAAGAAAAAACAAGAAGAGGAAAAGAAGAAGCGTGATGAAGTAAAGAGGCAGGAAGAGAAGCAAAAGAAGGAAGAAGAAAAACGAAAGAAGCTTGAAGAAGAACAGAAGAAGCAAGAAGAAGAGAGAATGAAGTATGAACATTTTTAATATTTAATTCACTTTATTGATTTATTAAGGATGTACAAAGGAAGTACCTCGTCACATATAAACCTATCATTACAGAAAGGAAGAGGAAGCCCGTAGAAAGACTGAAGCAGAGGAACAGGCACGACGAGCTGAACAAAGACGACGAGAAGCGGAAGCTCTTAGGAAGCTTCAGGAACGTAGCAAGGCGCCCTGGGCTCAGGCTCCTCATGCACCAGCTACAGCAACTCATGCTTCCCTTGCTGAAATTCAAAGACTTGAACGAGAGAAAAAGGCCGTGAGTGTTTATTTTTAATATACTTATTGTTTATACATATAGCAAATAAATAGCATAATGATGTGACTAATATACTTTTTGCAGGAGGAACAACGTGTCCAGCAGTTACAGCAGCAGATAGCCCAGCAGAAAGCTGCTGAAGCTGCGCAAGAAACTTCAGCAACAGATTCGGTTAAGCGATTGCAGTTCAAATGGGCTGAGAAAGCTAATGCTGCGAGCAAGCAACTGCAAGTCAAGAGTCTAGATCAAATTCAACAGGAAGAGCAAGAACGTCTTGCCAAAGTAAAGGTACTTATTTAGAAATCTTTTTTATTTTTTCATTACGCGTCCTATTTGTCCTAATTGGTATGTGTACATAATTTTACGTGCTATAGGTGTATATAATTTAGTTTAGAAGAGTAATTGAAACTTCAATTGCAGCAACAGGAAAGAGAACGACAGGAGAAAACATGTCAGAAGGAAACCAAAAATTCTGCATCACTTCCATTACAAAATGCCGGAATTTGGAACACTGCTACCAAATCTCTTACTTGGGCTAGCCCCGACTGTGCCAGTAGTCAAGCCTGGGTAAAACGAGAAGCAGTTTTCTGGGACGAATTTATTGCTCCTAATAAATCTACCGTCGCTGTTAAACAACCGGCAAAGCAGACGGCACCGGCCAAACCAGCAGCTAGTATGACTCAACCACAACAGCAGCAACAGAACAACAAGGCAACCAAGAGCAAAAGCAAGAAGGATGAGGAAGTCGTGAGGAAACTTTTCGATCAAAATATTGCCAAGCCCGATGATTTTACACAATGGTGCAATAAAGCACTGAGCGGTCTTCATGGATTACCTGTGGATAGTAAGTGTTGTAACATAATCCTAAAACTCTCAAATAATTCAATTCGCTATTTGCATGTGTTAAAAAAATCCTCATTCTCTACATAGTTCCAACGTTTGTCGGTTTTCTTCGTGATATCGAATCGGCGTACGAAGTAAAGGAATACATCCGCTTATATCTTGGCGACAGTAAACAGTGTACTGACTTCGCCAAGCAATTCTTAGAGAAACGAAGTAAATGGCGATCCGCTCAGCGACCTCAAGCACAAGCTGATGATCTCTGCAAGCCAGCACCTGCCATCAATCCAAATACATCAACAGAGTTTCAGGAAGTAAAGGTATCAATCTGTCACAGAACTATGTATACTGTAAAAGCACATTTGAAATTATTTGCACAATCTTCCGCTACAGGCCACGTTACATTTTTATGTCACTAAATGTCACGCATGTGTGATATCGATCTCTCACGAGAGTTTGTGCATTCTACATATAACGCGTTGCAGCGAACGTATTGAAGAATTTTTAAAATCAGATGTGTATTACATCAAATCATTTTTTTCAGGGCAAGTCCAAGAAGCCGAAGAAAGGAAAAATGTTCAAAGTGGACAATAGAATTCTTGGTTTCAGTGTAACCGCTGCTCCAGATCGCATTAACGTGGGTGACCGTGACTACGGAGAAGGTGTTTGAATGAATGAGCACAAGCTCGTGTCATTGTCATATGTGCCCAAGCGCGAGGAAATCATGCGACACTTGGTTTGTCAGATGGTCTGTTATTTATTTATTATGACTGCCAAATTGGATTCTAAGGCACTCGTTTTACGATCCATACAAATTTTATATAAGAACTCGTTCGGAGATTTCGGCGTCTTTTATCTGATACCGAGGTCAACGAGGGCCTTAGAAGCTGTAATTGTGTAGCATTATTTCCTCTTTGAAATGTATTGAAGGACATATTTAAAAGTTGCATTGTACATAAAGCCCGAACGACGACATTCGACAGAACAATATCAAATCATTATTACTATTATGAGTGATCTTCTGTACTAGAACAAGAAAAGCTCATCTTATCTCTGTATTCTTGATCAATAAGATGAGTCACATTATTTGGATATTCGTATGAATCAGTATGTAATTAATTACAAGCTATATATTTAAATATTTGATTTATATTCAAGCAATGAGTATTGATATTGATTATGTCGTTAGCATGAAACTCATAAGGTCGTTATTTTATAATTAATAATTTCTTATAACGTAGAATATCCTGCATATCTTGTAAATGATTTTAAACTGTGCGCCTACGAATATCCAAATTAGTTTGCAGTTGTATTTTCCAGGAACATGTCAATATATGCAGCACCATCTTATTCCTTACCATTTGACTAAAAACATCAGATAATAATGAGCAGTTTTACGTTCCACCTTACGTATCTTGTTTCTAATTGTAGCTCCTTCATTAAATTTGCTGACAGTTCTGTGTTACTATGTTTTAAGAGTGAGCCCTTCAACCAGTTGTATCTAATAGATTACAGAGACAGTTGTAATTTCAATTACTTCCTTTCCAATCCCTTAGTGAAAAAAAAAAAAAACGTTAACGCCATAAGAAACCAGCATGTAAGAACACCATAAGACTACTTAAACCAATTGCACTGATTATTTATCAGAGAATCATTACGCAGCACCATGTTGGTAATGAGTTTGTTTAATGATTGATAAAAACTTCCATATAATAATCGATCTTAAGATGGCATCACATTCTCTTAAATCTGTTAACAATTTGTATATGAACTTGAGACAGCAATACTTTTTTATAACGAATTTAATAATTCTAATCGAGAATTTTTTTCGAGTATGTATTGCATAATCAGCATAATTCAATGCACTATTCGGTAGATCTACATGCACCTAACGTTTTGTTCGGATTAATGTTATTAAATTTGTTCATATAAAATGCTGAGCAATGTTATCACGAATAAATTGAAGCATTTCTTTATCAGTAGATTAAATCGATATTACGTTATAGTATATGATGGTGATCGAAGTACCACTATGAACGCGTATGTATATGATATAATTATTATGTTTAATTTCTTTGTTGATTATGATGCCTACGTGATTAATATTTTATGCAAAGATTCATTCGACATGTAGTTTCGTGCATTTATACTCAAAATTAAAAAATCTAGCAGTTATTGTACTTTGAAAAAAATACGTGTATATGAAATACTTCTCTAATATATTTTTGAATTTTTGACACTGTAGGTAGGTATTGAGTTCACTGTTAAAAAACTTGTTTGATGTAGATTCAAATGTTTTATTTTGGAGTATCTGGCTACGATAAAAATGAAGGAGGCTACTGAACTACTTAATTTTTAACAGATTTAAGGACTCATTCTTTCCTGAAGTTGACAGTACACAGAATATCTTGTAACGCACGGCTTTCCGATTCTCTACAGTGGACATGGAATGTTCCATCAGATCTCTGATCGTTCATAATATTGTAAAAGTTGTTAAACAAGGCTCGTTGAGACTTCTGTTCATGTTAACCGTAAATAGGGTGGCATTTAATGGAAGTTCGATGGTCCTTAATTGAAAGATTTATATATATATAAAAAATAGGATATTGTATAATAATGCAGTGAGGATTACATGAACAGAATGATGATTGATATTGTATTAATACTATTATAATTGTATCTAACGTGCAACATAAATAAAATAAACATTATTATATTTTCCATTTGGCCTTTTTACTTTTCGTTGAGAGTTATTACGCGACGAAATTCATATTTTTTGCGGTACATCTATAAGTCATTGCATTGGTGATCTGCGAAATTGTATGTGATCATTTCCCGAGATAAAATGATGTAAATGTATGGGAAATGAAGTTTTTCAATGTTTCTCTTTGATTTTTTTCTATAAAAACGAATGATGAAAGAATAACATTGACCTAATGCTCCTCAGTATTATTAAGTGTTTATTGTAATTTACATTTATACGAATTCGGAAGAAATTGCAAACGACATGAGAAGAAAATGGAGATATGCTTAGAATTTTAGTCGATACGAGAAATGTAGTATTTAGATTCGCACTATAATCCAATGGTATGCACATAATGTAATATATGCTATTGGAATTGAGTGGAAAGAGATTTGTAAAATTAGGAGAATCCAAAAAAAAGGAGCGATTACTTCCACTTTAAAGTAAATTAGAAACGGAATTGTATTGTGAACGATGCGTCAAGGCAAAAGATTTATGATAAAGGTACATTTCTCGGGAATATCATATGAATGCGCAAATTGTCACTTTTTATATTATACAATGAAAATTAAATGTTTATTCATATCGTTTACAAGTATCGCTAACAATTACTGAAATTGAATAACAATTTTTAATCGTTCGGATCGATTGGATGATTATTATCACGCGTGGTTATTCAGTCGTGAAACGAGATATTCTGAATTAATCAAGATGTATTTTGAGATATGTAATTATGTACCAGAATCATGTAAACCTCGATCATCGACACCCTATTGATGTTACCACTTGATATGTGGAATTATGAATGACATAGGGCATTTTATATTTAAGCACGACTTGTTCCATATGCCGTTTACCTGAAACGCTAAAGTCTAATAAGACTTTGTATTAAAATAACAATGCAATAAAATTGCATGCGTGTGAACGTGTGAAAGTAGGAGCGAGAGTATTGATTGATTGGTATACGCGTAGATATGCTAATAAAAATGCATGACACTCGTACACAATTGCTAATTCATATGACAACTTGTATTATAATAAAAAAAAATCCTTTAATGAAAGTGTAGTTGTCTTTTATTGATCGGAATCCCGTTTTTATTTTATAAAAGTTATACAATATTTATGGACGTAACCAAGCGAAGAATTACGTGAACTATATTTATACTGAAGAACAATTGTATTTTGTACTGTAAAAAATGAGATTATGATATACCCACATATTATTTTTCGATATACTGTAATTTACGATAAAATTCTTTTCCCTTTTGGAGTAACAATGTTTAACAGTGGATTATTCATAGCAACTGTATGTAACAAGATATAAACATTTGTTTTAATATCGTTTCGTAGAAAAACGGTATTTTTTAAAAATGTTAATAAAATAATACAACCTTGTGAAATATAAATCTTAAATGCTTTATGAATGAAGGCAAGATGTTTTAAAAATGCTGTGTCTTACGATTCATTATACGCAAAAGTTAGAAGTTTGCTTATATTAGGGCAGACATATTGGAACTCATAATACTGACAAGACGTATTAAGATTAAAAAATTACTTGCGAAATGTAAACTGTGCAGCAAAATTATTGACTCTGGTAAATAATAACTTATGCAGTTAAGTACGTAGTTTGAATACTAATTGTACAAAGTATATCACTTTTTGGTAGACAGTTCATGCTATCTTAAGTTTGTATGACTCATATAGTTATGCGTATTAATAACATTCTAGGAAAGATAAATCCATTTGAAAGTAACCATAAAAAATATATTGTGACTTTATGACCTAATCACTGCAAATGCAAACTTTCTTGGGTATGATTATTTTATATCTTGTATAAAAATTACTAATGACTATAATTTAGTTCACACAACATATTATTTCACTTTCTAAATTATTGGACATTCATCAGAATAGTGTGCATGTTAGTTAATAACTTTGCTGAAGACTCATTTAATAAGTAATTCTATAATATAAGATTCACGAGTAAAATGTCAGATCTTGTTGACTCTTTTATATTGAAAATGTAGGAAGACATTTTATTCGTAAATCAATTACAAATATATTATTAGTCTAGCTTGTACTGTTTAGTTCTATCACTGAATATAATAATAGATGTCCCTCTTAGTTCTGCAACAGCAATTAAAACAAATACTTCATGCAGGACCCTTCTGAGTAAGATTCTTACGAAGAATTAATAGTTAATGAGAAATGAAACTGATATATCATAAAAGGGATGTAGAAAACTTTGTAACCAAGTCACTATAAAAATGAGTCCGTCAGACAAAGTATCGTTGATATATTTTCTAAAAAATTATTTCATTTGGAATTAGTACATTAAATATTACTTTTTGGCAAAGATTAGAAGCATCGTTCATGTATCAAGCATGAGATCCCCAATGGGAGAACACATACGTTTGTGACTTTCAAATAATCATAAACAGTATAAAAATTAATTTACAACAGTACTAACACGAAAGATGTGTCGTAGTACATGCTTAGTCTTTATCTTCTTCTTTTTCTTCACAAGACTGTGCATGTAATTGTTTATAATTTTTCGCGATGTCAATATACTGGAAAGAAATAATATAAAAGAGTCCTGAATGGATTGCAATTTTTAGGAAATAAATAAAGAGTTGTGACATACCTTGCTAGGAACAAAGAATTCAAGAATTTGAAGAATGATGTAGCATAAGGATACGACTAGCAGATATGGTAATACTCCACTTTGTATATAGCTCGCTAGTTGCTGACCTAGATTTTTTCTATCCTCTTTTTCAACTAAGTTATAAACGATTTCTGTTCTTTTTGATACATCAAACCAATTATAAAAGTTACCAATCCTCGTATGTACTTCCAAAGGAGGACTAGTGTTGCCTGCTTTATAATCAGCTATTGCACGTTCCAATCCTTGGAGCAATGCTGGCACAGTTGGTTCTACTAAATATATTAAATCTGATGGTAACACTTCAGGAATTCCACCGACTTTCGTGGATACAATTTGTAAACTATAAGGAAATGTATAAATAAAATATATATAATAGAAACAGTTACTGAAAGTAAAAGAAAAAGTTACCCGCAAGAAGCAGCCTCAACGATTGCCATACAATATGCTTCAGTCAAACTAGTATTCAGAAATATGTGACCCTTATTTAAAACATGTTTTACTTGGGAATGTTCCAAACTCCCTAATAATGTAACTCTGTGTTGCAATAAGTTTCTTTCACGTATTTCTTCTATTAGCCATCTTTTTGGTCCATCACCGCCAATAAGAAATTGCACGTTTTCATGACGTGCACATAATATGGGTATAATATGTGCTAAAAGATCCACACCTTTGCGGTACACTAATCGAGAGACTATAACTATAGTGACTGAAATATTAAAAGTTCTGATTAGTTGTATTATGCAATTTAGCATTTTATGTGATATTATGAGCTACTACAATATTGATTCAACACTTACTGAAATCGTTACTTCTTTTACTAATGTCTGGTGTAAATAAAGCAGTATCTACTGCATTTGGAATAACGGATACTCGTTCTTTATGAACTTTGGCCCTTAATACAGTATTTTCCTTACCAGTGTGAGATACACAAATGCAATGATTGCAATCAGCAAGAGATATTTCTAAACATTTATTTGTCAAGACAGCAGAAGCATCAGCAAAACCAAATAAAGAATGGTCTGTGAAGACACTCTGATAAAAATGAAAACAAAATGATTATGAAGTTGTCTAAGCAAATGACATATACATTGCTTCAATTACCTTTAATCCCATTAGCCTACCAATCAGCATTCCTTCATGCGCAAGAGCAGAGAATGCTGAATGCCCATGTATTATTTGTATTTCTTCTCTTATAAAAATGTATCTAATTAATGGAATGGAACAAACCATTGTTGGAAGTATACATTGATTGTAAAATACCTTTATGGGTAAATAATATACCTACAACATTATTATGTTTCAATATATATTTTATACCAATGTGAAATTGACATTCAATTATACATACTTTAAGGCCATTTGTCATGTAACGAACACCCACTCTATCATCATAGGAATGTGTTAGAACAACAACTTTATGACCTCGTCCCAATAAACATTGTGATAAATTGAAAATATGTTCTTCCACTCCACCCATATTAGGATAAAAGAAATCTGAGACCATGCTGAAAAATTATGATACTCAAAGTATATATCATCTTACTAACATTAGGTTATGATATGATAACGAGTGTAATGATTTAAAAAAATATACATACCATATCTTATGTTTTCCGCGACTCATTGTCAAATCTTTTGCATTACGTTGTTCTCAAACTACAAAATGTACTTTTGACTTCTTGGAGTTCCCAACAAACGCCATTTTTGTTTGATAAAGCGCTATCAATCGGTAAAGTTATTATATTTCAATAATTATTTATATCTGTTATTTATCTCGACAATAACTTTCACCTAAACAAAACGAAACAATATACCTATTACTAATAAAAAACATTTCTAGCAATACAAGGAACAAATTTTATTCAGAATGATAATGATCCAGGACTAAATTCTATACTTATACTTAAGCCAAAAAAACCTTATTAACAAGTATTTTAATAGAATATTTATAACAACTCCTATGATAATTCACATATATTTGAAAATAATTTTTTTTTACAATTATTTTATACAATTTACAGAAATGTTGGTTGTTGAAATCGCCATATTGTGAACAGTAGAGAGTGGTAAAGAGTTAAAATAAGGTTTCCCTAGAAAATCTTACCCTAGCATTTAGTAAAACCTTTGTAATCTCCTTCCTTGTGTTCAATGAAGAGACTTTGGCGGGAGTGGGGTTGCGTATACACAAATGGCCGAAATGTTTCATCGAAGATGTGGAGATCGTGTTAATTTGATAAACAACAATTGCACGGCAGTGCGAAATTTTTCGGAATATAATTATGGTCTGGTATTGAGTGCTGAGCCGCTTAAGGATGACGAGCTATTTGAAATCCGCATCGACAAGAAGGTACTCGGACATCATTAGCTTCTACATCGCAAATAACACTTGTCAAATTCTTTAACTTCGTTCCTATTAGTAATATGAATTATTCTTGTCAGAAAAGTAGTACATACGACGATTTTATGCAATTAAAAGGCATTGGCAATAAAATAGTTATATAATGCTAAAATGTTAGCACTAGTTAAAAACAATATCTTTGCATATTTATGTTCTGCAAAATAAGATCCACTTGCTAAAAAGACATTGGATTTTATATTTTTATTGAACCTTTTGTGGCCTTCTGTGTATTTTATATCTTTGTGTAACGAAAATTGAAGAGTTTACTTTCACTGATTTATTTATTTCTAAACCTAGTTCCTTTGTACTTATATAATGTTGTATTTGTGAAAATGAAATATATTTGCATGTAATATATTAACTCAATTATAATATACCTATGATCTAAAAATGATTTTTTTTTCCTTTTATCCTATAATTTATTTTACTGTGGCACTTGAAAATGCAATTGGGATTGTATAATGGTTAGATGACCTATATTCTGCATATCTACTATATAAACAAAGTTCACATGTAGAGTGATATTCACTTTTATTCATTTTTGTGCTAGAAGATGAATATATATGTATCTTTTTATTAGTTTTAATTAAACACATTTAGTTATCGTAATATAAATCAATGCTGCTTTCCTTGAAATAATGCATAGATGATATCATGGAGTGGCAGTATAGAAATTGGAGTAACATCATGCGATCCAGAGAGTATGGAACTGCCAGCCTGTGCTACCAAGCTTCGTCATGGATCATGGATTATGTCAGGCTTGGGTATTGTACATGATGGGCAGCCAATTCTTGAAATTTATGGCACTGATCTTGATACTTTGGAAGAAGGAGACACCCTTGGAGTAATGCGATCATCTAACGTATGTTGTACAGTGAACTGTATAGAAATTATTTAAAAATTAGGTAAAAGAATTGCCATGAACTTTGAAGCTTTTAATAAATTTTTACAGGATGAACTAATATTCTATGTAAATGGTACGTCTCAAGGGATAGCTGCAACAAATATCCCTTCACGCGTATTTGCTGTTATTGACATGTACGGCAATTGCGTTCAAGTAACAATTACTCATCCTCGACCAGCGCTTGGATCCAGTGAGCCAAAAGAAGAACCAGAAATTAACAACGATTATCCATTGGGGGAAGCATCAAGTTCCTCTACAACAAACATTGTTGCCAATCTGAATGTCAATCTAAATGTTAATGTTAATGTTGATGTAAACGTAAATCTTCGTAAGAATCCAAGTCTTGCAGCTATAAGAGAAGATCGCCTGAGGTTTCATGAAAGAGTTGGTTCCTTGGTGAAATTATCTAACAATGCCAGAACAGCAGAAAGACAGAGGCCTCTTGATGAGTTTAATAATGGAGTAGTAATGACCCACAGGCCACTAAGAGATAATGAACTTTTCGAGGCAAGTCTTGAATGAAATTGAAATATATTACATATACAACAAAGAAGAATTAAACAATAATATTGCTATAATCTTCAAATTAGATTCGAATAGACAGATTAGTTGATAAATGGTCTGGCAGTATAGAAGTTGGAGTTACAACTCATAGTCCTACCGCATTAGACTTCCCAGCAACAATGACTAACATGCGTTCCGGTACTACAATGATGTCTGGTTGTGGTATTTTAACAAATGGGAAAGGTACACAACGCGAGTATGGTGAATTTAATTTGGATGAACTTAGGGTAATTATTTGTATAATATGCTAAATGGATTATACCTGATATAATATGAGGACATATATTATAACAATTTTATCACATAGGAGGGTGATAGGGTTGGAATGATAAGAAGGGGCAATGGAAATCTTCATTATCTCATAAATGGTTTAGATCAAGGAATTGCTGCAAAGGTTCCCGCTGGTATATGGGGCGTTATAGATCTGTATGGAATGACTGTGAAAGTAACTATTGTCGATCGCGATGAAAGAGAAGAACAGAATTTGGTTACTCGACGAAATACATTGCATCTTCAAGGATTAAATGGCGAAGGTAATAAGCCTACATCTGTGAATTTGAAGGAAATATACACATTTTAGTTACCGTTTACTTAATGTACAGAACCAGGAGAGGATGAACCACTTGATAGACTGATGTTTCATATGTGTTGTGGGACACATGCGGATGTTATTAATAACGGAAGGACTGCACACAGGCCTAAGTAATTTATATCAGAATTATCCTATTTTTGAAGGACGTTTTGAATAATCGACAAACATTTATATCCCCTGTATATATTTTCCAGTGCCATGGATGATTTTAATAATGGAGTGGTCCTAACTTCCAGACCGCTAAGACCAAATGAATTGTTTGAAGTAAAATTAGATAAAATTGTAACAAAATGGGCAGGCTCTATAGAGATTGGAGTAACTACACATTCCCCGACCGAATTAGAATTTCCTTTCACAATGACCAACGTTCGGTATGCATATTTATAATATTTTCAGTCGATGTTAGCATATACTTTTTCTATTCGATAATCTTATAGAACTGGCACATGGATGATGACTGGCAATGGCGTGATGCATAATGGAACAACAATGATCGATCAATACGGTCAAAATCTTGATCGTCTGCAAGTTGGCGATCGTGTTGGAGTGATGAGAAAAGATAATGCAACACTGCACTTTTATGTTAATGGAGCGGATCAGGGAGCTGCCGCGATGAACGTCCCTGAGAAGGTTTACGGCGTCATTGATTTATATGGACAAGCTGCTCAGGCAACTATTGTAGATGTTACTGACTTTTACAGTCCGACTACTAACAATTCTAGCTTTAGTAATACAACTTTATACAGGTAATGTACAATATTTAATGGTTAATGATGTTTTTATAGTTCTTTTAATAATCATTTATTGTTTCTTTATACAGTGATCTACGATTTCATCATGTTCATGGTAAAAATGCAAGAATTACAAATAATGGTTTGACAGCATCCAGACCTCGGGCGTTAGGCGAATTTAATGAAGCTATTGTAGTCGCCAACAGAGCTTTAAGAGATGGCGAAATGTTTGAAGTGTCTATCGATAAAATGGTCAACCGATGGTCCGGTGCCATTGAAGCAGGTAACCGTCAGATGTAAAATATTCAAAATTTCGATTTAAAACGTTTATTATTTAGAATCTATAACATTCTTAATTATATGTAGGAGTTACAGCTATAAGGCCAGACGAATTGGAATTTCCTTCCACGATGACTGATATAGATCACGATACTTGGATGTTGTCTGGATCTACTGTTATGCGTGACGGCGTGACTGTTCGAAATAATTATTCTTGTGATTTGGATAAACTTATGGAAGGAAATCGAATCGGTATGATGAGACATCCAGATACCAGCTTACATTATTATTTAGACGGTGTAGACCAGGGTGTTGCCTGCACAGGATTGCCGTTACACGTGTATCCTGTGATTGACTTATATGGTCAATGTGCTCAAGTGCGTAAAATGTTTAAAAAAATTCAATATTTGATTCAATTAATACTCAGTTCATTTCATATGTAACTGGAATCTGATTTATTTGTAGGTAACCATTGTTCTTCCCGAACGTAGAGACACTATGACCCAACAATACTTGCCGTCAGAAAATAGCACAAGCCAACAACCTACGTCCGTAATACAACCCCAAGCTCAAGCTGAAATAACTCATAAATTTCATGAGTCTGTGGGAGTAAATATTCAATTAAATTTTGAACGCATTGTTGCGACACGTTGTAGAGAATATGACAATGCCGTATTGTTGAGTGAATGTGCTTTGGAAAATAATGAAATTTTTGAGATTGCAATTCAAGAAGTAGCCCGCGAATGGAGTGGATCTCTTAGAATAGGTGTTGTAAGTTATGAAGATGGAAATTGGTTGACTTCTATGAATCTCGTACCCGCAATGACGTCGATACTAGCTGATGCTTGGTATTTAATAGGTGGATATACATCGGTTTTAATGTATAATATAATATTTCAATTATTTGTAAAAATATACATCAATTCAATTATTTAATCAGGAAACGAAGTAAGACATAAAGGATACGTACTTTGCCTAAATTATTGTCCAAGTTTGGACTGGCTTCGTGTCGGGGATAAAATCGGAATGAAACGTACTCATGACGGACATTTGAAATTCTATGTAAATGGAGAAGATATGGGAGTAGCAGCTTCTAATGTTCCCGAGATGGTCTATGCGATAATTGAATTATTTGGAAGCACGCTAGCAGTGAGCATTACTAGTAGCAAACAACAGAACGCTATAATTTCACCAAATGCCAGTTTACGATTACAAGATTCCTTAGAGTTACTGTTGGATCCAATGCCTCCAACTATAAGAAAGTGAGTATTTTTTTTTAAAATTAAATATTTAATGCGTTCAGCAATATTTTACCTAATCCTTTTTCTTCAGTGACGCTGGTATGGATACATCTATTGATGTATCTGAAGCTAAATTGTTAAATGAAATGGCGCTCACCCCTACACAGCCTATCATTAATTCTACTGGAGAATTTGATTGGAATTACGAATTTCATGAGAATCATGGAAGAAATGTGGAAGTAGAAAGAAAGACAATTGCTAGAAGAGTTGCAAGTTATAATCAAGGTAAGGGATATGCTTGATTTGTACAAGTCAAATGTTTTTTGTAGTAACACACGTAATATTATATTAATAGGTGTAGTGATGACTAGTCGCCCATTGATAAAGGGTAAATTATTCCAAGTGAAAGTGGAAAAAATAAATGATCGCTGGGTATCCGGTATGCTGTGCGGAGTAACATGTATTTCTCCAGAAAAAGCTAGCTTCCCTCTGACAGCTCTCGGATTTAAAAAGCATTCATGGATCATTTGTGGTGATTGGATTTCTCATAATGGTACTAAGGTAAAAATTTACATACATGAATTTCAGTACTATAATCTTCGACTACAGTATATTTATATAATTTTTGCATGACTTCATAACGTGCAGGTTAAAACGAGGTATGGAGCAAATTTGGAAAATCTTCAAAATGGATTTATTGTGGGTTTGCTGGTCGATGAAGACTCTAGGTTGCACTTATACATAAACGGTTCGGATCAGGGTATAGCTGCAACAGATTTGCCACCGTATGTGTATGCAGTAATTGATTTGTATGGGCAGTGCGAGCAAATCTCCATTTTTGGGTCTTTAGCAGAACCATCGTACACGAGTAACGATACACACAACATGGCTATTGCAGCCTCTGTAGAGAGTACAGGTATTGAGTGCGAGGACGTTGAAAATTCGAGAGAAAAGGCTGATCTCGAGTGCCACGAGAAGGAAAATGCAGTGCCGGCCACACCGTCGAACTTATCTTTAAACATCCCAAGTCAGAGTGACGCAAGTGCCAGTGATAGCGCCCATGTGAATTGTATTGGACCGTACCCGTCGCAGAGCAATAACATCACAAATATTAATAATATTATACAAAACAAAGCAATGTCGAGCAGCGTACATTCGGACAGTAATAATTCGGACACGGGCTCGGAATTAAGCAACGACGCGCGAAGCAATTTGTCAGAGAATAGTAAAATCAAGAATCATGGCGACAATGCAAACAACACAAATGATTACAATGCAATATCGAATAATCAATCGGAGAATAATACGAATGAGTTGAACAATGATGTTGAGAATCATGGTATAGCGAGTGTTCTAGGTATGAGAAGTGAATGTACAAATGTAGAAATAAATAATGCAACGAATATTAATATTAAAAATGGCACAGCTGCCAATACTAGTAATATGTCGACGTTAAATACGGCCATTAATTCAACAAACGCTAATAACGCGATAAACGAGAGTATTGCGTCGAATAGTCAAACTAATAATATGGCAACCTCCCAGCAGAATAATATCTCAAACAATATTCTCACCACATCTCAAAATAATACTACACCCTGCCAAAATGTCATACCGAATTTGCAAAACAATGTCACGTCCGGTTCAGTAAACAACGTTTCATCTAGCACTCAAGAGATACATTCGAATGTAATTCGACAAGCTCAAATACCAAATAACTGTCTGACGAATTCAATAGTTACAAGTCATACTGCACTGCAGAATTCGTCCTTGATGCCATCAATACAAGTTACTTCTCTGCCGTCCACTCCACTCGCCACCTTAGTTACGCCTACCAAGAAATGTGAATATATGAAAGCTTGTGTACGATTAAAAAAGTCTCTCGTCTTGCCTGATGAATTCTTCTCGCCCGAGGAAATTGTTTGCTACTGTTGTTCCTGTCATAAAGTCGATGGCGATACTGCAATTTGTCGAAAAGGCGAGCCCCCTGCAGAATTTGCCATTCCTGTAGGTTGGGCTAGGTTTCCTTTGAAGCAAAGCATTAATGTCACTCAGGTCCCGCAAACTACATTGGATAAGTGGCATGTGGCTTTCTATGGAACGCGGTTGGACGCTATTCGGTTTGTGACAATACAATATTGTGATAATAATTAAATACACATTAGATCAGAATTTCTTAACATTTTCATATGTTTCAGATGGATCCTAGATAGAGGAGAACTGTTGACCAAGGAACAGTTACATATGAGTACATTGACAACAGGTATTAATAGTGAGGATGTGAATCCACAAGTGGTATTTTCACCAAACATTAAGTACGCAGCATCCGAGGAATTCACGACAAGATATCCGTAAGTATTTCAATTCAATATTAATTCCAAAATCAGACAAGTATCAAGAGATAAGATCTCATGTCGGTTTCTTTCAGATACATTGACACCCAATCCAATAAAAAACTTAATGCCTCAACAGCATTCCAATTATTAGTAAGACCTGGATCATATACAATGAGTCCTGGTAAAGAAAGTACAGATCAACAGTCAGAATGTACTGAATGGGCTACCAAGGAAGCTGGAGCTACAGTGATCGTAGCACTTCTAATTCACCTGGATGGTTTCTAATAAAAACTTTTACTTTGAAACCTCAGTTAGGAGCATACTCATGAATTATGTGTGATTCTCGTATCGCTGTAGTGCTTCAGGATTAAATATTCACGCGTACGCCAAGTGTAGATGAGTTTCACACCAGCTAAATATTTTGGCCGAGTTCACAGTGAGCAAACTATGGCATTGATTTAATACATTTTGGCAATTCTTTTCTATTAAAAACGTTTAGCAGTACGTGAATTTAGAAATCTTTCTATTATATGAGATTTAGACTACATCAAAATTGAATTGAAATGTAATCATTATACAGTTAATCAAATTTTGTTTGCGTCTAATAGATAATCTCAGCGCAAAGGGCCTTGTAATATTACAATTTTTGCTTTTATTAATTGAAGTATTTTACAGTTATCCTGTAAGAAGCTCTGATCTTAATAGTGTTACGATACACTGATGTATTTATTGCCAATTTCGTCTACTCTGGTAGACAAAGATAAAGAGAAAGAGAAAGAGAGATTAATATCATCAAAAGAAACACCAATCCTTACGTTTTGCATACGGGTTTCTTAAGATAATCATTATGTTCACCTCGTGTCGTTTCTTAGAGATTCGATTTTTTCCAATATATTGTATATACGCGTTTTTGTGAAAACTATATATCCGTTAACTTTATACGCGTTTTCTGTGATATTTTAATTACATTGTGTATACATGCGTGTTACGTAAATTACATGGCCGCCATTTATTATCGAATACTGTCACTTTGTGTACTTTGTTTAATAATACCGTTAAAGAAAGTGTTGTTTCAATTCATGATGTTTCGAACAATTATTACCTTCTTTTACACGTGCGGTCGTCTATCTATTATAAGTAATAAATATGTTTTTTTTTTTTAAATTATCGTACAGCATCAGAGAGCCCACAGAAGGGCCATGCGAATATACGTAAACTATGAAGATCAGCTTTCAAGTCTATAGAGTTGAGGCAACGCGAAAGCGCTTAATTTAGGACTGTAGTGGAGAAATATTTTATAGCAACACAGAAAAATATGCTGCAGAAATTACCAGTGGGATATTATTGTCACACTCACCTCATACGAAAGTCGAATTAGTAATGGCTGTACTCTACACAGTGCTGTGTATTTTTCTGTGTTTTATTCATCACTGTAGCGTATAGAAAGTGATGTTTTAGTTTAAAATGGCATAATGTACATTAACTCTAGTCATTAATATTACAGTAGATTCAATATTACGCAAAGTTCTGAAAATTCAAAGTCGATCGCATTATAAATAATTTGAGAAATTATTTAAATCTGCATGAGGCGACTCGATTTTCATTAGTTAAAGTTTGGTTTTCAATAATAACCTATTGATTTCAAATGCTACATTGAGTGTCAAAGATGGCTGAGAGTGGAAATATTCATTATACACTTCAGTGTATCGATAAAGCTCACTGTGCTTCCGGTCATGTATATTTGAAACTATCATCGGTAGCAAAATTAAAAGTGCAATACACGCACAGCTTTTTGTCTGATAACTTTTCAATGCAAAAGAAAGTATGAACGTCCGAGATTTGTCAAATTGCACTCACAAAATAAGTTTTATAGGTAGACTCTTACAGCTGTCATAACTACTCTATACGTAGAGCGACTGTTTGTAGTAGTATATGCAGAATTATTAGTAGCATTATTCTAAAAGTTTTACATGAAAAAAGCAAGACAACTCTTCATTTCGGAGCACGAGTGATTATTAATCGTCTAATGATATTACGCTATTACGAGGACTAAAGAACAGAGAGATATTTTTCAAGAGAAAAGAATGTGATTATGTCGCTACTAGATAATCTAGATGCAGCTACGGTTTATCGATATAAATGAGAAAAGATAAGAATGACACGTCGTATTAGTTGATTATTATTTTTGGAATAAATAGTGGCCCATCTAAAGTAGCGAATGAATGTTACATTATAAAACTTAGATCCACACGATACACTGATTGATTATACTTGTGCTTCGGTGTTCGATTGGTTTAAGAAATGATTATAACAGTATGTTTATTTTCGCACGGCTTAAATTCCATTCTCTGATAAAAATATAATATTTCGGATAATATTTCGGATGCATCGCAAATTATACATATATATATATATATATATATATATATATATATATATATATATACACACGTATTATGTATATATTTAATAATTTTGATTATTATGTCATTGTGACACGCAAGACTTAAGACACCAAACAAGTAAGCATTAGCAGTTTAAAAACGTGGGGATATTTTACTAAAGTCGTGGCTACGTGGCTATTCTCAGCGGTAAAACAATGCGGCGTAACGAGTACGGCATAGGATAAAAAAAATTGTAACTAGGGATATTCAATTTTATAAATAAAACAGTAAATATATGGTACAGTCTATAATGACATGAACGAAGAAATAAGGTATCCCCAAGTAGGAATAAAAATTCTTATTAAGATTTGTTTCTCCGTGTTATTATTATTGTTATTATAATAACTATAATTTCTATTGATTTATAAATAATACAAATATAAACAGACAGATGGACGATGAATGAGGAACAATTTTTAATAAGTTGTCATTGGTTGCGTTGTTAGTTCGTTATTCAGACATTCGCACGGAATCAAGTAGTAGTAGGAGGCGATAAGTAACATTAATATAATGGAAGATTTTAACAATAAAGAAAAAGAAACGAAAATATGTATATCCTTATATTATGCGAATGACGTTTTCATCCCTCTAACACACGTGGAAAATTTCTCCTTGATAAATGACTCGATTATCCTCATTATAAGATTACATGAGGATAATCAATCAGATCTTTTGTCAATTATTCGAATAGAACTTTAGTGGAGAATATAATTTTAACTATCATTTTATTCGTACTGGGTATGCTCGTGTATAATAGAAACGCTGACGATTTACACCCAAATACGAACATTTTGATCCCAAGAGCAGCTGGCCACAGCCATTCCATTTCCAGAAACGCTAAGAGATGTCACTCTATTTTCATGTCCGGTCATAGTACCTTGAATGACGACAAAAAAGTAGAAGAAAAATCCATTTAATTCGTAATATATTTTTGATAAATTAAATGTTACCATTATGTTGAACTTTCAGCGTGTCCCATATATGAATAGAATTATCGTCGCTACCGCAAAATATGAATCTGCCACTCAATGAGAGACCGCAAGATGTGAATCCAGGATTTGAATTTGGGGGCTTGAAAGTGGCCAATTGCTGGTCAGATCTAAAATCCCAAAGTCGAGCTGTCTTATCTTCTGATGCTGTTGCGAACCCTTGTCCGGATGGATGGTACTGATGAATTAAGAAATCCAATGAAATAATTACCAATTAGTTAAGCCAGTCTATTAATATACTTACGCAAACCGAGTTAACGTCTGCTTCATGACCGAAGAAAGTTTGTTTTGCCTTTTCTTCTCGTAAATCCCAAAGCTTGCATGTCTTGTCTACCGAACCAGTTACGTAGGTATTACCATCAGGTGACAAGCTAATACTAACAACGTCACCAGCATGGGCGCAGAAATCTGTTGTTTTTTTTCCAGCTTCCAAATCCCACATGCATCTGTATACAAGTTAAAAATTACAACATGTTTCTTCATATTATATAATTTAGTACCCATAGTATTTGAAAATGATACCAATGAGAATTCAAAGACCTTACATTTTCATGTCGCCCGATCCAGTGATGATTTTTTTATCATCAAGGAATCTACAGGATGAGAGGAATCCTTCGTATCCCAATAATTCTCTGGTGATCTTTGCAGAACCAGTGGAATCCCGATTATTCACATCATAAACAGTGCACATATTGTCCATTCCACCGCAGGCGACAAAATTGCCAGAAGGTGCGAATGCAACGGACATCACCCATGCGGATCTTAATGGGATAACTTGAACCTTGTTGCCAGTCCAGGAATCCCAGATAATTAGTTTGCCATCCAACGATCCCGTGACGCAGTGTCTGTTAAAAATATTGACGAATTTTCAATAAATAAATCCATAATGAATAAATGTCAAAGATAGTTTTTAGAATACGGTGAAAGGGAATGCGTTTTTAGATGACCTGAATCAGTGAAACGTTTCATTCGACGATTCAACGATTCGGTGTTTTGGGAGCATAATGGTTCCAGAAATGTAGATCGTCTTCACGCTTGATAATGATGAAGTTTCTCGATAAAAACATGTTTTTTTTGCTATTTCTAGATAAACGTGGGCAACTTGGTTTGTATCGAATTAATTATTTTACTCTGTTGTGCCCGTGTAAAATTATAAACATAATTAATGCTTTATCTAAAACACTGACCTGTTATCACCACTGAAGTGTACCGAATTCACCTTATTGATGTGGCCTTTGAGTAACTTCTTGGTTACCAATTTAACTTTAGGCGCATCCGCCACACTGCTACAAGCTTCTTCTAGAGTTGTATCCTGTTGTTTCTTCTGGTCGTCCTGAAAAATTAATGATATCAGGAAGATAAAATGTTAAACCTTCTATGGAAAAATAGTATAAATAGAGTCTTGAAGGTACAAACCTTGCATTTTTTTATTAGATCCTCAAGTTCTTGCTTTAACTGCGTTGTTTCGGCATCATCTTTTCCCATTTTTCACCGTTTCCGGGAATTCTGGACTCCCGACGAAAAAACAACGGGACACTAACTAACGATGATCAATGATCGAGGCGGTACTGCTAGCTACTTTCCGTCAAAATGCAAAAGAAGCCTCAGGAGCGACTACTGCCCCAGTAATCATATTAAATCAACGCATAATCCCATTTGTTGGGCATTAGCTCAGCTTTTCTTCGTAACTTAATTATTTGCTTATTATAAAAACGCTGCCATGGGACTTAACAAACCTTTGACAAAAAATTGGAAGAATCGTTTCGTCAATTCTATCATATTTCTTCCTGTTTTCGGAATATTTTCCTGCAAACTGTATGTCAGCCAGATTATGATTTTTGATACTTTCTTGGAATAATTTTTATTAAATGGAATAACAAAATCTGATGCTATTACGTTACTAGTTATCATCTTGTTGACGGGTAGAAGTTGTGCAGAATGCACGAGTTTTTATGTGATAGATTTTATAAGATGATAAGGTCCATTTTTAGAGGTTTTTCCAAGGTGAAAAGTTAGAAATCTTTAGGAGATATGCCCTAATCGAAAGTAACAAATTAAATACATCTCGCTCCTATCGATCTATAATGGTCTATCAAAGCGTGAAGTCCCAGACCTGGCAAGCGTGACCAACCTATGTTTAGAACCAAAGAAAACTCTGGCGGTCCACTTTTTTATTTCTTGATAAAAACAATTATGTAGGAAGCTTCCTACTTTCTCGTATAAATTGCAAATTTCACCAAACTCACTGCAGTTTCATTTTACTCGTCCAGCTGTTCATTTCCTGGCTGGAAGTTCAAATATAATTTTGTCGTTGGGTACTTCTAGCCGTCCCAATAAAACTGATTTTAACCGAAATTTTAAAATGTCGAGTAATGGTGTTGTGTACCTTGTGATATTAGTTGTGTTTCAATTGAGTCTAGGAAGATGCGAAAATCCTAATAAATGCAATACGGATTTGAAACTCGATACATATATTAGTAATAATAATATAAATTCCTCTTGCGAGTGTCAAGAATCCAGACGTGTACCAAAGATCATTCAGTGGTCCAAAGAGAAATATAAATGTTCTGCGTTGGAGAATATTAACAGTGACGGTATGCTTAATTTAATTATTTTAGTATTATATTATATACATATATAATTGTACACATACCTTAAATTCGTTGAAAATTGTGTTTCCTTTGTTTCGTCGAATATTTTATTCTTATTGTTATACCGTAATACGGTAAATCTATCCCAGATTAACCTACAAGAAACCTGCGGATTACCTAGGGTGGTTCAGCATGTATTTCATTTCATGTAACCATTACTGTACATGAAATCGAATTCAGACATACACATACATTGAAAATTGATGAACTAATGTTCAAAGTTATATTACTCTGACAAATTCTGTATAAATTCATTGCGCGTGTCACTGTTGCAGCGTATTATTGAGCGCCATAAGCATGCGCGTCATTCTTACAGGCATACACAAAACTAATCAGAAATATTATTTTAGATTAAAACCAGAAATCATTCTCTATAGCCAAATATTGAATTGGTATCAAAGAAGAGGCTGCAACAAAATACTATAAGCATCTTATTATCATAATGACACCTCACTCATAAATAATAGAGCCTTTGTGCGATAAAAGGCTTGCAAGTTTTTCTCTAAGAATCTCAATACTTATATTGTAGCATTATAATCTTAAAAAATTATTCGAAATATCTTCCATCAAAACTGGCTAAGTTTTTATATATTTTCATTGATGAATGTATTAATGAAATACCAGATGTGCTCCGTAGTATTTTACCCGGGTGTTTGACGGGATGCTTTAAATGTCAGATGTTTTTCGTACGGTTAGTAAAGTCATCTCGAAACGTGTGGGTGCAATACGGCCTCACAATTTCCGTACGTGGTATTCAGTCGGAGCGGCATGTCCGTCAGGCTTGTCTCGGCTTTGTTGTTTCTCATAAGAGTTCTGTAAGAGTTCCATAAGAATAATGGTCCACAAAGTGATTTTCATCGTTTTGCTAGTCGGCTACATCGTTGGTGAAGTGAAGCCAGCAGAAAAACAGGAAGGTATGAGAATGTTAGGTTCTTTTTATGCCTTTCCTTTTTTTTTCTAGCGTCGAAGTATAAGAAGGGTTGCTGTCATTTAAACAGTCAATGCGTATCGCTTATTCGACTCATTTTTTTTCTGTAATTTCATACATAATTCTACTACTCATTTGTATATGGGGCTTGAACCAGTATATTTAGTTTTAAATTAAGGATTAGGCTGTGGGGGGTAAGTTTAAGAAGCATAGTAATAACGCCAATAGAATAATATTTTTTATATGTTGCATTAGCAATGATTTTAAAACTATTCTATTGGATTGGGTATTGATATTCATTCTAATGTTTGAATTACATGTTATTTATGCCTCTAAATTAAATGCAAATGGAGCCTACAAATTGCTATGTTTCACTCTTAAGATTACAAAGCCACAAAGGACCGTTCAGCTATTCATTTTTACACGATGACCACAAATAACTTCCACCGTGGAAATCTCGTTTCTTACTTTCGGAGAAACTGATTCTGTTTCGATCTCAGTCATCGGGAACGTGCGATCGAAAGTTTTGTATAATGCCGCCATAACTTATTAATAGTCTAGCCAGTTTTTTCGTTTTGTTCAGTTGTACTGGTCGGGCTATACAATTTTATATAACAATAGTAAAGTCTGTTGTCTATACATTATGCATTGTTTTCATCCTAATAGAAATTATAGTTCAAATAAATCATTTCTGAATTTATAAGTACCGTTTCTAATGACCCTGTTTCTCCTGCTATCACCGATTCTGTAAACTGCACGTATAAAGTACTCTTATCGCATCTATTACAAAGAGAAATAATGGAGAAAGATTAAAGAGCATTTTTTTCAATGGACGAAGAGCAAAATTCTTGGTTAAAATTATCAAACCTCGCATGCATTTTCTTACGCAGAATACACACATTGTATAAAGAGCATTAAAACTTTTCTAGCACCTCGAGAAATTTTACTCTGTTATATTTGTCCACCAACCGTAAAAATAATGACCACTAATTCATTTCCGTACGTCGGCTAATGTTTTTATATAATAGTTTACCATCGTCATGGTTTGTCTCTTCCGGAAACGGAACCTTGACAATGACATGTACATCCAAATTATTTCCCATGTAATTTTTCATTTATGCACTGTAACTGGGTATTATAATCCAACAACGATCACTGATCAAATCAATTTTAAATATTTGAAATAATGTTGAAGCAGAACAAGATTTTCATAGGGAGAAGTTTATAGTTATATGACCGTATGCACAGATTGGGTCGTTATCAGGTTACTTCCGGTGCATCATCTTTTGACAGGAAAAAATATGGGTTCCAAGAAGTATCTCAATCCTCTAAAGATGATAAATTCTTGCAAATCACTCGTATTCATGCCTAAAACTTTATTCGCATAAGTTTCAAGAGAATACGTTGAATATGTCTCTATAGTAAACCTGTAATACTCTATACCAGTTCTTAGGAATTTATTATTGTAGGTGTACGTTGTGGCGTGGTCTAGACTTGTATAATATGCGCTTTATCTAGTTCGTACTACAATTTTTGTATAAAATTTGATTACTCAATGAATGAAGTATAAATAACTCATTTCAAGATATTGTTTTACAATTTTTTCGCAGCAAGATTTTATTGTGTATATCTCATTCATTGACCTTTTCTATAATATCTCGACAAATGGTTATTTTAAATGTATACTTTGTCTGAGGAATGATCAGGCATCTCAAGGAGTAAATGAAAGCGCGATTACAGCACAGTCGGTGGAAGCGCTGCGGCTCCTTGGTACTACATTTCAAGATGACATAATGCCAACGCGTACAGTTTCATTTCTTGGACATCAGTGACGTGTTTAGGCGTATAGTATAAGATTATAACGATGACAATTTATGATTTTAGGTGACATGAAAACGTTAGAGGAAACCATTTGAGTGTTTGATTAGAACCAATTGCAGAACAAATTTTATTATATTAATTTTAGGATTAGAATCTTAATATGTTGAATCATCTGCTAGGGTCAGACTTACGGAACTGTTCTATATATAGAACCATGAAATGCTGATTCAGAATCTCTGTTAAAGTAATCAATTAGCAGCCCCTAGCGATTAACGTTGATCTGAGCTGCTATGCAGTTCTAGTGAAATTTTAAAAATTTCGATATCTTAACGTAGACTAGTAGGATATCATTTGTGGATCAGAATTTATAGGTCGTTGAAACATGCGTACATGCTTTGTGATAAAAGCAGAGGGGTCACACATGAATTTATATCTGTTAAACTCATTAAATGAATTTGAAAGCGTCATCTGTGACGGCCATGTGTTTTTCTTTTGGTAAATTAGATTGTTTCGCTTATGTAAGTTGATGTTTACAGATTTCCTTATATTTACTGTGGCCACAAATGAGACTGAAGGATTCAAGAGATTTACCAGATCCGTCCGAGCAAATGGACTTGTTGATAATTTGAAAGTACTTGGACTTGGAAAGACTTGGAAGGGTGGAGACGTAAAGAAATTTGCTGGAGGAGGTCAGAAAATCAATTTATTCAAGGAAGCACTGGAGGAGTACAAGGATGATACAGAGAGGATAGTATTATTTACAGATAGGTAATTGGAATTTAATTCTTCTATGGGGATCAGTCTTATGACTACACCTTGAATTCAGAATGAAGTAGAAATAATAACTTTTTATTTTTAGTTATGATGTCATCTTTATTGGATCTGGAGAACTGATTATTGATAAATTCTTAAGTTTTGATGCACGAGTATTATTTTCTGCAGAAGGTTACTGTTGGCCTGACAAGTCATTGGCTTCTAAATATCCTGAGACGAATAGAGGCAAACGCTATTTAAATTCTGGAGGGTTTATTGGATATGCTTCAGATGTTTATGCTATAGTATCTAGTTCAGATATTAAAGATCAAGATGACGACCAGTTGTTTTATACGAAGATTTATTTGGATGATGAACTCAGAAAGAAATATAATATTAAGCTTGATCACAAGGCTGAGATTTTTCAGAATCTCAATGGAGCCGTAGGTAAGTAATCTGCATATCTGATTTAATATATATTGAGAGATATTGTGTCGAGCGTGAGAAATATTATTAATTTTTTTTAGGCGACGTGGAGCTGAGATTTAAAGGAAATGATGCTTACATCCAAAACACCGCTTACAATACCGTTCCCTTAATTGTTCATGGAAATGGAGCCAGTAAGCTCGTTCTGAATTCTTTGGGAAATTACTTGGCTCAGGCTTGGAACTTGGAAGAAGGATGCTTGAACTGTTGGGATGATACAATCGAGTTACAGAAAGATCAACCAGAAACCTATCCCGTTCTTTTAATTGCTGTATTTATAGAAAAACCGACACCATTTATGGAAGAATTTTTCGAGCGAATCTATGCTCAAGCCTATCCGAAATCTAAGTTGCATCTATTTCTTCGTAACAATGTACCATATCATGAGAAGATAGTGGAGATGTTCGTTAAAGAACATGGAGATGAATATAAGAGTCTTAAGCAGATAAAACCTGATGACAATATCAACGAAGTGACTGCCAAAGATTTGTCAATGTATGTAAATAACAGGATAATAAATGATGGAACAGTATTTATCATTTAAAATCATATTAATGATTATACATTGGATTTCTGTGCAGAGATTACTGTTTGCAGAAGAAGTGTTCTGGATACTTCTTAATCGACTCAGAAGCTCATTTGGACAATGTCCATACCTTCAAGCTGTTGGTTGAGCAACAAAGAGGGATAGTTGCACCCTTATTGGTCAGGCCATTCAAAGCTTGGAGTAATTTCTGGGGTGCCATTACCGATGACGGCTTCTACGCACGCAGCTCGGACTATATGCAAATTATTAACAACGACCGCAGGTGAGTTTAATTCATAATTATTCGGCAAAAAACTTAAATATATTTAAACAGGAGTGTAGGGCACGGTAGAAGAATAAGTGATTAACAGTCTGATTGGAATGATAACAAACTTGTTACTTATTTCTCATTACGTTCTTTGAAACGTACTTTACAAGTTTCTACAAAGTATCAATGACTTATTGAGGCAATTTCTTTAGTGCCTTGCTAGTTGTAAAATTACAGGAGCAGGTAGAGTTGCACTAATGAGGCTGTGAACATTAATTTCGCCTCGTTCTACGATTCTTCTGTACGTGTGAAAAAAAACTTTAATACTATCACTCGTGGTCTTCCATTTCTCAATCTGGCGGCTAAATAACATTTAGTCGAATGCAATGGAGAAATCAGTCTTGAAAGACCTACGGTCGATACTGTACATGTTGTCTGCTGTGCATTCATAAACACCAGCATCCATCTGAGTTGCGGGATCAATCTCTAGCTTTGATTTGACTTTGTCGGGTCCTACTTGCCACTCGTGCACCTACATGAAAAATAAATTATTTTTAAACTACTTTGACATTGAAGTACATATATTTTTTGGCAATGTCGTACTAACATGTAGGTAATGATGGGTGTAAATTTCCGTGCCATCCTTGAACCATGTAATATGTGGTCGTGGTGTTCCTCGTGCCACACAAAGAAATGCAATTTTGTGACCCAAAACGTATTCAAAATCAAAGTGCGACGCTTGTAGAATCTTTGCACCCTGATAAAGTTTATTGATGTAATATAATATGGCGATGGATAAATATTTTTCAAAACATTTAAAAATACCCACGTTGTGATTGTTATAATATTGATCACTTTCAGGATCTCGATATTTTCCAGTAATTGGTAATCCAATTTGTACCCGAGATTTGCTTCTACTTCTTGCACGACCTCTTCTGCCAGAAATTTCTTGACAGTGTAGCACCAGTAATACCAGCAAAAGTACAGTAGCTGTTGTACGGCGCATTATGTTCTAGAACAAATAGAGTATGATTACTAAGACATATTCATTTACAAATCTATCACGGTTTATCACTATTTTAAAGACGACTTTTTCTTGGGTACGTTGACACGTTAGCAGGGAAATCGTACAAAGCTGTGAAAAGCGCACTTGCCATACAAACACAACACGCTAATTTTAATAATAACACAGATATTATTGTGTCGATAAACAATGTTTATTGAAGAGTTCACAGAAATCAAATAACACAATGGTACCTGAGTAAGTGCACAGTGGTTTTTACGGTTCACCCAAAACTTAGCCGATACTGCAGTGACTGTCTCGAGAGAAATCCTAAGTGAAATAAATTTGTTTAAAAATAAATTGAATAACTGTTGCATGATAATTCCATAAATGAATACGATAGGTACTCACCGCGTACATGCAGCGTTCGGCGATGACACAGAACACCAATGTAACTGGCGGGCATCTATTCATTACTCCCCTAGTGTCCTCTCCTATCTATTACAGACTCATTGCAAATACCATCAAACCGCTCACATACCTATACGCACAATATAAATATATTTTAAATTTTTCCACGGCATTTTTCATTGTTTAATCTTGAATAGTCATTTTGGTGTAGTTTGGTAATTTATGAAATCATGCCGATAATGCAATCATAAAAAAAGTACTATTGTTGAATATTTACATATTTGGAATGATAAAATTCTTACGAGTACTTTGATTAAAACTTTTTTTTTATAATTTGTGGAAATGATGAGTCGATTATATAATTTGCATATTTTCTTACAGACCGAAATAATTTTGTCTTTAAAAAAAATTTTTTCTGTGTATGAAAGATATACTGCAGCAGAATTATCGATATAATACTAAACACGATGATTAAGCCTGATATGAAAAACATGTCACCCTCGTCCACTCCAATTATTTCTTAATAACATAGAGATGGGGGAACTTCGGAGTAACTTGAATAGGTAGTTATTTGCAGGTACATCGAAAATCTGTGTATCATAAGTGGACATGATATTTCTTGGGATGATTGGATTTTGCAATATATTTACAATTGAATTGTTTTTATATAAATCTTTTACATTTATAGATATATAAATTGTATAACATGCTATTCGTATTAGAACAATAGTCAAAAGCAGTATCTTAACACTAAACGTGTCAATAAGATGACTAAAAAAAGTGCTTTGAAATGCATTGCGGAAATGGTATTATTATCTTGAATATAATCAGTCTTACAATGACAAGGTACTGCACATATTTTCAAGTAAATATTAACTTATGATTCGTTTATCATGTTCAATAGATGCCTGGAGAATCTTCATTGACAATCTTGAAAATAAACCTTTTCGGTATGATGGTTCAAATGCAAAAATATTTTGTCTGTTACCTTTACTCGGTACAAAGATTTGAATATAAGCCAAACTAATCGATTATCATCTATTAGAAATTGAAACCCTCTACTATTTAATATCTAAGTACTAAAAATGTTCAAAGTGCGATATACGTGCACCAAATATTTATTGGCAAAAGAAGTGCGAATTAGCAATTTTGCATATTTGGCATTTAACAATTTGTATTGTGGCCTATATCCCATAATTAAATAATTAATAAGTGATCATAACATAATCCGTTCTAAATCCACGTCGATCTACAGAATATTGATTGTCAGCCTGACATTCGTAATAACCAGCATCCTTTTGTGTAGCCGGATCGATTTCCATTTTGGATTTCATTGTATCATTTCCAAGAGGCCATTCGTGTACCTATGAAACGAAAGTCTTAAGAGTCAAGCATGTGACTTTCAATCATTAAAGGTCTTCTTGACTTACTTGAAAGAATTTGTGATGATACAATTCAATTCCATCTTTGAACCAAGTAATTTCTGGTCTTGGATATCCACGTGCCATGCAAAAAAAAGTAATCTTCCGTCCTAGCATATAGTCTAATTCAAAGTGGGATGCTTTAATTATCTTGGCACCCTGTAAACAAAGTTACATTGATAATCTATAACAGTTATTTTTCCTATGGGAAATTAAACCTACGTCTTTATTCTCATAATAATGTGCACTGGCTGGATTGCGATGCGGAATTAAAACTGGTACCGCGGATCCATATATTCGTCCTCTTAGACGACCTCTGCTACCTCTACCTCCACCGCCGACTTTTGCTGCATTTGCCACTAGTGAGAAAGTCACCACTAAAGCCAATGTATAGAACAACCAGCATTTCTTCATTTGATCCTAGAGGAACATACATATTCGATTGCTAATGATTGGGAAAAAATATAATTTTATTAAAGTAAAATATTTTTTGCCACTCATAATTTTACATCGAGCTAATATATATTTAATGCTTCCAAAGCTAATAATTATTCATTTGTGGAACTCAGAAATTTATATGCAATTTATTTTTTTGCTAAGAATTTTTATAATAAGTCAATGCCCATTTATCTCTTACTTGCATTGCTTTCTTTTTCATATCTACTTATGTTTCATTAATGGATATTATATTTTTATTATTATATATCAAGTAGTTATTCCACCCCGGCCAATCATACTGCGTACAATTTTTATTGTTACTTCAGTGCTTTTTTGAGGAATAAATTGAAATTCGCTTACCGCGTCACTCAAATACTCGTCTCAGCTGTTATCGATGTAACGGTGTATGGGATCTTCTTGTTTCTCCAGCCCAAAATATGAATGGGCCATACGCGCGATAGTAACGCAGTCTCTAGTGTCAGAGTTATGAATCTCAATTGGATAATTATGCATAAGCCATTCCCTGTATGAACATCGGCCAATCGCAGCACAAGAGTTACTGCCCGCCAAAACATTCAATAATGACCAGTGAAAAACAACATGATGTCCTGTTATCGTGCATGAATGAAATTCCACCGAGGACGCAGAACGCATGGCCATTCGTGGCAAGGAAACTAGTTTCTCTTGAAAAGCCACATCGTATACGTACACTTATACGTAAAATGATTTAAATTTAATTTAATAATTGTCTTTACTTGTTTCAGGGGATTATGGAACGTACCGTTTGTTAGCAATTGTTACCTCATTAATGCCACTCTAATTAATAACAAAGCTACTCGTCCAGTCTACGCTTTCGGAGATTTGGATACCGATATGGCATTTGCGCAGGCTAATAGAGAAAGAGACATTTTTATGTATGTCAGCAACAGACTCGAATTCGGACACTTGGTCAGTCCGGATAATTATGATATCAAGTTAACGAACCCTGATATATATCAGATATTTGATAATAAACTTGATTGGCAGAGGAGGTACATTCATGAAAATTATACAGAGAACTTCAATCCGAATCACACGCACATTCAAGTAATGTTCTAATTCCTTATAGCTATTGAATAATATTTATTGTTATACAGTACTCTTAACAGTTATGCAATTGCAGCCGTGTCCTGATGTATATTGGTTCCCAATCGTCACCGATAGATTCGCAGAAGAATTAATACAAGTCATGGAAGCTTTTGGAAAATGGTCAGACGGTACCAATACTGTACGTAATTTTTATCTTGTTTAAAAATCATTTAATTATATACAATAATTATATTACCCAGCATGTATTAAAATATTTTCATATTGATAGTTGTCGGATTCACACAATCAGTTTCTTTTCAGTTTATATAATATAAATATAATTATAATATATCCTATAAATCAAGATCTAAATTGATTAACAGGATCCTAGATTATCAGGCGGTTACGAAAACGTACCAACACGTGATATTCACATGACTCAAGTGAACTATGAGCCACAGTGGCTGTACTTTTTAAAGGAGTACGTTAGGCCTCTTCAGGAGCTCGCCTTCACAGGATATTATCATGACGTAAGGATAACTTATATATTACAAAGACATCTCCCTATTTCTAGGACCCGAGACTCGAAGGCGGCTACGAAGCCGTTCCTACGCGTGACATTCATATGACCCAAGTTGGCTTCGACGAGCATTGGTTAGAATTTCTTAAAGAATATGTCAACCCGTTGCAGCAAAGTGCATATGAGGGATACATTGATTATGTAAGCGTCCGGTCAACTTCAAAGTCACCTCGGTTCTGGATAGTTTGATTATGGTTGAAAGCGATATGTGCACAATTGGTGACGCTGGTTTATTATTGAATTAGATAATGATTGGCATTTTTTTAGTAATAGGCTTGTTCGTTGAAACTCACACAAGTATGGGTTAACGTAGATTATGGTACTTGGGACGTAAATGGTATAGAGATAAAAAATATACATTAATTGTACTTATTAGCAATTAAGTCTTGACTCTGATATATGCACTTTTTATGTATATACACTATTGCTATTGGAAGATAGAATAATTTGTAAATTAATAATATTAATTTTTTTTTCACGACAGCCTCCGCGCTCCCTCATGAATTTTGTTGTTCGGTATCGTCCTGACGAGCAGCCATCTTTGAAACCTCATCATGACAGTTCAACTTATACGATAAATATTGCCTTGAACAGAGCAGGAATTGATTACGAAGGCGGTGGATGCAGATTTATACGATACGATTGTTCTGTTACCGATACTAAGCGTGGATGGATGTTGATGCATCCTGGAAGATTAACGCATTATCATGAAGGATTAAGGGTTACTAAAGGCACACGATATATCATGATTTCCTTTGTGGACCCGTAAGATGATATCATTTTAGACAGACGAGCACTGGAATTTAAGGTTTGATCTAAGAATGTAGATCTGAAAGCCGTGTGTTCAACGTCTGATTATCGCACAATGCCAATGAAAAGTTATCGTGTTATCATGTACTATTAGCTACTAAATTAATACTCTGAGAAATGTAATAGTAAAGGATGTGCAAGTTTTTGTACGTAGGTAATAATGAATCAGATAAAGTAACTGGAATGGATACGTATTCACTTGCCAATATGTTATTTTTATATTCACAATGCATTTTCTAAAGACTATAAGTCTATCTACTTACTGCATTCCTAGTTGTATCAGCAGGTAAATGATAATTGTAAATATGTAAAAGAGATTATTAAAAGTGAAACCCTGTTCTGAAAACATGTAATAATTGTTGCATAATTTAAGGATATATGATTTTTTATTCAACAATCATTTTATTCAAAAACACATTTTACTATGTCGATTCTTACGAATCCTCAGTCCAGCTAGAGAATGAACATTCTCACTTAAAAATTATATTCTCAATCATTCATTACTGATAAATAAAGTATTTTATTTCTTTTCTGGAACTACTTCACTGATTCCATACATGCCAGCTAATAGGCGCCCATGGGATATAGGTACCGGTTCCTTCGGTGCCAAATATGGTCCCTTCTCTCCCATGTAAACATAACTGAATCGAAATTAAGGACTTTAAATTTTTATCAAATTTCAAATTATACGAATTGTACATTTTTCAAAAGGATACGGTAACCTAAGAACCCAGTATGCACTCTGAGAAAGTTTTATTGGTTCTTCACAGCCGGTTACAAAAATTGGACAAGGTGGTGGTCCTGGCTGAACACGTGGGTTCAATGTAACATGAACAGGTGCCTTTGGAGTCACTACGTGAATCCTCATAAGTTGTGCTATCAGTGGTTTAGATTGTCTATTACAAAATGACAGAATTAATCATCGTTTTCATTGTTTATGTAATTAATATTGCAAATTTGTATCGAACCTGCAAGCACATGGAAAGTAAAGTGGCATATCCGCTGTACTGGAAGTCACTTTATTTCCACTATCCTTAACTATTCCATTTCCACTCGCTTTTAAAACTTTATCAGGCGCTGAGGCCATGAACCTGTGACCCCGTGGACATTCATATTCAACGCCGACGAATATTTTTACTACAAATTCTTTGCCACCTTTGGATTTCCGACCGCGTATCGTATTCATGTTCTGGAAATTCTTTCCTCGCGGTGAATAACCGTGTCCTGAATGATCACCAACCGTAGGCCACAATGAACCTCTATCTTTCTGATGTTCGAGTCTAGGATAGAATGAATGGATTTGATTAATGAAACTAATAGGCTTACATTGTTTTATACTACAATCACCAACCTAACAGTCACATCCCAAGGCAGTAGAAAAGCAGAATTGCTTAATACTCCTGTCTGATGCTGTAATCCTAAATTATGCGAATAAAGACTACTGGGTCCAAGACACACAAGAGACCAGCTAGAAAATTGTGGCAAAAGCCCTGAAGGTGATTCCGTATGAAGCATTCCTGGTAGATATTCGGTAGTAGATGGCTGTCTGATTAAGGTTCTGTCTGAAATATTGGTATCACCTTGTTCAGGTGTGACAGGCACGAAGCCATTTTTGTTAAACACTCAAAAAAAATAATTGATCTATATCTATTATAATTTATGGGAAACAAAAATGAAAAATTGTTAACAAATTTCTCATTACCTTTGGTATGTTCCAAATCGGCATCAGTTACTTGTATAACAACTTTGTGCCCGTCACTAGGTGTTAGACTAGTCTTACTACATAGTCTTGGAGCATCCTCAACAGTAGGATCACATGTAGTTGGTGGAGACTGTCCGCCACTCCCATACGCTGCAATATCATCTTCATGTTCCCGAATATAAAGGTGTAATTAAAAATATACATAAAAAAAAAGATACGTTCTATCACTAAGACATCCTAGGGAAGCTGATATTTACCATGCAAACTGCTCACACCTAGACTGCACCCTTGGGTTGGTCCTTGGGGAGTGGAAAGCTCTGCTCTACACAAAGAATCTTTCCGTTGCGTGGCCGAAAATAGCTGGGCAGCTCTGAATAGCATGAAAGGGTCAGATTATAACAGTGGAATTCATATTGATTTCAAAGCTACAAATGATCTACCTACCTAAAATTATGCGTGCTAGGTTGGAATACGGGGAACTGTATACTTTCCAACTGTGCACATCCACACTGTTTTGCCAACATTTGAAAGTAATCGTAGTTAGCCTGTCGCAAGCTAAACGGATCGTCTCTAGAACCTTGGCAACGACCACAATTGCAAGCACAAACGTAACGAACGCCACTGCAGTGTTCCATAACTTGCAGATCACTGAATACATAGATTCTATTTTTATTTTGTGTTTATGTAAAATTAAAGACAATGCTTACCTATCATCATCTCGCGGTTCATTCTGCTCACCGCCGCCAGCACCTTCACTACCGCCTTTGTGAATTGGATTTGTACAAGGATTTCCTGTTAATGACAATACTTCGCACATCTGTCTACCAGCGCGCCAATGTTTATCGCATTCTACTTGTAGTTTCTCGCTGAAGTCTTCAAAAAGTGGTCCACGGGCGTGCATCTCAAACACAGCTATTGCATGACCCAGCTTTGTTTCATGATATGCTCTACAATAATTTAAAAGTAATATAAACAACGTTTACAATAGCTCTATATATTTTTTAATTACCTGGTATAATGCTGTGGAAGATTGTCTTGATAAGTTTGTAAGGCCCTAGGTAATACCTTGCTGCATCTGCTTTTGCTGAACTTGACATCAGTATCTAATAAGCTATGAAGCGATAAAAGTTCTTTATCCGTACTTTGTATATAAAACTCGTACACTTTGCTTGCAACTTCCATGAACAAGGATAACGTTGGTATCTAATTGATTATTAGTTTAGTCTTTTATGTTGTAGTAGATTAATTGCAAAAATAATTAACGTAGAATCGTGTGACAGATATTTTTACCTCAAAGTGAGCAGGTACACTGTGTCGACCGACATTATCGTCAAATCCTCTACTAAAAGCCAGCATTATGTGCTGCTGAAGGAAGAGTCTGAATGTATGGGACTCTAGAAATTTAATTGAAAGCAAAATAAACTGAATATAGTTATATAAGGAATGTGATTAATAGAGCTGAAGCAATTATTAATATTTCATATCCTTACCGGCATCGGTATCAGTCACAGTTAAATTGGACTCAATACTGGCTAAACTTCTTGAAGTGTTGCTGCCAGAACTCAATTTACAACTTTGAATTAGTTTTCTGGTCATATAGCCAAAGATGTCCCTTGACTCTATAGAACCGGTATTTACATAGACGAATTCCTGGTTGGCCGGTATGGCGAATAGAGAGTTGGAGCTATGTTAAAAATTAAAGATAGGTTAGAGATTTGAGATTCCTGTATATTTCATTTGACTTTTTATCTCTGAAATATTCACCTTATATTAGTAACTATACGATTTTTCCTAAGGACGTGATATATTTGATCCTCGAGAGAGTGCTCGAGTTTTTTTATATTAGCACCACTATCCGGATCGCGAAATACGGCAGGACATGTCTCGAAATAAAATAATACACGTGGAGAACATGGCCTTACATTAGAGATCCAGTCTTTAGGCACTCCAGAGATACAGCTCAATACATCAGACAATTGAGGAGAAGTTTTTTGCCTGGAAATATTAAAAATATGTACTTGATGCATACAGTTTAATGTATATAATCATAGGGGACTTACCTAACTATATCGAGTGCTCTGAATAAATGCACATAACTGTAATCGAACGTATGTGTTGGATGTGTTAATATCACAATATGTGAAATATGAAAGAGTATAAGTAGGGCTCTTGCATATTTATCTCTCATGTGTGCCCATGCACTTAAAAAATCCTTCCGTTCATGTTTCTCAATAAAACGATCATAAGAACTGACAAGCGTATGAGCATCAAGAAGACCCCTAAGATGTAAATACACTGTCCTTTCTTTTACATCATGGTAGCCTTCAATTTCACACTATAAAAACAATGTATCTCTTTTTGAGTACAAATTGTTTATCATGATATTACAACAACTACTGCAATCGCTATTTACCGAAGACTCTTCATCCACCCCTGGCTCATCTAGGAGATCCACCTGAAGGACTGAACCAAGCATTTCTGCTTTGCATCCTTTTGTGCAAAACTGAGACTTTCCAAAGACTGAGACGATTACGACTTTTCGGTCGGCATTTGCAAAGCTAAACGAGGTAATATGTTCATTAAAGAATAAAAAGCAACAATTCTAATCAGCATTTAATATACTGTGTAAATACAACCAAATTATAGTTTCACTGACATTTCTTAATATTTCCAATAATGGCAATAATATACTATTAACAACTTGTACAATAGAAAATTTACCTGTCTACGTTGCATGGAAGCTTAAACTTTTGAACTCGCATTGTAATATATTTAATTTTTAATCACACATAAAATGCGTATAGGCTATGTTTTCGTGTCACTAATAACATCCACTTGAATGAATATCCTTCCTTCCTTCCTTCCTTTCCTGGTGATTGTCTCACCGTTTGAATAAACATATGGTACACCGCCATCTAGTGTTAAAAGTTCCAATGCTCAGTTGCATAAGGCCCGTCTCGCAAGGTATACCGCCATCTAGTGTCGAACTTTCAATTCTTCATTATTAGGACCAGTTTCTGGCACATGTCCCTCATTGGAGGTACAGTAAGATACAGCCATAAGGAAAGGAAGGAAAGATCTCCGCTACTCATCTCTGCCGCAAGTATCGATGAAGCGGCTGATGATTGATAGTAAAGTGCGATTAGTAAAAGATTATAAAAATGAATATGTTTTTACGAAAGTTAAATACGTTTCTACGTAATTCGCAATGTAGTTCATTTATCAAGTACCGTGCTTTTAGCTCAAAAGTGTCAGAAACTGGTAAGCTCATTATTCCCCGTTTATTAGTCTCAGGTTAAATAATAATGTTTGAAGATTGTAATCACTAATTTATTTTAATATATTATATATAATACTGTCACTTCAAAGTCTTATTGTTTATAGGAAGTGAAAGAGATCCTGCTCCATTATTCTTCAATGAGGAAATACAAAATCTTCTTTATACATTGACCAGAGTTGATTTAAAAAAAGTCTTCAGACCGCAAAGGGATGGCCAGCAAATGGAACCTCCTACATATAAATTTCTGACAACTAGAGAACTTGAAAAAGCTATGAAATCTGCTAAAAGAAAGGCTGAGACACGATTACAAATGCCTCCTGTTGTGAAGAAGAGATCAGAGGTTACTAAAATTATCTCAACTGATCCAGCTTTAGAAAGCTATGATAGATGCAATTATGTTTTTACTGACATAACTTACGGTATATCGAACTATGACCGCCTTATTGTTGTACGAGAACCGAATGGTGTTCTCAGACATGCAAAGTGGGATGAAAGACATTGTCTTAATCAGATTTACTTTCCTATGCCTGGCAGAGAAATTATTGCACCACGAATGTTTGAGCAAGAATTCTTAGAAGTTGGTATCCTAAATTTACTAAATTTTATCTCTGTTAGAAGTGTCTTAAAAGCTTTATAATGTCATATACTATACTTGTTTCAGGATTTACTTAACCGTCAGGAATATGATTTTGTGTTGAATCGGGCGTGTCTTCAATTTGAACCGAACGATCCAAAATACATTGAAATATCTGAAAAAGTTTATTCTATTGTCAATGAAAAACAAGATTTCGAAATTCTTAGATCTACAAGGCATTACGGTCCAATGCTATTTTACTTAGCATGGAACAAAAATATTGATAATTTGCTCCTTGAAAACATACAAACTGAGAAAATAGAGGATGCCGTGCTATTCACTAAATTATATCACAAGATTAATCCGACAGCAAGTTCAGTTGACATTGCACATGAGGGTGATGACATACAATATCTACGCGAATTTGTGAAATCTGAAGCTGCTAATAAGGGTAAACTTGAAGCAGCCATACTCTCTTATAAGGAGCTTGAGAAAGAAAGACAGTCAGTTGCCAAAGGTATACAGAAAGCTCATGGTATTGAATGAAGTGTATTAAACATTTCACGAAGTTATACAAATACAAAGTACTATTATCTTTAGTTAAATTAAAAAAATATATAAAGATCATCGTGTGTTTTTAATAAAAAAAAAACGTTACTACCTATTCTATGATAGATTTACCTACTATTCTAGTAAGTTGGATATACTCACATCAAATCATTCTTAATGATACAATTTTCCTACAGAGGACAGATACACGCTGATAAGGTGATTCAATGATTATTGATTATTTTATTATATATTACTTACAAACATTTACAAATGTAACAAGTCAATTCAATTTGGCGTACAGGACCGTCGGAAAACATGACACTAATGATTAATAATTATTGTAAACACAACAAATCACGTTAAAAAGTTGAATCTGTATTGGTACGGGCGAGAGTCAGTTACTCTTAAAGATATTCGCTAAAAATTTTTTAAAACTTCGTCCTGTATTACTGTAGATAACTAAAAGGTAAAGAGCGGGGCTATCAAATAAACATGCACCAAAAAAACTTTGTACAAGATCGATTATAATAAGTATCTAAATTGGAACAATATACATGTTCATGTGAGAACCAAAGTATGTAGGTGTCATTATGCTGCATCTGTAATATTATCATTATAATTGTTAAGCGGTCGCAAATTATTTTGTTATCAATAAAGATCACAATCAACTGCAAATAAATAGGAGTCGAATACTATGCGTAAAGTAATATTGTATTTATAAAAATGATTTATATAAGTAATGAAATGATATCTATTACAAGAGAAATTAAAGCATGAACGTAAATCTTTGAAATTTTATTAGCTATTATTAGGCCATTCAAATTAAGATATTTTTTTATGTTTCGGCCAAAAAAATAGCTCTTTCATATACGTTTACAACTTTCTACATCGTTTCCGATCATGCAGAATTAAAAATGAAATCAGCAGTGAAGTCTTAAAATGATTGATCAGTTTCCTTTAGAATCCCACACAGCGTTGCACTGCGTTAATAGACGATTTATACAAAAAATTGGGATTAGAATTGGGCTTATTTCAATGACTAATCAATAATCCATATATTATTGACACATCAAATCTTACGGTGATTCGCACAGATTTCCATTTATCATCATAACACTCCTGAACATATGTTAAACACACAAGAATGTAACACACATTGTTAGCAGGATGTGCGACAAGAAAAGAACATAATTCCATTAATATTTTTCTGCTTTGGGATAATTTTATAAATGATTTCCCTTCGGCAATATTAGTGTTACGCAAGTTCATCATATCTTCAAGTGTAATAATGATAAATATTAACTGGTCAGTCCGTAAAGTTCTTCATAAATGTTGTGTTACATAATTGCTGTCGCTACCATAGTTTTTATAGTGTACAATGGTAATTTACGTAAAAACAGTTCGTGGCTGCGTTTTCCCATATTCAGTTTTCACGCGTCTTACTTTCTCTCTATTTTTCTTTCATTTTGTCATCTTTATTGAACCACACACACTTGAACTTTCTCTTGGAAGTTTAATCAAACTAGCTACACTTCTTCCAATACTGTATTTTTAAATTTTCATACGAATAATGATTTCGTCAATAATTTATCTAATATAATAGCAGTCGCCTAAAATCAATAATCCAATAACAGAGTCGTAATTCATAAAATATCTGAACAATAAAATATCAATTTCCGTTCTCGAATTAAACTCCTTATCTATGAACATTGCTAAATATTGTCGCTATAAGCGATTCGCACAGATAGATGATGAGGATACTCATAATCCATGAAATTTGAGCTAAAATTTTCCTTTTCCTTTTTACTAGTTTCCTCGCTTATGAAGGAAGTCTCGTTACAATTTATCTAAGACGTATGGAATCAATCAAAGGCGTGCATCAACAACAATGATTTCTTTTAACTAGCCGTGATACGTAATTTCGTGTGCGACCTTTCCATTCGCTTTTTCCTCGCAGTGACTCGGACGAGGATTCTTATTAGTATTTTCCATCGGGCGTATTAAAGTTAACAGGTTAAGAGTGAAGGAGGGGGGGCACATCGATCGCTTCTCTAACGTGGTGATGAATTCACGAATATTCATTTAAGTATCATTAAATAAATTCGACGAGTGACTTAAATTCTCACGATATATCATATTATAATACTTGCTGCGTTTCGGTTGTTAAATATTGAGCAATTATTTTGCAAACACGCAATTTATTGTTTGGCATTTGTATTTCTTTTTTCTTATTTTTCTCTTTACTCGTCGCAACGTACAGATCTTTCATGCGTGACCTTAAATAGCAGTGCGTGCTGGATGACAGATGATACAAGTTTCATTCAAAATTAACTATACGTATGATTTAGTCATTTCAAAAAGATTTACAATGCTGGAAGAAGAACGTGGGCATTACAGAGTCGTCATCATAAATTTTCCCAGTTTGCGGCAAGAAAACATTTCCTTCACTCGTCTTAAACAATCAATCAGGAAGGAATCAGATGCATTGAGATACTTTTATACCTTTTACGTACTTTCCGGTTCCTTATTGCGCGTAAACACAGATTGACTTATGAACGGTTAACGTATAGAGAGAAAATAGTGATCGTCTCACACGATTGACAAATGTAACAGAATGTATTTAACAGACACGTTAAACAGTTCACAACGTGGCCTATTTGACGAAGCAACTAATTATAATGCTTAATTGTAATTAGAAAATATAAATATATATAGTTTACCGTGCGTCATTGTATATGGCGTTATAATATTCGTAGTTATTACATAAATCATGATTTATCCCTATGCGCACGTTCTTCATAGTAATTTTTCATCGACGGCTGTAAATCTCTTTTGAAACGAGTTATACATACGTCCGTACTATATATATAATTTACACAAAATGCTTGTGAAAATCTAACTGCGCGCTCAGTCGTCGATCGTAATACGTGTTTATATTTTAATCAGTTATTTTATTTACGGTGTCAATTTATATGTATACATTATTATATATATACATATATATATTTATATATAATATTTATATATAATTATCTAAATAGACCTTAAAGTATTACGTTCGTTCGAACATAAAAAACCTCGAAGAATCGTTATAACGTCGGTAGGCAGGAAACCTTAGAAAAAGTAACTTCTTGGCACAGTAGAAGTAAAATGATAGGTATACATATACGTCGAAGAACTTAAGCTGAAAATTGCCGTTACAGATTCTTGAACGGAGCGAATGACTCCTTATGAGTTTATGCTTATATTTTCTCATGATATTCAATATTATACCTCAGTTAAGTCCCAGCTAAGTAGATTAGATTTGCTTTCTAAACGATTTGTTTTCCCTTTAATAAATATATTGTATTAATCATTAGTCGGTATAGAGTAAGCATAAGCTTCCAATGAAAGTTTCCGTACGCATTGATTAGAAATGAAATGAAGTTATCGCACGCAGATTTACAATTATCGTTGGCTCACGTCAAGGAGTCGCGTGACGCGAATATATTAATCGTTAATATAATTATGAGGAGTGACGAGTGAGACATGACGACGTGACGATGAGACTCGATTAAAATAAATAATTTATCTGACGAAAACGTGAGAGTAATAGCGAATAAAAAATGTGATTTACGTATTTGTGGAAATAGCAATAATATAAGGTCTTTGTAGATTCGGTGATAAGGAAGAAAACGATGTCACCGACGAGTAGCGTTCATGAAAATTTATTCGGACGTTCGACACGTCGAATGATTTTCGATTAAATTATTGATTGGATATCTTAAAGGATAAAGGAACGTGATATAAGACAATGTCATAGTGATTTTAAAATGCCTAACAGTGTCGTTAACGGCAAAGACTATGTTTGCGCCGTTTTCAAGATTTAGATGATGTTGTTATCGAAATTTGACTTGGACAGCGGTGCTGCTCAATGGGATTCTGTAGAAGAAAGCACTCGGTACAAAATTCCATTCCGGTATACCGTTGCTCTGTGATGACACATACCTATCAATATAACAGCCAAAACCGAGCAATATTTAATACCTTATTCGTTTAAATTCGTTATTTAGAGTTACAATTAGGAGTATTAAGTATTTTCTAAGTTGTTCGTTTCGCTATTACGCACGATCTCTGCTAATTTCTACATAGTATATAATTTTCATGTAGGTATGCGATTCGAGACTGTATGTTTTTACATTCAGTTCGATGACTCTCTGTGATTAGCAGGTAATTCTTTCATGTCATGTTCACTCGTATCTATCAACTCCAGCAATAGCTCTTTCTATTTCTTTTCCTCTCCTTTTTATTCCTGATGGTCATCACCGACGAGTCGCAGCTCTGTTATCCCACGTCTGATTATTTCTGGACACGTACAAGGATTCCCAAAAGCCGCAATGATTGGCCTAAGTGAATATACAACAGTTCCTATATTAATTAGTCGCGTTCTCATATACATTATCAACAAAATGTATTTTGCTAATCGTATGTTAATCGCAATTCCGAGGATAATCCGATAGTCGAATGTGATTGTACGGCGATCGGTAAGCGCGATGGTCCCGAAAGGAAATTTGCCTTACGAATCCGAACGATCGCGCCTCAATGAATGATTCGAATTCAACCTCTGCGATCACTTGGCGTAGCTAATTGCATCCACCTTCATCAAAAGTACCCAGTAATAGAGGGATCATGCATCCCTTTCAACATGTACTGCTGTATCTTGAGCGGAGTATAGCTTATATTGATGTACGCTAAAACGTCGGATTGAGTTGCTCTTGCCGAGCGAATCTTAACGTGTATTTGAGTCGTTAACTTGCACCAGCATTGAGAAGCAAGTTAACTTTGTAATAAATCCTCGAGCGCAATAGCCCACTTCTCGGTCACAGAATATCTGTCTCATAGATCTTGCTGGTTGTCGTCTGATTGCCAGTGGCGTTCTGCATGGGTTGTGAGTTTTGCTGTTGGTCCTGATTGGCTTTAGTAGTGAGACTAGTTAACGACCCAGAACTGGCAGTGCTCAAACCTAGTCCCATTTTCGCTAATAAATTACTCTCGGAACCTGTCTTCTTCAGGAGATCCGGAGGAGCCGGTGGTACGGTGGTCAGACCGGATGCATTTCTCTGTAATTGTTGTAATCTCGCATACTGCTCCTGCAGAGCTTTTTGCTTTCTCAGCAGTTCCTGATGGCGCTGCTCAAGTTGCTCCTGCCTCCCTTTCTTATTCTGTAACCCCTCTTGGGAATTGATACTCTCACACGAGCTAGAATTACTGGTAGATAGAATATTATTTGGTGGAATATGCTCTTCTCCTGCATTGGCATTTGGTGGCAGTGCCATAGGGGGTTTCCCAGTTTCCTTAATATTGCTACGACCTCTGCGCAAAGTGCCTGTGGGATTCCGGGGCGGAAGTTGAGGACTTGTAGGACTTGCTAGTGGTGATCTGGAACTGGTTCTTGGCGGCGGGGGCGGTGGTACTCTTCTAGCAGTTGCAAGTTGTAGAAGCTCAGCATTTCTTTCTGGAACAGGTGGCTTCTGAGGTGGAGTTGTGCCGTCAGAGACTTGCAACCTCGCTATGGGTGGTGACGTGTCCGTGTCTGAGCTGGATGGATAGGAGTGGAGTCTGCGTAGAGTATTGGTATGACCTGGTGTAACGATGGCTAAACTTGTTGATGAGTCTATGCTTCCTTTTCTCCCAATGTCCGACATATTCGGCGCTCGATTCGTCTGTTTCACCTGGCTGGCGGATCTGCCAATTTCTGAGAGATTTGGGGGACGATTTGACGAGTGACTCACGCTTGATGCTTGACTCAATTGTGATGCCGGACGGGAGAATGTTTGGAGCTCATCTAGCAGAGCGTCGAGTGCGTTCTCCGGACGCTGCTGATGGGGGGCGGATGGGTCGCCAGCGTGGGGCCCTCCCCCGAGGATGCCCGCTGACCCCAAGACAGTGCGTTCAGCTGGCACAGGGGCAGTTGCCTGTTTCACACAGGGAAAATCGATAAATTTTATTGTGAACAATTTGAATTATACGGTTTCTGCTTACATGTGCAATTTGGTCGGTATTTTTTAAGAGACAAAACATCCCAACGGCTCACTCTCAACTGACGCTGTCATTATAAAATAGTCTGCTGGTGCTGAGCAAGTAATTTATAAAATTACATGTCACAGTTCCATGAAACTCAGGTATTGATCAAATTAATACGTATTTGGATTAATTACGTTATTGTTTTACGTGCTAGAAACACTGTACGTGTTGAGTATCAATGCGTATAGGATATTTTGTCTGTATCATATAATGATATCCGATTGTCTAAGGTGGTATATGGAAGATAATGTCAGACAAATGATTATCGTGATACTATCGGGTTTGATAAAAAAATTCAGCATAATAAATTGGTCTATGCAATTAATTGGCGAACGATGAGCTGGCGAAATTTAACTTCCACATACCACCAACTATACTTATGCTTTGATTTTATTTTGATTATCATGCCAACAAAGTCTGTGCAAACGTACATGCAGAAATAGAGGAGACAGAGAAATAAGGCACATTGGATGTTAATGAGTTTTAAACAAAACAAAAAAAAAAAAAAAACAAATGACGAAAACAACATTTAAAATATATCAATTCTGTTAGATAGTTACCTGCAGTCGGGGTTACGTTTTTGTATGTTGTGCATGTTACAAGTCAGTACTCATTTGAGGCTCTTTTACATTTGGCATCGTTTGCTGTCCGGTATTAGTCAACTTAAAAACAAAAATCAAAAACCAAAAATTCAAAATTAGAAAACTTCGTCCGTATGGAGGCCCGTTTGTGTTCTCCAATTTGAAAAGTCGCATACGACGTGGGATTGTCAGTCATTGGTAATGAATAGAAAGTAAAATGACACTGTCTGCCGGGTAGTAGTGAAAAATTGTCACTGTGATACAAAATAATCGCAATAATAATATTCGTTGAACAATTGATATATTTTTTTCAAATACGTGTTATATAAATGTGATGAACTAATAAATATTCAATATTCCTTTTTTATACAAGGATCAATACTCGGCAATGTTTGTATCTATCAACGTCAAAGCTGAACATCTACTGCAAAATTCTAACATGTTTTTTGTTTTTCTATCCAGAGTGTGCACCGTATAATTTACAGTCAGCCAAATACCTTCGAAACTTGTATTGTGAATTATGTATAATTTTCCATTGCTACCCTGCGAACAATTCTCAGGTAACAAAATCAATGAAAACTTTCATGCTACCCGTGGGTCGTAGTCAAAACAGGAATAATATACGTCTCGTGCATCTTCACTTCTTACTAACGATCAAACGCATACTACATACTTGACGTGCATGCCGCATGCATTTACAGACGTGCTAAAAGTTTTCTAGTCATTAAAAAAAAAAGTATAAAAAAAATCGGCCAATAAAAAATACATAGACAAAACCTTCAGTCCAATCCTTATAGTAAGGCAGTAGTAATGGAATTAGAGAGAAAAAAGGAGTATATATAGTATTAATACAAATAAAAGACTTCAGAGATCAATACGTAATATAGTGGTGGAAGTATTCAAGAGAGACAGAGAAAGAGAGAGAGAGAGAGAGAGAGAAATTATATGAACTCAGGGTAACTCGTGGAGGAGACACAGATAGTACGTGGGAAGTGACAAAAGTACGTACTAAGTTAGATAAAGTCGTAAAAAAACTCAAATATAAGAAGCTAAAGTATATAGAAATCATATATGGAAAATGTCAATAAAACTTTATAAGATCAATTAAGTTATTAATCATTAGTCACAATAATTTACACTATAACTCTACGGCTTTATGATATATATAAAGTAGAGATATTTTGTAAAGAGGGTGTAAGCAAAGAGGAACGTCGTCGTAGTCGTCATGGACGGCGCCTTATTATAGATGGACGTTACGACAAGATCCCACTCAGTCACCCAATTACAAATATTACATAATACGTGTTAAGTAATGCCAATTTGTATAGTCAATGAGATTACAGAGTTACAGAATGGATAGAAGAGAAGGAGGAATACATAGTTTTGGTCAGACAGATTAAAACGCATCGATAATCATATAATAATCGTAATAATTAACAATAATAATCATAATGGAATTTGCCATTTTAGGAAATCCAATGTAAACCTTAAACGTCGCGACACCTTACTATAAGAAGTGGATTGGAGCGTGTGTCTTGTGAGAAAGTACTTAATTAGCGGCTCCATTCGAATTGCAGCACATTACTTGGCTGCGCTGTGCATGCGAAGAGCATACATATGTGTTTTCAATGATCCTCGAATGTGCATTTTTTATTGGCCGTCACAGAGAAAAGGATCCGCGCCGATCGTTGTCTAATTGATCCATATGAATAATTAAGGTCACAGCAAATCAATGGAGGTAACATTAAAGAGTACTTGCGCAATCAAGATCTAAAGTGAAAGTATATAGTTGAAATTTTGAGGTAGGCCAAGAAAGAGCATTTGAAATTAAGAGAAATAGTAAAGTAGAATTTTGACAGACAATTGCATCGTGAGGTCCATATAATATAAATATATATATATAGTGTATATATATGCATACAATATACATATACAAATATATGTATATGTATATGAAGTGCCAGAATGTCGTATATCATAGTCAAAGAATTCCAATGCACATTATATTAAAATTCATAGAAATATATATCAGCATAAATGTTGCCTTTTAATAATTACAAATAATTAACCTGAGTAGAATGTCACGTGATATACCGTTTCGCCTGATTGACATTATTGTAACGTTTATCTTGTCGTTGGTCGCAATTCTTGTATATCATGCTTTGTTTTGATTAGCAATTTTTTTTTTTAAATGGCAACACCCATTGCTGTGACGAGTTATGTACATAGGAGAGAACTTTTGAATAGCAGAGCGAATAGATTGCAGAAACTGAGAAATAACTTTATATCCGTATAAAACCCAAACAATCTCAGAACAAGCACGAATTAAGAATTGAAATATGTTAAAATGACTGTAGCATGTGTGATGTGAGATATTCCTCAAATAATATCTCAAAATACTCTGCCAAATGTGTGAAAACACGAAATGTCAATTAACGTGTATTTTTGTCTCCTTTAACGTAGTGGAACGAGACTTTCGTTTTGAGACTTTTATAACTATTATATTTTATGTTTGTTTAATGTACTAATATGGTGCCTGTTGAATTAGTTTAATGATTACTGGCCATTGATAAATTATATAAATATAAAAATTCTTCAAATTAATACCGTAAATAATAACATATGAGAAGGCTGTGATACAATTGCTAATAATATATTGCTTTCAGTATTTTTATTTTTTTGACACCAGCTTGACATCTCATGAACGCTAATGGGGGAGGGCCTGTGAAATTTTTGTTTAAAGCGTTCCATTTGACAGAATAATTTGAGTCTCGTGAACGATGATAATTGTGTATGCAATTTATGAAATAGATATATTGAACGATGAGAAGTATTATATATAACAGTATAGAATAATAATAAATTAATATGAATTAGTAAAGATTACTCGTGACTGGTATGTACGGTATCCTTGAAGTGAGTACTCCACTTCCAGCCATACTATAAAAATTAATATTATATTCATTTTTTGCGGCTCTTATCTTTCACTTTTACTATCTGTTTACTTCAATCGTATGTGTTCTCTGTGTACGATTATTAGTCTCTCTTTTTTTTTCGTCATCTTACTAGTATCCTTCATTTATATTGTCTCTAGAGGAAAGCTAATAACCGTATAACAATGATTTATCATATGGAAAATCACTGTTATTCCGGCAGACTTTTATTTATTTATTTGGTACCACATCAATTTATGTTCTTATGGGTCACAACTAACACAGAATGACTTGACAAAACATTGCGACATAGCGACGACGTCAAATGAAGATGCAATTTTAAGTAAACGGAAGATATTTAATTTCATTGATTGCGCTGGGTAATAAATTTGTTCTAGTCAATTCTACAATGTTAATTACTTCAAACCGCGTTATTAATTTGAGTATTTTGAATTTAAGATGCTAGTCGACTCACTTTGACACGTGGTAATTTACAAGTTCAATAAATCTTGTATATAATGTAATTAATATGATCTTGCTTGAAGTTAAACATATCAAGTGTTTTAGAAAACCTTTAATGATAAATTGATGCGGTATTCAAAGTTTCTATTCAGTCGTTGAGAACTTGTCGCAGATGTAAACGCAAATGTTTTGTCACATCATGGGCTAAATGTAAAATATCTATTCTATCGGGACACAGCAAACATTGAAATTGGTTTTTGGGTTTTAGGACAGGGGAGTCCACTGAAACACAAGTTGCAGGAATTATTTAGACACCAACTCCATCGGATAGTAGCTATAAAGTATCCCGTACTAATTAGATATAAATTGGAATAAGGAGTGGCCAGGTGCACTCGATATCAAACAATTTGCTATTTAGGGTGGCTGCACGCAATTCGAGTTTGATCAAGTTCAATTTTTTTTTTCTTTGTCACGGACCAAACCATTTTATTATGGATTAATGGGATGAATAGCAAAAATATTGAATCGCTAATCGAGATACGATGTACCAATGGATTCACGAATTATCATGGAAAAGTTTATTGGTCGAATCTATGGATGATTTTATGGAATCGACCAAATCGTGAACGCCCCGTGCAGGGAGAAGTTTATGAAATGGCGAGCGAAGCATTAGCTAATTGTCTACGAGGTAAATATTATGGAGACTAATTCTAATATCCTAGTTTCTCACAAAATGTGCGCGTGGTGCCCAATTTCAGATAATATTGTAATAGGGCGGGGAAAACCAAAAATTAGTTCACATTCGGATTTTAATCTAAGAAGGTTTACATCAGATTTCGTATTTATTTTTAATTTTTGTTTTTTTAAATGAAATAGTACCGAAAACCATAATGAAAAACTAAGTTGCTTAGAAACTAGCAAATTATTAGTCAGGTCATTGAAAAACATAAACGGCCAGTTCCACGTAGATGGCACTTGGTTAGTGACTTAAGTGCTAATAAAAAAAATATTTCGCGCTTTAATAATCTGCTAGTGCAAACAATACTGAATTACAGTCACCAATTGTAATGTGTGCCAGAACTATGCCAATTATTAATTGCAACATATAACTACTCGTTTCACAATTTCTTACGTTATAACCCTGTCTAGCTGCACAACAAACTGCAATTACTTTAAAAGAAAAATTAAGTCTGGACCAAACAACTTTTCATTAACGGGAAACACACAGTATTACACTTGTCGAGTAATTAAGAAGATGTCAAGTCACATAGATCTACTTTTAAAAGAATTTCCAAGTGACGTAAATGCAGCAATAGGTACTTCATAATTAAAGAAATTTTATATGTAAAACAAAATCACTTAATACACAGTGCCAGACAAGTTTTAAGCAAGCTTAATATTCATACAAGAGATCTATATTATATTTGCATTTAATATCGTCGTTATTAAAGATTCAAAAAAATACAATTATCCAAAAGTTACTTATGTAAGTACTTGAACGATTGACATTATCCACCAATTACGTACAGTCGAGTGCAGCAAGACAGTGTATTGCTTTTCTTTTTCTTTATAAATGATTAATTCAGAAGTAAACGAATGACATATTAGCAATATCGTGTCATTGTCTTTACTATCCATTTGACTTTAATTAATAGTAAAGCATATTTAGTTACAATATAATTTTCTTAAGGTACAACGTTGTTTTCTTTATGTTATGTTATGTTATAATATTATTAAGCTTGTGTCATATTGATAACTCGATCACTCGTTGCATGCGCTTAGCGTTGTAGGATTTAAAGGATAAGCGGTATACCAGATTACTTCACAAAATATCACACTTTTATCTATCGACTGGTTTCTATGAAGCGTTAAAGTTCCTGTCAGCAAACTACATCGTGAATGAGAAGGTGCGCGTATGCACATATTCTACACAGTTCTACGTTCTTTGTGAAGTAAACTGAAGTACGGGAAGCCTCTCGTTTGCTTGCATCATAAATAATTGTCCAAGAAGAATTTGAAAAACAAAACGCGCTCCCGATGAAACGTATTTAGAGGGCGGACAAAGATTTGAAAAAAATTCCTCAAACTTCCATGATACAAGACTGTTTCAAACAGTATCAATAGACCGAACTCTAAGAATTCATACGAGCTTCATATGCTTTCATGAAACTATCATAAATGATATATCCTATATACGATATTGGTTTTTGATCAATGACAGATAATGAATTGTTAAAAGCTGAAAAAGGAAGGAAACTATTGCTTGACTCTAGTTTGAATTTATTCATATCAGACTGTATACGTAATGCTGCTTCACGCGTGATTTTCGAAAAGCAAGCAGTTGGAGGTTGGCCAACGACATGCGATCAAGGTATTGGCGCACAGGGATAGAGCAAGGTTTACTTTGGGTAATAAAAGGGTAAAGAAAAAGAGGGTAGCAGGCAGGTTTCATCGTTACCTTGGAGTGTTGTGCAGACGTTGGTATGATCGGTGGTGTCTCTTCGGCCTCTACGCTCACCGCGTTTGGTAATCGCTGCTCCTGCACCGACGCCAAGCTATAGATTAAAAAAAGAAAGTACAATTTTGATTACCACCGGCACCTATATTTAGCAATAAAAGCGTTGAGCAAACCAGTTCAATCGTAGAATGATTATCGATGCACAGCTAATTGGCGTATTAACAAAGAAGAAAAAAAATTCAGTACCGTTTGAGCGTGACGAGGGTGCTAGCCAGCTTTTTGCATCGTTTTAGCGCAGACTCGAGTCTCTCGGGTTCCTCTTTCAGGAACTTCTCCTCGCGCACTACTTTCTCCATTTCGGAACTCAGGAGGCCTTTCATGCCTTCCTGCAGGCTTGGGAATCGTACTTTCAAGTCTGCCACTGTTTTGCTTCAGAGTAAAAAAGAAGAATGAAGAGAATGAATTTATATAATTTATTCGGAAAGAGTACAGCAGAATGGAGAGTGGAAATAGATTTTCAGAATTATATTAAATGTCATAGTTTCTTATTGTCTTTTCATATGAATAGTTTAATATAAGGATTTACCTGGATTTACTGAGAATCAAAGCCATATTCTCAACGTCTGATGTATTGACACGTGTTTTATGATTGATGACGTTGCCTCGGAGCTCCTCCACTGTGCTCTCTAGCTCGCTGTCGAAAAAAGAAAAATCATATGTACTTAGTCAGTCTCACAATGAAATTAATAATTAATCGAAACTTACGTAAGATCTTTTTCCAGCCTAATCATTTCTTGCTTGTAGAGGTCCTCCTCGCGACTCAGTCTAATTTTCTCGGTATCTCCTGACGCCCAGACCACGTCTCCACCTGACAGCAGCATCGCCCTGTACAATCATTAATACATAGCATGAAAATTTTATCACGGTATAATTAATGATTACACGCGAAAAATGTTGAACGAAGGAAAAGCACATAAAGTCGAGAAAAGGAAAGAAAGATAAAGGTGAACGTTATAAGGTGAAATTCCAAGACATGAAAAAGTCACAATGACCTCAGAATACGTCTTGGAAAATGTTTTAATAAATCAACAAGGCGCACCTGAAAGGTTGCGTTTGTAATGATGAACTACATACTCAAACGCTAAAGTCCAATGCATCGTAGAACACTATACCATAAGAAAGTGTAAGGATGACATACCTGATTGTAATAAAAGTATCCCTTATAGTCTCTCGGACTGTATGAGCCTGTGCTTGAGACATACGCCTCAAATTTCTGACTTCTTGGCGAAGATCCTTCGCCTTCTTTTGTAAACCTCTTAGCTGATTGTACATTTCCGGTGTAAGAGCCAAATCTCTGTAGACATATTGATCTGCCGCGAGGGCAGCTGGTTTTGGCGGTGGTGTTGGTTTGTGCCTGCTGTCCCTTTCTGTAAAGAAATTTTTTTTTTATTAATAATCCTTATTTGCCTTGAAGTTTGGTCAAACTATATACGCATTTAATTGCCTATAGGAAAGAATCCAATTTTTATTGATTCATCGAATAACTCTCTTCCTATTATTATGTAATAAATGAAATGCTGTATATGATACTCGTATAAATTAATACCATACGCGATTTGTCTTTACTGCATATATTTAAGGAGGTAACGGAAAGATAAAAATAAAAGGCTGCTGAGCTATATCGGTTATTAATTGAAAGGTTCGAATTCCCAACGCATTGTTGACAACTGACCTAGAAATTCGTGAAATGAAAAGCGAATCAAGTAGAATTAAGTGCGCTTTACCTTGTGATGACATCCTCGGCAATGTCGAAGATTTGATTGCCGGTTTCGTAGGCTTTGTGTCCGCTAGTTGTGGTAGCATTGCACAATCGTACGAGAAGGTGTTAGATAAATTTATATAAGTGACGAAAACCCTGAGATGGTCAGCGAGAGACCTTTAACTTAGTTTATAGTTTTTAGTAAAAGGAGACACAATGTATCATGATTAGCACGTATGGCGTGATCGTTTTGCTGTTAGTTTTGCGACATACATGGGACGAATGGCGGATAAATTTATATCTGATAAAAATTGTCGACGCGATTAAATAAATTCGTCCAAGTAACATTGAAATCCCAACACAATGAATTTCTATAATTATTAATTTCCGATTTCAATCTAAATAATTATCTTTAACGTTAACCGCCATTTTCCCGCTACTGTGTTACTGTGATTTTAGCATATTATGCAATGTGATGTGCGCTAGCCGTTACCTGCATGTTGCGGGGAGTGTTGTTTGGGAGAATTCATGTCTGGAGGCTCGTCACTGAAGGACACTGACTTTTCAAATGACACCGACTTGTCTGCAATAGATTTTTATCACAATTTTTCAGCGTGCCTCATTGCAGCGACACAAGCGTGAAAAACGTCACAACATATATATGTGTGTATTATACATAACGTGTATATATATATATAAACTGAATCAAAGAGAAATACAAAAGTGTATTAAAAAAGAAAAAACGTTAAAATTTGTAAAGGTAGGTAAACGAACGAGGAAAAACGAAAAATGTTGTATTGGTTTATAAAAAGGTGCAAGTGCCTTCATTGGACAATGAATTTACATATAAGTTTGAAAAATATCGGCCAATGACAAGACCGTAATTCATTCTTGCATTCTTGGTATTTTCAACATAAATATGTAAATCCTTAAGAATTAATAGATTCGGTAATACTTGACGCATTGTCCAATCTAAGAGCTGTAAGGCCATGCTCTTGTGAGACAGTGCATACCGATTTAAAGATATAAAAGAAAATTACGACGCTAAATGGATATATTAGGTAACAGATAATGCACTGCTCGTAGGGATGCAGTAACGTTGTACTTATGCAGAGAAATTTGAAGCGAACCTTTGCCTAACTTTGGTGGCTTAACGTCAGTCCTTAAGTATGAGTCATCTGTAATGCGAGGTGAGACACTTATTTACAACGACACATGATCTTTAGACTAATGTAGTAGCAACGGCAGCGATTGATTAAGTGATTATGAAGGAGTATAGAAAGATAGAAGAGATGAGAGACACACCTGGCAGTGAGGCAGAGCTGGAGCTAGAGTGCTTGTCGAACTCGTCTCCTGCGCCTGGTGTGCATTAGTTGGAATAAGAAAGCAGTTGTACAGCAGGGTTAAGGAACGCTCACGCCGAAAGTCAATCATTGTTATGATATAGTAGAAGTAGCTTAGCTTATTTCATTACACTAGAATACATTGTAATAAAACTTCAGACAGTTTAAACATACTAAACAGTGATTGGCTTTGGGTAAAAAAAAGTTTTCAATCAGAAATTCAAACATGGCTGGCGAAGGTTACGTAAATCAAGTTTGATTAATTTTAGCCATTGAATTTATAGAAATTTTTATGAGACACTTTTATTATGCTTTACGTATACTTGACCTGTCAAACTCTTAACTAATCATGTTGATCTACTACGTTGTACTATAGAAATTGTTGGAGCGACTGAAAGTTAGATTGATTTACCATCTTTGCTTTTGATATGTTTTCTTATTAAAATAAAAGCCGAAGATGTTCCTAACGTAAATTAAAAGCAATATTGAATATCCATTATTTATCTATAAAATATGAATATCTGACTCCCAATGTAAAACACAATAATTAAAAACGCACTGTTATTCAGAATTACTGGAGACAAGAAAAATATGCTTGTGTCATTTTAGCTTTGATAATAAATTTTGATAAATCTTTTCTACAACATTACTTTTAAGAGTGATTTTGCCAAATAATGCTATACTGCGGTGACGCTGCTTTTATTATTTATTAATCTAAGAGCCACATGAGAAATGTAACACACTTAGTTAAATACCATGGCACGAGTGAATAACTTGTTACACAATTTTCCACTTGTATGTACAGTGTAACTTATGCAATAAATTATTCCCACAGCATTGAGACCTCGCTGCTATTTGTTTTCTCAAGTTTATACCGAGAACAGACGAGGCATCGATTTTCAACTTTCCCAGCATTTTCCGGCCAGCATCAATGAACAATGCCATCCAGCCAATCACGAGCGAACAAGGTGCGCCTGAAGTGCGGCAACCGTAATGCAGAAATGCAAATAGAGTCGCGTATGTCGTTCCAGTTCCCTATGTGGCGTCCCAAGAAAAACATAGTTTCAATCTGCATACGAAATGAACGCTCGTCTCCACGTGAATAAACCGAAGCCGAATAACAAGTTATGTGCATTCGCGTAATACGATCCACGGACAAAGAATGAACGTAATACAAATATCACTGAGAATTTCGAATTCTGTAAAACAATACCCAAAAAAAAAAAATTATCCAACCTCAAACATATCATAAGATTTTTAGAACGGCAGAAACGTGATAACAATATTTTCAAAATTATACACAGCAATTCAAACGTATACAATAATTTCATCACTGCGTTCCAACAGGTAATACTCGTACGGTTCTATGAATCGTAGATACTTTGAAAATGCTTCATTCAAACACTACGTGTCCTACTGTAGATGCATTGCCATCTGGTTATATCGAAAGAGCTTTGATGCATTTCGTTATTCGAACATTGTTCCACTTAGAGAATCACGAGACAGAGGACAATAGCGAAGATTAATGCGATAAGGGTTTACCTGCGGTTCTGTACGGGTCACGTCCAGCGGGGACTTGCAGGTAGTCCCGGGGTGAGGGACTCGTGTGTGGAGCATGAGTAAGAGCCTTTTGCACCAGTCCCGTTAAGTTAGCAAGCTGCCGTTCCATGTGTTCCACCCTTATCCTATTAGAAACAATGTTAAACAGAATGAAACATGAGGTCGACAGGGATTTACGTGTTGGCTAGAGCTTTCACGTAGCGAACGTAGCTATAAAGTACGTACGTACGTATGCAAGGCATTTCAGCAGTTAAACATAGCTTTCATGATTTATGATCGATGAATATTAAGTAAATGGATCTTTGCCAAGCTTCGTATAGCAACAAACGACGTAATTACGCTACAATTATGATTATCGGTAAAAACATGAGATTCTTTAAGTGGGATACGACGATTTCTGAATACGAAGCTTCACTTGTCGAGTTTGTGAACTACGCACTATTTGTATTATTGTTATTATTATAGATCATCTATCAGCGTACCAATTCCCAAACGGATAAACGATAATTGAGATTTCTAGAAAGATTGAAGATGCGTCCCGTATCGTGGGGATGTTTTTCAAGATTAGACAAAGAGAAAGGATACAAACAGTGGGGCTTTTTGTCGATGCAGTGATTATGCGAGCATACAAATAAAATACAAGAGGAGAGTCCGATACGATTATGCCAGAGCAGCCGTGTGTTTACACGACATTGTAATACTCCCTATATTCGTGTATATTTCCACGGCATTTCTAGAGTCTCATCAGCATGCACCGGTACTCGCGAAAGTAATGGACTCTCAATCAGGAGCATTTTCATTCTCCCCTTTAATGCTTTTGTATGTAAAAGTTTGAAAAGCGGGTAACACGGTAACTATATAACAGTAAGAGAAAAAGTTTCCATTACGCCTGTATTAATATATACATATATAGCTAAGTACTGTATTGGTATTTAGAAAATTCACAAGTGACTCGCAGGCATAAGCGTGGACATTCGCAATGGCATCGCAGCAATAAATAAGTAATGTCTGACAGGCACAGTTCATAAGGCAATTGCATAGCATTTTTTGATATATGTCATTGGTACCGGGTTGCGTCGTAAGGTTGTCCACCGGGGGCTAGAGCAGGCGCCCCTGGAGGGAATGGGGAACGTGGGGGTCCCGAAGGTGGTCGCCCGGGTGGCTTCACCCCGTAAAGGCTGTACGATTCCTCCAATAGTTCCGTATCGCTGCACCACCCACAACAAATACACACCCATTCTATCAGCCATCAGAAGCTCGACATATCGCGGTTTTATAATCGGGCTTGGTTAAATCCTCGACAGCTTGCAGTCTCTACTTCATCATTGATAAAACTCGTTGGATTTGGTTATGATGAAATAAATCTTTTTTTTTATATGCAAAGTGCATATGAATTGTAGAATATAAATTTGATGATAAACTTTTTTTTATAGTGAATTGGAACGAATTTTTTTAAAATTTTGTTATATACTTGTTTCTTTAAGTATTTGTTAGTCCAGTGCGATTCCTTGTAAACCCAAATAGCTTCAGTTATAGAGAAGCTGTGAGCCGTGTGCATATTTGCAAACCCGAAGTAACACTCTTTGCGTATATTACTAATGCAAACACGTTGTGCTGTCAATGGTATATCGCGTGTTGAATAACTCAAGCTGTCCAGATATTAGATGTTTTTGCTTTTAGCCGTTAGATAAGATTTTTGTCTAGGAACACTTCTTACCTGGCTTCCTCGTCGATCACTGGCGTTACCGTTCCCGAATATTGGGCATAGTATGGATCTTCGTAGCTGCTTCCGCCACTGTACGGTCCTGCCGGATATCTTCCTGTTCCGGTTCCGACACCGCCGCCTCTCTCAGGGCTGCTCATGTAGCCACTTTCACCGTGAAGTCGATCTGAGGAATCGCAGAGGACGTATCGTGTGAATTTATGGCTTTTCAATTTTACGCTATGCTAATTGCGCAATTAGCATAGTTGATTGTCGGTTCACGTCGTTTCAAGGAAATAGTATTTATTTGACCCGACTATTAATCCCTTGGAGGACGATATCGATGTTTAAATATGATAACCTCAAAGTTTTACGATTCGAGCATATACGACAGATCTTAGATGTGATTTACAATATGAAATGATAGATAAATATATAAATGAGGATTTGTAATAATTTTGGATTTTTAATAAATATAATCTACCAAATGAATGTCTACTGGGTTTATACCACCACCATGATTACAAACTAAAATGCAATTTTCTTAGCATGCAATGTATATGAGTAATACCCATTAAGGATTATAATGGATGGAAACACTGATATGCCAATAGGTAACCAAAGAAATAAAATATCAATCGATATCTCTACAGTTACTTAACATTTCCAATTAATACCTTCTCTTCGATTAATTATCAGGGGATATATATAGCTTATAATTATTTATTTGCACTTCGCAAAGAATACTTTTCTTTTCGTCTCTGCAATTGAACTTTGACCCCGGCGAATAAATTCGTTTGCTTCCGAATCCTGGTCGAAGGTTTCACAATGTAATTACGAAATATCGTCCTCGTCGTGACGTCTGATTAATTGCACGTTAGATCGTTACTTCCTGTTGAGTAAACACAGCCACCATGAGATCAAAGTTCTCGTGATATATTTCACATTGAAAAAAAGGTCGGTTCCGGTTCCGCTTTCTTATTTCTCTAAGCGTCGCAGCGACAAGCGTCGAGTACAACGTTCGGCAAAAGTATTTAGGTATGAAAAATCGAAAAACCTGTCAGAACTTTAAAAAAGATGACAATCGAAAAAAAAAAAAATAACACGAGATACTACCAACTGTTATATTGCGAAAAGTTAAAACGGTAGAGAAGCAGCGTGTTTCTAAATGCAAAAATGTGTACACGGACGTCCATTGAAAAGTTGGCGTCGTCAATGCCGTCACTGTTTTCCAACTCGCGATATCCATTTTACATAGTTTTTGCAACTTCCGGAAAACCCGGAAGTAGCCGTGTAACTAAACCCGGAAATGGAAGCGCTGCACGTACAAGCGTCAAGAGAAATCATATTCTTTGTCACGTTCAAGCACAATGGCTCAAAAATGTCAAGTCAAGAGCCATTGTGGTTGAACGGAGCAAGTACAAGAAAAAAACCAGAGCAGTAATCGACGTGTCCTATAGAAAAATCCTGAGGATCCTCGACAATTAATCATTTAGCATCCAATGCACGTAATACGCGAATCCTGTCGTTTTGTCCTATTTTTAAGGATTCTACTGACCTGGTATACTATAGAGGGACACCGAGCTGTCCCTAGAGAAGCGTGCCGAGCCCCCCAGGCTTCCAAGGGGACTCTTACCACACTGGTAGCTGCGAAGCGGCTTGGCCGGCGCCACCCCGCCTCCACCTATCCAACCAGTCAAACCAAAGCATTGTACCATGAACTTTCACCTCGGATACTCTATTAGATGTCAGGCCTGGTTACTCTGTCTAACTTGGACACTCAACGGCGTTCAGACGTTAGAAGATCTCGTGCATTCTGAGCTTCGTACTTGCTGATTACATTGAGCGTATAGGTTAATTCTTGATACACTTTGTTAGATGAAAAATTAGTATACTACTATGCGATTAGTATGCCACTATTATATCCAGTATAGTTTTTACAAAAGAGTAGTACTACTATCGTCGATTTGCCAGTAATCAATCTATTGTCTCGTGCGGGCTATCAACATCAACTCTGACCGACATAGAGAATCGTGCTTGCATTTTATTCCTATATCCGGTTCACTATCGGCTAACGTCAATTAGCTATGTCACACTGATAATGAGTGTGACATTAATGGCACCGTATACCTATATATACCGAGACCACCTACTCTCTATGATATAATGGCTCCCGCGCACTGTGAACCGTTCCTATTTATAATACGACTCGATTGCCTCGGGTGTGAATATTGCACGTGAATTTTCATTGTAATGGGCAGTTGCTTGTTTTCTGCCTGACTGTAATTGCCCTAATTGATGCGATTCTGGTGACTTTGCTGCAACGTACTGCGACTGAGGACTGGCGAGGAAGCTTTAGGGCATGTTCGCAATCTCGTGAGGTCGTATCGATTACAACGATAATTCGACAACATTCAATTAACTTAATTCGACAGCATTACGAGCGATCCTATTTATCTTGATTTACATGATTGATAAGATAATTTTATCTTTTCAATAATTCCTGGCGTTTACACTGTTTAAAGACACTTTTAAAGGATAGTCTCATTGCGCGACAGTGGTGTATGGTGACGATAAAATATTTCACACAGCAAGCACGAAACAATGACTAATTGAATTGTTTACATGATGAATCGAAGAATCATTCGATTGAGCTAAGCGCGATACTGGCAAAATTAATTAATCGCCTTGTTGGCGTCGAATAGTCGAACGATGATTATTCCGTCACAATAGTTAAATCAATGTTAATTCAATGAACGACGATTACAACGAGACGAATGATCAAGTTATTTACGTTACTATACTACGAATCATGCATCGTAGGAATTTTAGGATTTGTCGACAATGGGGTAACAATCTACCGAGCAAGCATGAAAACTGGTTTTAATCGATTATAAAACAGGTAAAAATTAAATAAATGCAACTAGCTGTTACATGATTAACCAAGCTATGATATTACACCTTGATTATTTTGACTTTGGCTATTTTATTACTGATCCATAAAATATCACAAACTACTCGATATGGTTTATTGACTATATTCTTTTGTGTAGGATTATCAATTATTAATCAAATTATACTTGACTTCCTTTCACGTGTGTACATACCGAACCATAATTTCGAATGACTTCAAAAACACTAGAAATGATTTTGTTACACGTATCCTGCCTTCATGAAAATGATGTACGTGTCTTAACAAAGGATACGACATTTAGCCTAATTATATAGAGAAACATGCCTTTGGCTACTACCCCTTCACTCGGAGCAATTTTCAATGCAAATTCCTCTCAGTATAATTGGTGCTTCGATCGTAAGAAAAAAATACAGGAAGGCTCCGATTTGATTGGCTTGAAGATACGATTACGAAAATAGAGCATAATAAATACATCATGAAAAGGATATAAAAAAAAAAAATTAGACGACTCGCATTTGATTTTAAACGAAGCGCAAACACAGGTTGCATCACAGCACAACTACAAAACTCCAATCGCTATAATTAATTACAGATTGGAGGTATTAGAAGGTGATCGTTTTCATAAACGTCAAGGACACATTGATTCAGGGTTGGTGAAAGGGGCTGGAATGCATGATTCTCCGTATTGCGTAATAAAGCTCGGCTAAACGTTTTATGCCTTGCCAAAACACATTTCTCTAAGTGGCACACCTAGTACTATTTACAGGTACGTGTCTGTTACGTCACAGAAAAAAAATATATACTTAGCACGAGGAGTATGTACACAGCGAGAGTCATTTTCTTTATCTACACAAGCGTCCATGATTATACGTAGTATCATTGATCATGTAATTAGACACTAAAGTCCTGTACGCGAATACGAGTGTAATTGACAGTATAGAAAAATAGTTTGACGATACCTGGTGTGCTTAAAGTTTTTGGCTGAGTCGGCGCAGCGTTTGGTCCAGTGGCTACCGAGGATGCCGCAGGACTATAAGCCCTTAAGAGTGGACCACCCCTTGGTAGGGTGCTGCTGCTGCCCATGTAATAGCCGCCACTGCCAGAGGTTGAATTTTTTGCCGTCTGAAATGACAAAAGTGACGTGATTGATTGGATTGTAAAAAATTGTTTTCAATAATACGTATTCAAAAGGTCATAGATATAAGAAACCGGTACTCGTTAATTCACCCTTTACAAGGCTTCTAGATCCTGTGAGAAACGTGATCTGAAAGTCATCCATTTTTTCCCTTGGATTCTGATCGAATAGTGACCGCGCCTTCTCGGTGACCTTGCGTAGGCTGACTATGATACAGTTCACGGTTGGGTGTCCGTGAAACGTCGTCCAATGGAATTGCACGAACGATGGGAGTGTACGAGGTGTGGACACGTTTGTGTAGAGTTTATCAACCTGATCTGATCAGGATAAATCGGCGCGGATTTCAATTCAGAGAGCAAGGTCGCTAACGAATGACTCGTTTGTACTCTTGTAGCATGTTTCGTATTATACATGGTATATTGACATTGAATTCACCATACTGAAAATCTCAATGAACACGTGGGCAAAAAAAAGTTTAAGGGTAAAAAATAAGTTTTTGACAACGCTGGGAATTTAATGTTGTTGACGTTGGCAATGATGTATGATAGATTAATGATTTTTCGATCGATACGTATCTTGGTTCTAAATATATATACATGGTGATTAAATTGAATCTGGTAATTTTTTAAGTACACGACAGTTCACCGAACGGAATAAGGATGATACGACGTTTAACTGTCTTTGCATACACGTAAAAAACAATGATTACGTAATAAATTTCATATGAATTGCAAAATATTTGACGACGATACCATCGAGTGTCGCTTTCTACGTATACAGAAATCTCGTAATCTCCTTAAGAAGAACGTGACGATTAGAAACTGAACGGATCGATGTGATAATGTCATCCATTCGTCATTTCTAATGTAGAGGGAAATTTCTAACAGCAGCTAAATTTATTGTACATAAATAATAAGAAATGTCCGAAGGATCCGGGCCAGAACGAGTTTTAAAAATTGTCCAAGTGAAGTAGGTGTTCGAAAACTGGTACAAGACGAAAGTAGAGGAAGTGTCCTAGTCAGATAATATATATGTATAAGTTTCGACCTGGAAAGCTATGAGAAAGTGTGCTGTTATCCCGCTTCGAAATATCTAACCCAATTACACTTTATATCAACATAAACACCATAAAGTTAGATAATAAATGGCATAAAATACTTTTAGCAAATTCGCATTCCCAAAAGTCTTGGGTAATCTTTCAGGAATTATAAACAGCAGCAAGGGCAACGGACATCCTTATTTCATTGCGGATAGCCTTTAATACGTTCGAGTGATGCAACGAATTCTCCATGGGAAGTAGCAACGTACAGAACCCGAACCCCACCAGCGAAACGAGTTCTGTTCTCTTCTGCTGAGGAATAAGACGCTGTTCAGGTTGCTGTGTCGGAGCACTCAACGCTGCTATTCGCTATCAGATTAATACAGTGGCCGGTCGATTTTTCTGATACAGGAATATCGATTGAGGATAGTCTATTTTTTTTAACTATTCTCAATATTTTTTGTGCTTTGTTCAAAAATATTTTTTTTTGTTTTGTGCCTCGTTCATGCTTTTGCAAGTGACTAGTTTTTACGTGGAGTGGATACTGCGTTTAATTGGCTGACAATTATTGAGGGTAGGTCTATATGGTGATTTGGTAATCTTTTTTTTAAACAGTGCAGTGGCATATACGTCACTTATTACGATATTCAAGTTTTCTGTGTCCATATATGCTGTTTGTGTTCTTGTACGTTACCCTCTATGGTTCTACCTTGCGTCGTGCAATGTAAATCAACCTGATTAATCGTGCTTTACAGTCATTTCGTTTCCCCATGTCTTTTCACGGTGTTGTCATTGCGAAAGTGTTAGGTTAGATTTGACTGGTTTTATTTGTAGTTTTAAAAAGGTATAAGAAGTACATGGAACTTTCGAGTTTCGACATTGTTTACCCATGTATTAACGTTTAATATATATGGTAACCAATTAATATAGTATATCCCTTACGCTCTTTACGTAATTGGAAAAGAAGAAAATAGACTAATTTGAAAGTTTCGTTTATATTTATTAGTAAAAAAAAAGTGCCTGCGTTACTTTCTACTTCACGGTAATTAATTTTATCAAAGGGACAAGGACATTAATTTCACACCTCCCTTTCACGAGTATCATCGTCATTACTGTAGTTCAAAGGTTGCCCTGTATGTCCCATGAAATGAAGCTATCCTTTGAAAAATCGTCAATTGGGAATCACCGAGTGAAACGAGATAGTTGACTGTGACTTTAACGACGATACAAATTTATCATCAAAGTCAGCGCTCATTGACGAATGAATTAATGAATTTCGCCGTAATAGAAAAGAAGAAGAAAAACAAGTTATTTAATAGCCAAACCTTATTTCCCTACAACATGGGTACCAAAGTATGGCTTCTTCTTGACTAATGGAACTAGTCACGCGATTCCACAGAGATTGTTTTTTATTTACTAAAATTCCTTTGAATTCGAGAAAGATTTTTGAAAATCCTTTCTTCGCAGTCAAACGAGCGACTTTATTTTCTCATCTACCGACTGGACGTCACGAAATCCCGGAAAAACTTCAGGGTCACGGACACAATGTTACATCACGTCTCTGTACGATTTCGGATTGATTTGTCTTTCCTTAAAAAAAGCACCTAACTTCACGCGATGACTTGCTCTACATACAATATTTGTCACGGGAGAATATATATATATTTTCAGAAAGTACAGATACCAAGGCGGAAACGGCTTTACGATTTTCTTTTTCAATTTTTTTTTGAAATACCGTCCAAGGTCGCTATATCCAACCATAAAATCGATGGTTAATATCGATACAATTCTTTAAAGAGCGTGAACGTTTTTTACCTATAAAGTTGAACGAGTTACTCAATTCTCTTGTCTAATGCGAGCGTTACGATTTCGCTCTGAATTCTATGGATTGAGAACAACAATGTATAGGGAGTATACTATAGACAATGGTATTCTAGTAGAGCAACGTGAATGGCCGGAATATATTTTCCATTCTGTTCACACTCAACGTCGTGTAAAACACGAGCGAGCGGTGTCGCAACTTTTCCACGGGAAAATTTCTGTAATAAAGATACGTCAAGGAATGTCAATTGGCGATTGTCTATTGCGATATGTTCAGGTGTGTCTCTGCTGGTTTGGCTAGCGAACCTAGGTCATGGTTTCCTGTGAACAAGTTGTGCGAAAGGGGTCGGGCATTAATTACCACATATCCATAAATTATTGCCACATCGTTTGCGAAAATGTAAAAAGTGAAAAAAAAACAACAAAAGAATTAGCATAGAACGCAGAGAAGCGTGTCTGGGCATCTATGAAACGGGGTGTCCCAAAATACGTGTATAAAAATGACATCGGGAAATTAATATTTAGTTATGCTTCAGCACGCTAAAAAAATTGATCCGTTTCGTAGGTAGCATCCTGCATCAATTTTTTTTGTATATATTGTACTTTACCCATTTATCAATATACGAATCCATTTATCTTTTTCAGATTCTCTCAGTGAATATTGGCCGACAGTTTACGTTACGTAAAATACGCTCGTGGAGTAACGTACAGTGAAATGCGCTGTGGGCTGTATTCAAGGGAAACGTAACACACGTGCGGTAACTCCATTGGACGCTACAAGATATTGGATCGTAAATTAGGTGAGAGGGAAAAGAAATCTAGAAAATCGTAAAGCCGAAGAGTATTGAGGTCATAGCAAAAGTGGAGAAGGAGGAGGAAAGGGAGTAGATTAGAGTAAAGAAGGAATAATAATAAAAGTGAATATAACGAAAATTAACCCAGGAACATTCTCACGTTTGACTCTGGCAAATTGCCATGCAAATTCACCAAAGTCAGCTGAATCTCATGAATATTCCAATGTCGTGAGAGAATACGGTATATCAATTGCATCGATTGAAAATAGCTCCGTGACTATCGACTAGCTGTGAAAGGGGTAGATATTGAATTGCAAATTGATCAGAGATATACGAGTTTGAATGGGGCTTAAGGACCCCAGAAATGTGACCCGTTTCACGAGTAAGCGTGTTCGTTACGGCCGGTAAAGAAGAGGCGAAGAAAGTACAATAAAGATATATGTAGCTCAGTATCGCGAGTGAAAAGCCTTTGCGGTGCGAATTAATCGAAACGCGTATAGAGTATTCATGTTACTAATGCGCGCAAAGGACAGCAAGACCGAGCTCAATTAAAAGAAGAAAAGATAAAACAAGGAAAGGAGACTCTCCCAAGAGATCACGATAACGTTCGCAGATATATTCGATAGTGGTAAAAGTAATGAAATGAGAAAGTCACAGGAGCTTAAGCTTGGTCTTCTTCTGGCCTCGATTCTTGTCCTTTCGGTCCGATCGGCAAAAGAGGATAATTTAATTTTTACGAAAAAAAATAATTTCCTCAACACCGAGAAGAAGACCATCACGCCGATTCACAAAGCTGCCCTGACTCAGCGTGGTTACATACAGGTGAGAAAGGATGTTAATTTATTTAATTTCACGGCTGGTTAATCTGAGACGTCACAATAAAAATATTAATTATATCAATTCTCTGAATTGTTACATCAATGTTTTTTATTTCTCACCGTACGCAGTTCTTGAGATGGGAATTGCCTGTACCGGAAATTGATGAATTTACATTCTGCCTTTGGGTAAAGTCTACGAATTTGACTTACGCCCATTCGATCTTCTCCTACTCCAGTGAGTATAAAAAATGTTCTGTCCGTAATTCCACGTCCGGTTACAAGATCAGCCACCTCTCTTGATTATTAGACCAGGGAGCAAACGTAACCCGCTATGGTCTGTAGATCCAGTTCTAATGGGCAAGACCCTGAACCATTTACGCAATCGTCTCAGAATCTTTTAAACGCTAGAAACACGAGTCAGTAAGGTCAATATCATTTTTATTCTGCCTGTTGTATGAGTTATTGATTTGGCATTGTGATAAGATCACGAGTCGTAACCAAATATGAATATTTATCATGGGGAATTTAGATCAGCTTTAAATAGAACCATCGTTCAGATTGCATAGACACGTCATATAGGGCTTAGACTGTTAATATAATTTTTAAGCACAATAACACTAATCATTGTTATTACTATTTTTTTTTAAGAGAACGAAAGAGATCGATTGGTAAGATCATGGATATCGCCATTCGGTAGAAGTGTCCATTTAGAAATAAATAATGTGGAAGTCTTATCACATCCGACTGTTATCAAGGAGCATCGTTGGTATCATATATGTCAAACTTGGGACAATATAAACGGACACTATGCTGTATGGATCGATGGACGTATCGAGGCCGAAGGTTATAACGGCCAGGTAAGCACTTGATGTTTCCCTTAAATCAAATTCAAATATATATAAAAAAAAATCATTATCAGATAACGTCCTCAAGATACTTGTAGCATAAAGTGGTCTTCGTTGTACTTGCAGTGTTCTACCTTATCTGTACATTAACTTTCGCCATAGTAACTATCTAGTTACTAGAAAGAAACCTAGATGGAGCGGCTACTTTAACAATCGCTGAATCTCCTTATGAATGAAATGATTATTTCAGTTGGTGAGTCACGTGATACCAAGCAATGGAGATGTTGTCGTTGGTCAGGAATATACGGACTTTGACAAAGGACTGGAAGAGGGAGTAGAAGGATTCGTTCTTGGATTCAATCTTCTCTTGGCCTCAGCTTTTGATGCCACGGATAACAGACCATCCTTAATAATTAACCCACCGTTACTTTCACTTTCAAAACTTTCGGAAAGTGAACCACTTCTACAAATTGGTCCAGAATTTGATCTGAGCGCGAGTACAGGTGCTCCGATTGCTCTTAGAAGAATCGATGAGAACGTGGGAGTAAAACGTGGAAGAATTCTGCACGGTCTGACGAGCGTCACTGGACAAGGTACTCGTCAAGATAATTATCCTTCCATCCGTAAACCGGAAGCACCAGCTGATCAGGTTACCTTCAATGAGAATTATGCTCCTGTCAAAGGAATCGTAGATCCGGTTTCGCAGACTCCAAACGTCTTCGTAGATCCTAACTTCAACGGTAGATTCGGCAAGTTCCCAGCCAAGATAATGAACGAGCATGAAGGTATCTTCGACAGCACCCTGAGGGAGTACATAGGGGAGCAGGATGAGAGTTTTGACAAAATTTTTCACAAGAGAGACTCGGAAGGTACTACCAACCAGAAGAAGATCATTGCTGTAAGGATCAATCATGGAAGCGACAGGAGTACCAGGACGACAAGAGCCACCAGGATGAGACGACGTGGGAAACCATTGGGAATGCAACTAATTGACCTGACCTATAACCACTGTGAAATAGGAAGAGGAAGTCCTTTCATAGGTGGACCACTTATGCTCATCTCCTGGACGAGGACACCGGTGCGGGTATTCGGTGGGGCAATTATGAAAAATGCCAAAAGTGAATGTGGCAAGTTTTAATTGCTTGGAAATATAGGAAATTATAATCGATAGAATGTTATAAAATTGTCGAAGAATAACAAGAAAATCATTTTCTTTTGAAATGATTCGATTAAAAAAAAAAAGTGTCTGATGTGCATTTTTTTACTTCATAATCGAACAATGCCATAATATAGATAGCGTCTGTATTCCAGTAAAATACTTTTTTGAATATTGAAAATTAATTATTAAGTATCGCTAAGTATGGATAATTTAACGCAATACAATCCTATCACATGGGATTGTATATAGGAATAAATTTATACGACCTCAAGTAACTTTGGTGCGTTAAATCAATGTTTAAACCTGGTAGTCTCTAGAAGCCTATATGTATCATCCAAGTCCCCAGCTTCTTATTCTCGTAAGACATTAAGCACGACATTTTTTTCGACTGAATGGATGCATTGAAAAAACGTAATGGAATGAGTTGAGATTGATCTGACAAGTAGGAGCCATTGAACGTTTTGTAGAAAACATGGAGTTTGAATTGACGCGCGAATTCCAAAGATACCAAGAAGTTTCGCTTGGGTTGTCGCGTAGAATGATAAAAAAGAGCAAAGAAGAACGAACGACTAAATATATATATATATATATATATATATATATATATATATATATATATAGAGAGAGAGAGAGAGAGAGAGAGAGAGAGAGAATAAAGAAAAAGACAAGAAAACCTGAGTACGAGGAAGTAAAACCCAAGAATTCCTGCAGAAATTCATTTCCGACGGGTTAAAGGCGAGTTTCGAGTTTTTCCGGCCACAAAAGTTTGTCCATCGCGTATTCGCATAGCCGTTCCACAATTGCAATTTTACAACAGGATTTAAGAATTTCATCAAACGGCGAACATCCATGACCGCAACAGTATTACGCTCTACTGGACTTACGTAATACAAAAACTAGGGCGGGAGGACATTAACGAAAGTAGAACGACGCTCGCCAATGAGTATCGAGATCGAGAAGGCAATAGTTTGATTTCCGAATTTCGATTGTCGCTGCGACCGACAAATCAGTCAAAACATGATAGACAGAAGTGAACTTATCAGTCATACGTAATTTGCCATTTCCGCAGTTTCACATTGAGCAAAAATAAATTGCGTTTAAAATCAAAGCGTGTTTTGTCACATTTCGCAAAATCTTTATTTATTCGCACATACCACGTCCGATACTCGATGAAAAGTACCATACAAATATTTTAGCATCGCGATAAGATTTCTCCTTTACTATAAAAAAAAAGCATACCACGTGTTGCGTATTACGTGACGTGAACTGTCATTGCGAATACTCAACGCATAAATTCGCGAAAAACGACTGATCAAATACAAAGCACACGACACCCGGTATAAGATCAATGTAAAATTACAAAGATTTGAAACGCGACAGAGTCAAGACGCAAAGTCAACACGTGTCGAATTCTCTATAGATATATTTACCATGTAAAAATTCGCACTCGCCCGTGAATCGTATTGACGTGTCGGGAGACAAAAGAAAAAGCATAGAGTAAAAAGTGAAATAATCAACGGACTTTCCAGTTCCTCAATTAAACACGCGCCAGTACCCATAGCGAGTCTTAACGTATTTTTAAATTGACCGCGCAAAATTCAAGCAGAACGCAGACAATGGAAACACGCGATGTATACCTGTACTTGCCTGCATAACGTGCTTAGCGCGAGCAGCCAAGGTCTTGACTACGAGAGACATTCAAGTGCAAGGCGACTGTCGTAGACGACTCAAAGCCCGATATAAATGCTTAGTAAGCCAGTAGATGGAATACATAAGTAACCAGACCTACAGTGAGCAGAGATACAGCGAAACACGTTACGAATTTAATTCACCAATTATTACCGATAGCATACGCTACGGCGAACGTTGAAAAGGGATAGACAAGCTAACGTCGCTGTCGTGCGAACGCGCCAGACAATAATGCCCAATCGTATACTTTCACGTGGTCGCTTCTTTCCGAGACGGTCATGGGCCACTGTAATTAACGATACGCGAAGCTCTCGCTGTTTGCCGAAAGACTTTACGGTGGAAGGTGACAAACACGTATACGCGAGACGGATGAAAAGAGATGAAAAAAAAAATGAAACCTATGCTCCATAGAAATATTTCCTTTGACTCGAGACAATCCCGTAATTAATCGTGGCGCTGCTGTACGGTCTGTTTGTACGAGGAGAATCCTTTTCCTTTGAGATGATACTGATTGCGACAAGAGTCGTTCTACGTGCGCATCTGCCTTTAGAAATCATTGAGTACACGCGACAGATCGATAACGACTAATTGAATGGCGTTAATTAGTATCGCGGATGAGTGGCTTCGAAAAATCACTTGAATACGTGCCAACGCGAGAGTCTGAAGAGTGTCGCGAACGATGAATATCAGGCTTTAGGTTTCACTATAATCGCAGGGCGTGGCATCGGTACAGCCACGGCTACTTACGCTCTGAGCGATTTGGCTAGGAAGGAATAAGCTGTATCTACGATCTCCACGAGACTTTCCATCGAAGGTGAAATTTCTTTAAATTTGTCTACGTGAGACAGACTGCGTCATACGTGTGTAATGACAATCCTCAACAACGAAGCAGTCATTAGGAAGTCGGACTGGTAAATATCAACAATGTAAGATACACGGAACGCGTGACAAGGAGAATCATTAAATTCCGTAGCAAAAAGCATCGTTAAAGACGGTAAAAGAATTACTGAATATATGTATTTACTACTTTCGCTCGACGCATCAGTTACGTTACGGGATATACCTGAGCGGTTTACGGATGTATACGACTTGTATAATAAACAATGACACTATACGTAGTAAATTTTACTCCTATAGTCTAATATTCAAATTTTATATTATAATATTATATATATATATATATATAGTTTTCTCACGATATATATATATAATATTCTCTACATATACTCAAAATATACAGATCTTTTGATGCAGACTGGACAACCAATTTCGATATGACGTCATAAAAATAGATCTCAGTTTCACTATGGATTTAACGGCAGGTTGGCTACGTGGCCCAATACTTTCACCAAAAAATCGGTCGGACTTAACGTCGCGACGCTGATTCTCTTTTGTCACGTACACGGGGTACAGCTACTGTACCAGTGTCGAGTTACGAAAGCGTATTAAGAGTTGGTATTATGGTTGGTGGTACACGTGGATATACCTACATGAGTATATCTATATAGAAATTGAATAAGCATACACAGTCAGCGGTCTCGACTGGCAAAATTTCGTCCTGTAAACCGGAAATTAAGCTCGGCCCGTTTAATCCAGGCATTGCGAAGTCCCGCGATGTTGGGCTGCAGTAGTTACACGCTTGGGGAATCCTACAAAAGCATTGTCGGAATTCGTCCTGGGCTCTAAAAGTCATGAGATATCGTAGCGGCCATGTTGAAAATTGTAGCGATTTAATTCGGTAGAAATTACATGACGTCTCGGTTTCCATTTAAGGATATGATAATGAGTTTTCTAATATACTTTATTAACCGGAATTTTTTTTTATTTTCCTCATATGTCCTAGTCCCGTAAGGTTCGCCTTGTTACAATGACCAGAAACAAAAAGTTTAACGATCCGTACAGACACCCATTAGTAGTAGTAGTAGTAGTCGGGTGGCACTTTCTTCTTGATTTCCTTTTTTTTTCTCTTTTTAACTTCTCTTAGTTTAATGTTTTTTCTCACCTTACCATGCTGGTTGATCGTTAATGCCAGATGCCATAGTGAGTTATTGTACCTGTCTGGTGAGTAGCGATACTCACGCATATAGTGTCTATTAATTATATAAATATTTAACTACGCACGATACAAGCAGGGCGAGTAGCGATTTGAGTTCAAAATTTCGAGCAGAACGAAATCGATCTGTTACGTGTTATCTGCAATGGACATTTCCATCAAAAGTTTAATACTACAGTTTACAGTGTAATATATGATAGATTGTTTATCCTATTTAGCGCATTGAGATCGGGCATGGAATAGTTACAGGCAGATGCACAAAGGTTTGCAGGTTACATAGAAATGTCTAGAGTAACTGATAATAGTCTGTGTCACACCTAATCGCTTGTAGCATTCATAATTTGAAGTTGGAGAGAAATTGAATATAATTTATAATGAAAGATACATCGATATACCTATTTGATTACCTTTTTTTTTAAAAAAAAAAAAAAAAAAAAAAAGCACAAAGGTTTGCAGGTTACATAGAAATGTCTAGAGTAACTGATAATAGTCTGTGTCACACCTAATCGCTTGTAGCATTCATAATTTGAAGTTGGAGAGAAATTGAATATAATTTATAATGAAAGATACATCGATATACCTATTTGATTACCTTTTTTTTTAAAAAAAAAAAAAAAAAAGAAAAATCATCTACGTCCGATTTCATTGATCAGAGAAGGGTAAGAAATTTTGTTCGAATGTGAGTCTGTGATTGACGGTGATTGATGCTGAATGTGGAAATGGAGTATGACGTCAGCTACCACTAATCAGGATGAAGCAAAATAGTTTGACCGGTAATTGCAAAGTCAAACGTTCCGCGCTGTTCTAATTTTGAATAACGACGAATTTAACGAGGTCTTTGATTACAGCTATATTACCCTTTATTATCTTGTTAGTCGATCGTGAACAACTCTCGTTACTTTGGGTGCATTACACCCCAGGGGGAATTGCTAAAATTGACGAAAACGTTGAGTAACCTTTGAGAGCGATTTCTTTCGTTTTGTAACTAAATATTTGGATACTACGATTTTTTAATGAGTATCGATTAATTACGACATCGAAGTCACTTCAAGATTTTTCTCTATTTTATATCTATAAATAGATATTTAAGGCGGTGGGTGCCGTGGGTCGCAGATGGATGACTCATATGTGATTAAACGGCTATTGCATAACTGACTACTCGTGCGTCCAACAATCAATCCCGGCGCGTAACGGAAACCTGTTACGAACAATAATTGGCTACTTGGAACAATTCAGGTGACCAAACGTAGAGACATTGTCTTTCGCAAAGGGGGCGGTTCGCAGGCGAAGAAACGCAAACTAGGTTAAAAATGAACGGTCTGTCCTCAAGCCTAAAATTGCACAACCCAACGGCCAGAATTCTCACAACCAGCATAGTGCCTTGTTAGCCTCAAACAAAAAGGGATCAGGTTTCAGACTTCTTAACTCCTGGACAACGCCCACGGTTACCATAATTCCCATTGTTTACGTCACTACAAATATCTCGTTCGCGAGATATACGTATGTTCGGATAATCACGTATAGAGAAAAAAA